TAGGTTATTATTCGAACTGAGCTTAAGTAGGTGTTTAAGAGGATGTCCAGAAGTGTTAAGAATGCTATAAGCCATTAGTAAATCACCTCTAAGACGCCTATATTCTAGTGGGTAAAGGTCTAGTGAACGGAGGCGTTCTTCGTAAGGCTTAGATTTGAGTCCTCGAACTGATTTCGTGGCTCGCCGTTGGATACGCTCCAAAGTGACCTTATCCTTTTGGAGTGAGGGGGGAGTACTATGTTTCCGTACTCTAAATGGGGACGGATGAAACTATTGAAGATTGTGTGGAAAGTTCTTCCGTCAAACTGACCAAAAATGCGCCTCAACGTTACCAGTGCAAGGTTTGCTCGGAAGGCATTTTTGTCACAGTTAGCGTAAGACTTTAAGTCATGGGGCACCAGGACTCCTAAATCTTTTTCGACTTGGGATACTACTAGAGAGGAGTTTCCTAAGTTGTAACTGTAGTTTGCGACATGTCGCAGATGGACTACTTTACACTTTGAAGTGTTAAAGGTAAGTCCGTTATCGTCTGCCCAACTTTGAAGTCGCGTCAGATCCTCCTGAAGTGCCTGTGTATCGTCTTGGTTGCGTATCTCTCTCCAAAGTTTCACGTCGTCGGCAAAAAGTAGTAAGTCTGACGTTACCTGTTGAGGAAGATCATTTATGTAGATCAAGAAGAGAAGAGGCCCTAGTACTGAGCCCTGGGGGACCCCACTAGGACATTCCATAGCCTGAGATAAAGTGGAATTAACCCTAACCTTAAAGTGTCGATCTTTTAGGTATGAAGTAAGCCAATCGATTAGAGGTGGTTTGATACCTAGTCGTTTGAGCTTATTGGTAAGACACAAGTGGTTAACCTTATCAAAAGCTTTTGAGAAATCAAGGTAAATGACGTCAACCTTTCCCTTGCAATCGAGGATGCTTGTCCATTTGTCCACCGCAGTCAGCAGGTTGGTTATACAAGAGTAGCCCTTCCTGAAACCGTGCTGTTGGGGTGAGAAGAAATTTAAGGACAGTAGATAGTCATTTAAACCGTCGCATACCAGGGACTCCATGAGTTTTGAAGGTAATGACAGAAGAGCCACCGGCCGATAACTTGAAGGTTCATTGCGTCGACCACCTTTGAAAATTGGTGTGATGTGAGCCAACTTCCAGTTTTCCGGTAATTTGCCTCGGCTAAGCGAGTGTGAAAACATCACGCTAAGCGGCGTTGCCAGGATTGAGGCTGCCTCCCTCAGTATGGCAGGATGAACCATATCCGGGCCAGGAGAAGTGTCAAGTCTTAAGTGCTGCAATTTCCGGAACACCAAGTCAGCGCTTAGGTCCACTTCGGAAAGTCCTGTGGAGTTGGAGATGAAACTGTCGTCAATAAAGTTGATGTCAGCCGGTTGAAATGTTTGAGAGTAATGGGCCGCCAGAAGGTTAGCGGCGTCGCCATCGTTGTTGGTTGGGCCGTTAAGACCTAACAGTTGAGAAACTCCTGTTTTGGCTTGACGAAGAGAGGCTGCGTAACGGAATAGGCTTCTAGGGTTAGAGGCGAATTTGTCCATAAGCTTTGTTTGGTACTGAAGCCTGTCTTCTCTTATAGCCTTCGTGCATGTGTTCCTGATACGTTTGTATTGCCTATACGCTCCATCGTTATTAGTTCGTTTGTATTCCACCCAACAGTGCCGTTTGCGGCTTAGCAGGCGAAGGGTACGGTTTTTGATTACTGTAGGTGGCTTGAAGCTTTTGGGAACCGTTTGAGGAACTGAATGGTCTGTAGCACATAAGAGCGTGTGCAGTAAGAAGTCCCAATGACCATCCACATCGAGTTGAGGGTGAACATCCCAAACCACCTGTTGTAGATAGTCATGTAGAGCTCGCACATTCAGCCGTTTAAAATTCCATCGCAAATTATTGTTGGGATACCTTAGCTTAGTTTTGATAACAAAACTGAAGGCTATGACGGCATGATCGCTTTTTCCCAGAGGAGCCAGGATTGAGAGGTTGTCGACTAGGAATTCTTCGTTAGTGAATACACAGTCTAAGCGCGATGGTGTCTGACTGTTTCTCCAACGAGTTGCCGACCTCACATTTTCATATAAGCCCAAGTTATCGATGAGGTTGAAGAACCGAGCTTCAGTTGAGTTGTCGCCTCCAGTGTACGTGTGTTCCGCGAAGTTGACTCTAGGGAGATTAAAGTCCCCTAGAATCAGGATGTGTGTGAAACCGAGACGGATAGAGCGTGATAGTCCTTCCAGCATACGACTATCGTACTCGGTGTCGGCAGTTGGCTTCCTGCAAATGACTCCGACTAGACACCTGGAAGTACTAGACAATCTTACAGAGCACCATATGGATTCCTCAAGATTGTTAAACTCGAGGTTGTGAACCTGGTGCACCTCCAAGCAAGAGCTTATGTATATGGCTACTCCGCCCCCAATTCCTGTTTTTCTGTCGTTGCGGAACAAAGTCATCCCAGGCAATGCTAACTCTTGGTCCGAGAACTGAGAAGATATCCAGGTTTCAGATATTCCTATCAGATGGGCCTTATTAGCGTTGCTAAGTTCACGTAGTTCATCCAGTTTGTTTGGTAGACTCGCGGCGTTCATATATAAGCAGTTTATGCTTTCAATTTGGAACGCGTGAGCTTCGTCCTGTTTGTCTGTATGAGTCTTACGTGAATGGACAGGTAGCCCACCTATATGAGGTTGGCCGAGGTGGTGGGCCCTGTTCTTTACACGTTTTTTTAATCGTTTAGACAGTCCACAAGTGGAATGGTCAGCTCCAGCTTGCCTTTGTTCTTGGTCCTGACTTCGTATGGCCTATCCGGGTGCATGTGGATTCCAGGTGGCAATCGACGTCTATTAGCACGAAATGCTTCCAGAACTGCAGCCGCCATGTGGGAAGATGGGAAGGTTATCTTCATTAGACGGGGTCTAAGATCACCGTCCTTCTTGGCAAGTCTCGTCACATGCTGAGTCAGTATGTGTTTGAGCCTCAAGGACTGTTTGATGAATTTCCATTCCCTGATGTCAGAATTTGATTGAGTAGGGTCTGCATTTTCCGGTATACCTTGGACAATTATGTTTCTTCCGCGGAAGAACTTCTCGCGAGATTCTTTAGGGACGTTTCGTATGATATTGCGCTCGGAGTACGGTATGTCGGGCAATATTCTTACGTTACCATATGATTTCAGTAAGTGACTTGCTAGCAAGACGTCCTCTACGTTGGTAGCATTCTTAAGTGTTACTCGAAGAAGCCTCGGGTGATTTAGATGCTTAGAATCCTTTCCTCGAGTGAGCCGGGTGACCGTCAAAGGCTCTATTCTAGGAAGTTCGAGCTTTTTGTTCAATTCACCCCACAGCATCCTGTCGTTTTTATCCTGCAGACTGAGAGGAAGGTCAGGATTGTCGACGAGGTTCATGATAATGAGAGAATCGTCACGAACTGTTGTTAATTTACCAGGTTTCACGATGGGTTCAGGTTTAATAACTTGTTTTTTGGAGGTCAGTGTGCGTTTATGAATCTTGGGCTCTTTATTGACCGGACGAACAGTCTTGGGGGTAGACTGTGCGACTAAATCACCAGTTATTTTCCGTGCAGCAACACTTGGGTTGCTCGGCTTAGGCGGTGATGCCTGGTTCTTTTGGGCTCTCTTAACGTGGGTCGAATCACATGCAGGGTTTTTGGCAACCACTGTTGTGTTCGGGGACCCTGAGATGGGAGACCCGAGTTTGCCTAGGGAGTCTAGTACCGTCGACGTAATGATGGTACTGAGCCTCGACACGTCGTCGTTAGTGTTGATGGATGCTCCATCGATGACATACCTATCGACGTCCCTATTTTTGAGTCCGTTACGCGCTCTTGTTTGTATATCGGTTTTTTTACTGTCGTATTCCAAGTTAACTGACAGCTTGTTTCGAAGACCTGTCAGTAGGACAATGATGTTACTCAGCAAGACTACTGCGTCCGTGTTGCACGTGACACATACCCACTTTTGGTCTGACTTGCTGAGTTTGTTGTAAGCAGTTGCTGTCAGATTTGTGCATGCTTCGTGAAACCAACCTTTGCAGTTGTCGCACTGCATCCCAGTTGTGACAGCAAAACGGCATCCCGGACGTTTGCATGAGTTTTTCATGACGGTGTTGAAGCAAACTATGCTATAGATGCAGGCAAAAGCTTATGACCTTTTTAAAAAAAACACTAAAAAGCACGCTGAAAACGGACAAAAACGGACAAAACGAGTGATATAAACTGAAACTAGTCTAAACGCGAAAAACAAAAAAAACCGAATAGTAAGCTGAGGCAAAACCACAGGTAACTATTAAATATAGTGAAACTCAAAAAAAAGTAATCTACCGAACGTATAGCTCAGGATAGATTTTTTAGAACTGAAATGGTACTTTTGTTGCGTAAGAACACAGCAAAAGTTTGATATATGCAAATCACGTTAGGACTAAACTTCCCGTTCGAAAATCGCGCGTTCTCTGTGTCAGCTAGTAATTCTGAATTTCCGTGTAACTTTCGTGAGACCGCATTTGGAATATGGAATTCAAGCAGCGAGTCCTTGTTTCAAGTATGAAGCAGATGTACTGGAACGAGTCCAACGACGGGGAACTAAAATGGTAAAATATCTCTCTGGTCTATCGTATGAAGACAGACTAAGACACCTTAACTCGTTTCCGTTATCTTACCGTATAATACGGGGTGATCTAACATTGATTTATCGTATACTGCACGATGACCTTGATACTAATCTGTCTTATCTTTTCCTTCCGTCTAGGACTGATCATTTGAGAGTATATTCTAAGAAAGTTCGAAAACAGAAATTGAATCGTCTACGTTTGGAGCTTCATTTCTCACACCAAGTGGTGATCCACCAGAATTATCTACTAGAACACGTAATATCAGAGTATTCTGTTGATATATTCAAAACGAGATTGGACTTCCATAGTGTTACAAACTGCAGGGAATAATATAGGTCGGTGGACTTCCTATCCTTAATAACTGAAGACATTTGGCGAAATGTTCAAAAGGTTGCGTTGACGTTAACTTGGTCCTAGTCACAATCAGCCCGTAGTTTTGAAATGCCGGATCGCTCGAAGCGTATTAAGTTATATGACGACGGATTCACGGGACAGGACTCTTACTACAGGAGTGATAGATTCAAATCTATTGGATCTGATATTTCAGGTAAAGCGTCTATCTCCTTTAATCCCATGTCTAGTGTTGGTGAATTTTGTTGAGTCAATTACTAACGAGGATGTGGATGAATTAGTTGTTGATGTCGTTGCTGGGGGAGATGTTGTTCAGATACTCAAATTTCTTGATTCCGGTCAAGATCGAAAGGCAGGAGAGGTAAGATTGGCTAGTCAGTGAACAATTTTACAGCTTCATGCAGTCTTCAAAGCGCTGTACATTATTATCTTGAAAACATCTCACGAGTTAAGCAGTCGTTTTCCAAATGTGGCTAGAGAGCTTGCCGAGGGCTTTCTTGAAGACTCTCGCTTCTCATTATGCCTCAATACAATGAGGAAGTCTCAGAATGCGGAAATCTTAAAGACATCTCTCCAACTTTTAGCATCCGTTGTGACAGTCAGTGAAGATTTAGCTCGAGCGGTCTTGAGATATATTGATTTCGATAACGCGACGATGAAGAAATGTTCTCAAAGAAGAAACCTTGTCGATAAATGTGACGTCCGGACGTGCTTCATAAATTTTTTGGCTTCTTTTGTTTATTTAGACAACAATTTTGTTCTAAGAGAACTAGTAGACAAGAAAGGTAAGAGTCATTTGTACATAGTTTACTCTCGTTAGGTGCTCTGGATCTGCTCATTAGTGAGTCTTTTGTGGACAAATATTCAAACGTAATTCTAATCTTATGCGTCCTCAAGAAAGTAAGTTAATTGTTTGAATTTTATCCCATAACAGGTAGCTGAAAACAGTTCAGTCAGCAAAACACAGCGAGTACGTGTATTCAATCGACATTGTCTTCAAAAGTTAACATCTTTGTATCTGTGGCGAGGGGAGGGTAAGACTGTCGATGAAGTACTGAGAAAAGATAATGCTGAAGTGAATGAACATGAGTTAGTGTCGATCAGAGACACCGTACACAACCTCCTAACTCATCTTTTCACATCTAGTCGATTTGGGCTAGTGTTTTCGAATAAGTTTGACGTTAACGTGTAAGTTTACCGTCCAAATGTTTCTTATAAATCAGAAATCTTCATTGTCAGATTCATTCATTTGTCCATGAGATTCTGCATACTTAGTTTCATGCTATTGTTTTTAACAGTATTTTGGTCATAACCTTTTGTAAACTTATAGGTTTGGTTTATAATATGAAGTGCTCTGCAAAAAATATGTATTTACATCTTATCGCATGTTTTGTTGTCCTAATCGTTTCGTTGTAGTCAGTACAATCGTTTAATACTACAATGCTTGACGTCCGCTCATATGGAGGATGCATATACGGACCCCTTACGTACTGAATTGGTTGTCGTAGCGCTCTGTAAATGTCCAGATTTATTCCCACATTACCTCGATCATTTGGCTCCTAGTTTATATCCACGGGATTCACCTAGTTGGTTTTGTTTAATCGAATTTGTTTTTCACGTGAGTCCATCGTATTATCATCCTGGTTAACTTTCTTATTCTGTTTGTATGATCTGGTGCTAAATTCCTAGTTTCTCAGAAATTAATCTTGTGTGCGATGATTTGATATGCACTTAGCATCGCCAATGCAAAATAAATTTATGTTGACGTTTACAAAAAAAGCAGTGTTTAGAAGCGTTAATGACCACATCTATAGTCACGTAAACGACTGTGGTAGCGACGGTAAGTTGCTTACGGGGTTATAGGGATGTCTAGTGGGTTCTACTACTTTATATTCATCTGAACACATTAACATTGGTACAATGGGAACCAAATACATATGCGCCACACAATGATAGGGAGTTGGTAAAGAGATAGAGAATTTAAAGTACGTATAATAAAAAGAACAACAAACAGGAATTAATGTATGCGCGTGAAATAATAATAATAATAATAATAATAGTAATAATGGGAGAAACAGTTCATTTGGTAAAAATGCAACCAGAATGAGTTTCAGTTAAAGAAGTTACGTTCACTTTTATGAAGAAAGTAAAAGAAAGTTACAGTAGGATCACCACTGTCATCTATCCTGGGGATTGTCTGATAACGTCTGTAGCCATGGTGTTGCACCATTTCTAGGACACAAATCAATGATAATTACTTCTCACCTGTGACTAGTATGACTCATTGTTGGTTGATAATCAGTCTACTATACATCAGTCTTCTTTTTAAGGCCTATAGATTTAAATGTTCAAAAATTTTAAGCATTCTCTGATAGATATATTCAAAGAATCTTGCTATATTGAAGCCATCACCCAGCAAAATGAAGGCGAAATTTAGGGTTAGATTAAGTTAGTAAATTATCGGGTTATATTGTGAAATTTTCACCGGTTAAAGTAGTTTGGTTATCTATATCATATGATTGGGCAATATCTGCTCCAAGATGGAATGGTAGTTTGAAGAAGTGGTTCTAACTGGTCACTTGTGCTTGTTATTTGTCGTTGTTGGATTGCTATGTTCATTATTTTAGCTTTCGTTTTTTGAGCTTGACTATTCGTATAGTAATGGTAATTCTAGGAACTGAAATACAACTAGACCGTTCTACTTTCTTGTTTGTTTGTTTAGTAACTTAATACTTATCGTCAATGTCAGAAAATCACATATTAAGCTCTCTTCTTAAAACGTCAGGGTCCACATTGAGCGGATGTCTGTAAATTAAATAATGCTAGTGAAAATAAAATGCCTTTCATCGATCACCAGCGACTGCTCAGGCGCTGGAGCAAAGTAACAATTGTCTCATCATGTAGAGAAAAGAAAAAGCTGGTCTTATGATTCCAATGCGCTTCATAAATAATGAGCAAAATATTCTAGAAACGTGCGAAACCTAAGTGCTAATAAACCAACTTTATGCAACATTGGCTCAGAATAGTCAATAATTTAGTACCAAAGTTACTTTCAGAATGAAGTGGACTTTGGTAATACATTAGACGAACTATATTATCTAGCGTTCCTACCAGGTTCGCTAATAAGCCTAGGCCTGATAAGCATTTGTTTTGCTGATCTCCCGATATATTTTCTAGTTTCCTTACTTCTCGTGGCTCGCTGGCGAGTATCATTCAGTTGTTGAATCTTCCCATATTCCCGAAATATCCCCATCTTTTTATTTCGAACAATCAATTTTACATAAATTTTGTTCGTCTGATAAACTTTTTACTTGTCATCTCATTGATATTTGAATCATTACATACGAGCCCTTCATTTGGTGCACTAAGAATTGAAACTATATGTATCTGGTGGCGGATTAATGAGTGAGGCACTAGTTTCTTGTTTATTAGGTTGCATTTTTGAATCCCACTCTGTGTACTTTGATTTAGGCAACCGAGTATTACTAATTATCACACAAGAATGTGTGAGTCATAGCCGGGTTAATGAAATATGTACTGGGCTAGTGAGTTGTACTATTCAATCACGTGTAAATGTGTTTAGCAGAAATTTTCAACTATTGAGTGAGGAATGATCAATTTTTAGTGTTTGCGAATCAGCAGAGAAAAGAACCACAGTAAAAATCTCATGTTAAGCCTAAAAATGATTATCAAATAAATGTTTTTGGTATTATGTAGCCTGGGGGCGTGTACACTTTACATGTGAAAATTATATTTAAAATAATGTCAACGGCTGAAATTTAAGTGATTCCAATCTTTCGTCCAGGTAACTTGTCCCAACTTTTCAGGGTAGTAATCAAAATTATCAAGGAATACATATTTTGACAATCAAATCTATACTAAAGCATATCCAGTCATATTCGGATGTTGGTTTTGGTAGGTAGGATATTATGAGTCAGTAAGATGTGAATAGTGTGAAAAGTGTGAATCAGAATAAATTTGTGTGTATATTTAACTTTATGTTGTTAATAGTCAATGTTTAGTAAATGAATGTTAATCACTTCATTTATTAAAAATAAAATTAGAAGCTGAAAAAGTTTTTAAAATGTCAATGTACTTGCAAAATGGGGATCGTCAACCACATGGTTCTGATGTCAAAACATACAGATAAGTCTAGGTCGGAATAAGGCTACATATGATTAAAGCAAGATGATAGAAGTACGGGTCAACCTCTTGTTACTCAGCAGTTACCAAGGTGTGGCTATTTGGATTCCATCTTTCCTGTTCAGACTTTTGTGATTAGCCCATGCACACAGCACTTCTGCTGTCAATCTTTTCTTATGGGCGTCAAGCCCTTTCAAAATTATTTTGGTTCCTTGAAAGTTTTTCTTTTGTCCTGTTTTTGACAGATGCAACATTTGTCAATCTATCCTTAAGTTTCTTGAGTTCAATCGAGGATTTGGGAACATGTTATAACTTGTGACCTGTGTGCCCTGTTAATTTTATAACGTAACGATACCGTCAATCAAAGAGCGGTGAATTATCGATTGAACCAATGGCTCGTAAAACCCGTGCGAGCAGTCTAGAGTCCTTATCGGTACTGCTTTTCGCCTAGCACAGCCAATTAAGTCCAGAACACCAATCTCAGCCTCTGCAATATGAATCATTTGTTTCAAGCATACTGGGTTTATATACCAACCAGACAGACCACATCGTACCATAAGATATGAGAAAACATTTGTACAAGAATTAACCAAATGTGGCTGTGAATGAGGGAGATAGTAATTAATAGACAGGCCATAACTCAGGAATGGTAAATCGTATAATAATATTTCATAGGTCAAAATAAAGCTCATAATAAGAGGGACATGGATATGAACAATTTAGTTACTTAAAAATTATACAATAAAAATATACGTATAGTATTGGTTCAACAATAGATCTCAAAAGTTACCATTCATTATGCTTATCGGGACATAACAGAACATGTTTCGAACACTGCTCTTTCAGCCTCACATTCAGTTCTATAGATTTTTTTCCATATAAACTGGATTGTGATCATAACAGTTGACCTCAGGCACAACGTCCTGTTGCTCTTCTATTAGTAGCCTATCTTTAACTAATGCTGACCTTATAATATCGTTGGTACGGAAATACACATTGTTATGAAAACATAATAAAAGTTTAGAATAATGTAAGCCGTATCAGAAACCTTTTAAATTAGTTTACGCCCACCGAATCTTGTTGAGTTTGAACTAAACAGAGACTCTTAAATGTAAATTAACTAGGGGAAAACAAGTCATAATTAATGTCAAATACTTTCACCGTTCTGATTCAATAATCGTTTACAGCTCTGTAAGAATTAGTTTTTAACTGTTGAGTACCATTGTAGGCTGATTGTAAAAACTATTTCACAGCGTTGTTAAGCCCAAGTTATTCACTTTGATAATAAATTGAGTGCTTCTGTATGACTGTTAGATCGGGTTACTACGTGGACAGAATAGTAGTTTTTTGATAAAAATCAATATTACAAAGCAAAAAGGGTAGCTTCACGGATTGATTAGGCTATTTCTTATAATTCATCAAATAAAGCATTGATCGTCAGCTTTCGTTACTGAAAACAAGAATAGATCATACACTTTATATTTAGCAGTGATCTGATGTTATATAAAACGGTGTAAATGTTTAAAATGTATAGCTCAAAAGTAATTTCTAAAATTTTATAACATTGAATAGAACATATGATGTTTATTCAGTTGTCTAAAAATGAAATCGTACAACAAATTTGGGGACAGTTTTAATGTAGACACATTTCAAATGGAAGCGTTTTAACTCTAATAGGTGGCTGTTTTACTTCACGAAGTTAACATAGCTTTCAAATAATTCTTTGTGTATTTCAGAATGGAACATTTTTAGTAATATCTTTACTTAAAATTATTTGTTTTCAGATCTACAGATCGATTAGCAAATATATCGTTCAGTTCACTATAACCGCACTAACTCATTCACTGACGATTGAAGTATTAGCTACTACCATAGCAAATTTTTGTGTCTTGTCACCGAAAATGATTGATCCTATCAGAAAAGCCTTACAGGTTGGTTTTTTATTTCCTGATATATCGATTTATTACGGCAGTTTCTAAGTCTAATTTGGGTATCAGAAATGTGGGTAGTTTGGGATGTTATTTAGCATTGTTTGAGTAAGTAGTAAATTTATACGAGCTAGAAATGTTTAATTTTCTACTTTCTGGATTAAAATAAATCGTTTGAGTAGAATAATTTTTACGACTATCATATCTTTCATTAGTGTAGTGGTTGATAATCATGTAAACAATTTGAATATAAAAGAAAATCCAGGTAGATGGAAAATGGTAGCGACTGATTACTAGGGAGATTTAGGAGTTCAAATATAGATTAATTAATTACTTGTGCATAGTCATCAATGATCCCCTGAGCATACGGTCAGGAATAATATTCGTTTCCACACTGTGTCAATAATCATATCTCAACTCCTATGCATAGTACAAAAAATTATCCTATGAAAATCCTGTTTCAAACAGTTCTGTGTACCACGTTGTTAAACCATCGAATATCGACTTCGAAAATGCCTTTATTTAACTTGGATGCTTACCGCGAGTTGCGTTGTATCAGTAGTGGAAATATTTAGGAATTTATAGCACTTATTTCATTGGCAGGTATAGGAATTTGGAATTTTTCTCGTCTTCTAGATTGATTAATGTCATGTTATTTTGTCTTATTCTTGACCTTGGTAACCGTTCGATGTCTATTATTCAATTTCCTGCACAACCATTAGTTTAAATGACCCTACAATTTAATGCCTTCTATTTGATGTTGGTTAGTTGGTATCAATGAGCACAAAACGTTGACATGAAAGCTAGATCTCTGACTTTATGCTTATCACCGTCAACTACCTAACATGACATTTACTTATTCTCATTTTGTATTAACTTCACTGAAATAATATTTACTGTATATTGAAGTGCGAAATTTTCATTTGATTATTCATTTATTTATTCATTAGTATGATAAATCGTCTGATGTTAAAAATAAGGCCATTGAACTTATGGGATACTTGAAACAACTGTTGAAAATCCCGTTAACTTGGCTTTCACTAAACCAGCTACCAAGTACAATGAATTTTACATCAGACCAGTTAAAAATGAAGATTGAATTGCTTATTCGTGAAGTAAGTTCAGAGAGTGATAATAAATAGATCAAAACAATGATTTTAATTACTTGTATGAAACTGTTGATTGAAGCCTGTTGCTTACTCCTTTTATATCGAGCTACAGAATAAAACAAGATGGATTTATCCTCTATTTTTGTATTTTTTTTGTGGCAAATCACTTTTGCTAAAGAAACTATGATGAGGCGTTCTACAAGTTTTATGATTTCTACATTTATTTCAACTCAAGTTAGTCTTGAGATCAGTTGGAATTAATTACTTAATCATCCTTTAGCGGAAATTCGACTTTTCAAACACTTATCTATACATTCATATAAAAATATAAAGATAACTAATTGTATACTAAATGGACCTGTGTATAGATGTTCGATGTAGATTTTCTGTTGTATTTTATATCATATGCCTGGTCCTACGTTGTAGCTGACTGACTGACTGACTGACTTTTATATCATGATTGTATTTTAATATGAAAATAAAGTTCAAGAAAACAACAAAGGGAGCTCAGAATCCAAGTCACTGTTATCTAAACAATTTCCTGTGTGTCTCTGCCTAATAAGGCGGTGTAATAATAATAATAATGATATTAATAATAATAATAATAATAATAATAATAATTATTATTATTATTTTGATAAAGCCCGTTTACTATGCACATATTAATGTGCTCGACTTTGAACCACATTATAGCTGTATTTGTGCTAGTGATACTTTTTAGGTGTCCAAACAATCAAATTAGATGAAACGGTTTTCAAACACGCGACCTATAGGTTAAGAAGTGAATGGTTTAAGATCTAAACCACGTCTACACAAAAACCTACTGGTATATGGTACAATAACTTCAAATATTGTATAATTGTAATGAATATCATAGCCCTTTACTTTATCATTCAAATAAATGGTCTTTGAGAGTTAATCGGTCCTAGAAAATATTTTGTATCATTTACATACATTCGCTGAGTGCTCATCAGATTATAGGTGTTTTGAGAGATTTGTCTGTAAATACTTTTTACTAATGAAAATCACGAACCTACAGCTTGCAAGTATAAAGGTTCTAATGAATTGTTGATGAATCCCTATGACTAAATGACTATTACACTGAGTTGACTTTATGAATTAAATTTCTTAATATCAAAACCTTGATAATACAGTCTCATAATTAAATGCAGGCCCTGTTGGATAAACAATTGATTTCCTAAATCTAGAACTTTAACTACCAAACATTCCTTTTAATAACTTATCTATTGCACTGATGGATTCTCGTAAAATCATCCCATCAGGCTCTAAACACGATGAAGAACGAAAACAAATCAGATCTAAGTTAATCAAAAGACTAACGAACGACCGTGAGCGGTAGTGGGCAACGAAAGAAAAAGAGATAGAAAGCGCAATCGCTGTGGGTAACACCAGACAGCTTTTCAGACTAATGAAAGAAACTGGAATTAAGGAGTAAACTGTGAGGCTATCTCGGACAAAGACGACACTTATCTGCTTTCAACCCAGACGTTTAGAACCATGAGCAGAACACTTTAAGGAGCAGTTCAGCTAGCCTTAGGTTATTTTACAACTACCTGCCATTCACAGACAGCCTGAGTGGAACATCGAAGTAGGTCCCCTTACTCTAGCTGAAGTTTAAAAGGCTATAGCTAATCTGAAAAGAGGAAGAGAATCTGGTTCGGATGGATTGGCTCCAGAGGTCTTTAAGTATGGTGGTCCAATTTTAGCAATTAGGTTGACTAATATTTTAGCTAAAATATAGTAGTTGGACGTAATCTTATTTGACTGGTCACAATCACTGATCGTCCCAATATATATAAAATGGGGTCTAAATCGTCATGTGATAACCATAGAGGGATTAGTTTGACTAATATGGCATCTAAAATACTAGCCTCACTAATTATCGGATGTATAACTGTTATGACTTTAAATTGTTGTAGTTTTCTACCCTGTGTTATCGATCGATTACAATGACACGCAAACACGTACGGACGGCCTAGAGTCTCGATTGGTCCCACTTCCCTGTCTAGCCCAGTCAGTTGAGTCCAGAACACAAGTCACAGCCTCGGGGATATGAATCATTATATTTCAAACATACTTTCTTTATATACCAATCAAGCACACCACATCGTACCATAAAATAGAAAACAACATTTTGTACAATATTTAACAAGTGAACAGATATCGACCAATAGGCAATGTCCATTTAAAGTCCAAGGACACCATTGGACTTAACATGATAATTATTGGTCTATTCCTCCGCATCCACAACAGTAACAAAGACTCGTGAACTGCAAACACGAGAAAGTCAAGCTGGTTTCAGACCTGGTCGTGGCTGAATCGACCACATATTCACTATTCGTCAGATTTTGGTACATGGGCATGCTTATCGGCGTCCGTCAATGGTAGTCTTTGTTGACCTGAAAGCAGCATTTTACTTTGTAGACCGTGAGATTCTGTGTTAGTGTCTGCCATTGAAATGTGTACCTCAGAGGTACGTAGACTGTGAGATTCTGTGTTCAATTTCATCACAGATCTATTGATGGAAATAACACTCTCATCGATTGAATTTTAGGGCATTGATCTCCTGCCAGGAGGTCCACTTATCGACTTAGAATACGCAGATTATATAGTCCTGTTTGATGAGTACTCTGATAAAATGCAGAGTCTTTTGATAGCACTAAGCAACAATGCCAGGATTTTGGGATGAGTTTCTCCCCCTCTAAATGCAAGTTGTTGCTTCAGGACTGGACTGCGTCAACACCTGAACTAAGGATAGGGAGTGAATTAGTCGAACACGTTGACAACTTCATTCATCTTGGAAGTCCGATCAGCCCTAATGGGTTAGTGTCTGACGACATCTCAGCACGGATCCTAAGAGCTCATTTGGCTTTTGCCAACTTACGTCACCTTTGGCGAAGGCGAGATATCCGTCTATCAACAAAAGGACGAGTATACTGTGCGGCAGTCCGTTCTGTTTTAATTTACAGCAGCGAAACAGGGCCATTAAGAGTAGAAGACACTCGTAAGCTACTAGTATTTGACCACAGATGCCTTAGAAATATTGCTGGAGTCTGCTGGGATCACCGGGTAAGTAATAGAAAGATTAGACGCAGGGTATTAGGGAATGATGGTAAATCAGTTGATGAGGTTGTGAAACTTCATCGACTGAGATGGTTGGGCCGTGTTACGTATGCCCGAACACCGATTACCACGACATGCAATGCTGACAGGTGTTCGAGATGGTTGGAAGAAAGTTAGGGGCGGCCAAACCAAAACGTGGCATCAGTGCTTGAAGTCACTTACTTCTGGTTTGAGCCATGTTGTGAGATACAGACTACTTAGTCGGGGTCCACGTGACTATCGTAACCAGTGATTGGAGACTGTGACATGGCTCCGAATCGATCATAATGTTGCAGGTATATACACTCTCTGTCTTCACTTAAACCGTGAGATTGAAGTTGCTACATGTCTTTTTTTTCTGAGAAATACTAATTCTTTCTCCCTCTATCATATGCTTACATGCAATCTTTTTTATTATATATTATTACCATTGAAGTGATTACTTCTATGAATTTGGTGCTCAACTTGTTGTTAATGCTGTGTGGCAACTTGGACCGATGCATATATATGCCTGGTCCTACGTTTTAGGTGACTAACTGACTATCAACTTATCTTATAACTAATCAGTTTTCGCTATTGGTATTGACACTGATGTAACGGATATCTAGAATAATTATTGTCTTTATAATATTATTGTTGCCTTCGTATTTTATTTTGTAGCGTATACCTGATTCCAGATGGTTAGTTCACTTTCAAAAGCTATTTAAAAAGAATTTAAACGACCCTATCTTATTGATAGACCAAGTTGTATCTTCTACCGATCAAAGTGAACCAGGTAAATTCATAGCTTAACGTTTTGTGTACCACTTGTTTATTGACTTAAAATAGTTTTCATTCCCATTACAGTAAATATCGTTGTCATAAATAAACTAGACGTAAGATCAGTCTGATCATATTTTCGTGTATTTAAACAACTTGCGTCTTTTACAACTTGTGTGCAGCTTTTTTATTTTGGAAATTCCATCTGTATTTTATGTGTGATGCAATGCTTCATTGAATTATTTTCAGGTTGTTAGAACAAAACGATGTTTTCTGTCATTTAGATGATGCTTTCGATTAACTCGGGTAACTCAGAGGCTTGTTTCTACACTGGTTAGTACGTTTGTGCACCTCTGTCTCTTAAATGTATAACAAAATTACTAATCTTTTGTACAGTTCTCATTATAGAACATGCCATCCATACCATCCATTTCTATATAAAATCCGTTCTTTCTGTAACGTGCAATGAGAACTAAAACGTGAAATCTTTTCTCACACATCATCAACACAATGAATTGCAGATATACTTTGAGGTGTAACCGTAAATAAAAACATGTAATCAATGCATTTTTTATATTGTTCTAATGCTAATTATATATGTATATTGGTTATTTTCGGTTCACCAAGGAAGTATATAACTAAACTTGCAAAATTTGCTTTACATCGCTTTCTCTTTATATCTTCAGTAATTGTTGACGAAAAGTTCTTCGTTATATTTTAGAGGAGGTTTTCGAAGAAGCAATCAAAATAGAAGATATGGTGAACTCCATTGAACAATCTCTAAATGATCTACCAGAAGGTTGTCATTTATCTGTAAAACTAACATTTCTCATTTTAGAAATAAGAAAGGTATTCAAAAATCTTGAAAAATCTGTTTCTGGAGATTGTAATAATCTATCTGCGGATGTCATAGATACTATTAATGAATTGCCAGGAATAACTAAGTCATGCTTCAAGTAAGTATATTTTAACTGTATTATAAATTACAATCAATTCTTAGGATAAGCTGATCAGATTTACTTAAAGTAAATGTTATGAGTTGTAGGAAATCAGTAAGGGGTTCTAAGCTTAAATTTCATAATTGTTAATCTTTATTGAAGAAGTTTGCCTGAAAATTCAAAACATATGGATGTTCATGTCATCCTACTTAGGACTCGCAAGTTAAAGATACCTGGATCCCGGGTTAGAGGTTCACTCGTTGATTTAAGTTCAGTGTCTTTCACTTCAAATGCCAACGCGTTATGCGCAACGAGTATGGATTTTAATCTAATTTGATCGAATCCTGGGATACAAACACATCCAGCCGGTGAATCCCAAATAGGACAGAATGCTCGTCTCGAATTACACCGCTGATCATATTCCATCTATTCTATGTAAGCTTGTGTCTTTATGGCAATGTTGAGACAATCTGCATAGGATGCATATATATTTCAACTAAGACTGGTCACTTATGAGTCTCAATACCAACAATGTGATAATCCAAACTATTATAAGTTAGACGTATTCCCTACGTTTATTTTTACAATATCACTGCAAGTATTATTACTGTGCTTTTCATCTCTCGCTAAATTGTTTGAAGTAACTTTTATTAAACCAACACCTATTCTTTATGCGGACTACATTGCGCATGTATGCCAACGATCAATTCGATTTATAAAAATGAGTAATTAGTGTCATAACATTGGGAAATATGCAACTGATTTTGTCATATTTGATTTGAAATCCCCAAAAATATTCGTTTTAACTGCCTAAATATTATCCATTAGACATGCTTCAAACCTAAATATTTTTTACGTCTTTTGAACGACCCCAAATGCCCTGGTATAGCCGAGAGTGGGGAGAGTCCGCTCTCCCTCTCGAAATGCTCTCACACGGCCACGCGTATATAGCCTCTGCCAGGGAAGTCCTACTCACTGCCTTCTCGTGGCGGGGGTGTTGTTTACGAAAATGAGAGGACGAAAAGCGAATGTCCGGCGCTTTAACCGGATCCCAAATCAGTGGTGCACATGGGCTCCAGTATCCTGCGGGAACGAATGGCGTATGAACCAATTTTCGGTCACCGGCTACCATGGGATTGCATCTCCTTACGATGCTCCACTGCCTTGTGGGTTAGACCTTTAGGTCAAAGGCTCGGGGTGTGGCCCCCTGAGATAACCACCTGCTTCGGTCTGGGCACCCGGGCAGTATCACAGCCCACACGCAAATGATAAACTCTCTATATCTATGGAAACTACATTTCTCGCTCCGAATAACAGTCAAATGATCCAAATTATTATTATTATTATTATTATTATTATTATTATTATTATTATTATTATTATTATTATTATTATTATTATTATTATTATTATTATTATTATTATTTACTACATCATTATTCACCCTATTTTATTCCTACTCCGTCTATACTTATTTTTTCAGTTTATACAGCAGCTCGTCTTTGGTGGAAATTCGACTCTATCTAAACGTTCTCGAGTCACTGTCCGGTTGAAAATTGTATGTTACCACAGAATATGAGTACTGAAGCAGTTTTTCTGAAACCACGTGCACCATTCAAACTGGCTGGCTTCAACGTTCGCACACTTATGAAGGTCGGACAACAGATAGGGCTGGCCATGTCTTTGGAAAGTCTTCATATCGATGTCTGCTGTCTATCCGAGACCCGTATTCAAGACTCTGGTGAAGTACTACAAATTCGATCTCCGTCTGTCGCTTCGAAAAGCTTGTTTTACGTGCGCTTATCCGGGGACCCTGTGGCATCTTCGTCTGGTCTTGCTGGCGTTGGTGTCGCACTAAGCACTCGAGCTGAGGCAGCACTAATCGATTGGATCCCCATTAACAGTCGGTTATGTGCTGTTAGATTAGAAAGTTCCATCAAAGTGAGAAGAAATCGGCGTGAGAAACGATGTCTTTTCGTCATCTCCGCCTATGCCCCGACAGATTGCAGCCCGGATGCAATCAAGGATGAGTTTTACCGCCAGTTATCTGTTCTTCTCCAGAAAGTGCGTTCGACAGATATTGTAGTACTAGCCGGAGACTTGAATGCTCAGGTCGGGCGTCTAGGCACAGAAGAGTCGTTTAGGTGGCCGATGGGGACTCGTTGGTCGCAGGTCAGATAACGGGGACCGTCTACTGCAACTTTGCACAGACCACAACCTGTTTCTGGCTAGCACTAACTTTCGGCACAATCATCACCGATGTGCCACCTGGCGTCCTCCCTCTGCATCTCAAGCCTGGACTCAGATTGATCACATCGCGATCAGCTACCGCTGACGTGGTTGTGTACAAGACTGCCGCTCCTTTTGGAGTACCTATCTGGACTCTGACCATGCTTTGGTCTGCGCCAATTTTACCTTACTTTTCAGTGGACAACGAAGTGACCGCCATCAACGGATTGATATTAGCAAGCTGGTTGCAACTTCTGTTGCAAGTAAGTATCGAACCGAGCTAGCTTCTAGGCTAGCTACCATTCCACTGAAAAGTATAGATGAGCATTGGTTGCAATTGCATGACGCCATGAAAATGGCGGGTACAGTCAGTTGTGGGTTCGCGAAACGTCCCGCTTTTAAGCACTGGGTTTCTTCTGGTTCCTTACAACTCATTGAAGCCCGTCGGTCTACTCCGGGTGACCGTGAGTTTGACCACAAACGAAGGATGTTACATAAGGAAATTGGGCAAAGCTTGCGTGAGGACCGAGAAGCCTGGTGGTCGGAGCGTGCTAATGAGCTGGAAGCAGCAGCTGCATCTGGTAATTACCGGAAGCTCTTCCAACTCATCCGAGCCACTGGCAGCAAGAAGTCTGGTGTGAGCGAAACAATCTACGAGGATGATGGGACGCCAATCACTAACATCCATCGACGTCTTGGACGATGGGCAGAATTTTTCGAAGGGCAGTTCAACTGGCCTGCTGCTCCGGCAACTTCGGTCAGACTGTCCTGCCCTCCATGGCCGGTGACGACTGATCCACCAAATGAGGCGGAAGTCCGCAAAGAACAACTCTTGAAGCCCTACAAATCACCTGGCCCAGATGACTTACCTCCGGCTCTTTTTAAAGATGGTGGTGACTTTTTGACTAAGGAATTGACGACGTTTATCAAGGTTTGGGTGTTAGAGAGTGTATCAACGTCATGGAATGAGTCGATAGTTGTCCCTATCTTTAAAAAGGGTTCACGTCGTTCTTGTAACAACTATCGGAGGATAAGTCTACTTGCGATTGCGTCCAAGCTATTGGCTTCCGTCATACTTCGTAGGTTGTTCAAAACCCGAGAAAGATTGACTCGCGAGGAGCAGGCTGGGTTTCGTTCTGGTCGAGGATGTATTGATCATATCTTCACCCTCCGCCAAATGTTAGAACACCGCCATACTTTTCAAAGGCCAACAATCGTAGTGTTTCTTGGCATCAGGGCTGCCTTCGATTCGTTGGATAGGACTGTTCTCTGGGATTGCCTATTGAAGAAGGGTGTGCCTGAGAAGTTTATTAACATCCTAAAAGCCCTATATACAAACACCTCAGGCAGAGTGAGGGCATACAACCACCTCTCTCCATTGTTCCATTCGAGCAGTGGGGTTAGGCAGGGTTGCCCAGTCTCACCATTCCTCTTCAACTTTGCCATCGATGACATTCTGGAAACAGCTCTGATGAATGTAAGTAATGGTGGTGTGGATCTGTTGCCTGGAGAAAGACTTCTCGACCTTGAGTATGCGGACGATATTGTCTTACTGTGCGATAATGCCCAAGGCATGCAAACCGCACTTAATCAGTTGGCAATGAGTGTCCGTAGGTATGGTATGTGCTTTGCACCTTCGAAGTGCAAAGTACTTCTACAAGACTGGCAGGATTCTAATCCTGTACTCACCCTGGATGGTGAGCAGATAGACGTAGTCGAGAAGTTCGTGTATCTGGGTAGCTGTATGAGTGCTGGTGGGGGTGTGAGTGATGAGATCAATGCACGTATAGTGAAAGCCAGAGCGGCTTATGCCAATCTGGGCCATCTTTGGCGCCTTCCCCTTAAATTCTCATTGTTTTGTGTGGCGCATATATATTTGGCGGATTCTTGTACCAATATTTATGTGTTCAAATAAATAAAAAAAAGAACGACCCCTAACTTTTTCTTTTCTAGGGCCTCAACTTATTCAAAAGACATCTTACTTAGAATATCTATGGGAAAGAGAGATGGGGAGAGAAAATATGATTGAACTAAAAGCAATAACTGCTGTGCATAAATTTCCAGTGTTTACAATGGCTTTGAAAGAGCTACCACTCAATAAGAGATTAGTTTTTTTGAACCCAGAAGAAAGAAAAAACCTTACATTCTGGAGGTTTCGGACGCGACAACAAAACAGTAAATGATTTGTTAAGTTTATGTTTATTTTGGAGGGGTCGGGAACCATTTTCAGCAAACATTAATTTACTATGAGTATGCTTCTTTTCGGCTTTTTTTGTTTACTGTACGTGCATATTTTCATAATAATCACCGTTAAAGTCAAGTAATTGATTCTAATTAGCTATATTCTTTATTTTTATTTATTCTTAGACATTATTCAAATTATCCAGTAGTATATCAATACTTATCGAAATTTATTCATTTTCTGTATAATAATACATCATTAATTGTATTGTACAAACCAAAAATATTTTTCAAATCACTTTTAAAATATGTTAATTTAACAACAGTACTGTTCACAAATGTTACGTTGCAACACCAACCAATGAATGCGAAAATCCCAACTATTTTAGATCAACATTTATTAAAAGGTAATTAATAATGTCATATAATAACGGTTTTGTATAATTCATTTTTGTATTGTTTGTTTGAATGTTCCCATTGATGTTTAGGACTGCAATTGATCAGTCGCTTATTAGCATATGTACATCTTGTATGGATTGCCTCAATATTGCCTTAAGTTACAAGCGATATAAGCAAAGATGGATGGTAGCCGCAATTCATCTTTACTTATAATGTTTTTTTTACTTGTGTCCACTATGTATTTATTTTCAGAGAAAAAATGAACTAATAAAATAACACAGAATTTGTGTTTGTATTTGTTTTTGTTTTTTAATTTTAGAATATTTATTCAAGTTTCTATTAGAAATAGCTTCTATTGCACCGAAAGTTGTTTATAGACATATTCCAGTTTTATGGTTATTAAGCGCATATAATGCTACAATGAGTTCACTTGGTGAGTATTTTACTTTGATGATAACTGGTAATATATATAGAGAGGGAGAGGAAAGGTAACTTTTCAAATGTATTCTTATATTTCTAAATGAATATTTCACGATAACGTATGCGTACGATCTATGCGGATATGTTAAACTCGACGAACAACTATCCCAGAGTCAAAAAGTTGGATTCATTTGAAAGTACAATACTATTATGTTGAACAAAATAAAGATTCAAACTCATCAGTGGGTTGCAAGACGGTTAAACTATCAAAATCATTATTACAACAAAAGTTTCAAAAAACAATGCAGTGTAAGAAATGTGTTTGACAGATGGTAGGCAAACTAAAATATTGTAACTTAAGTTTATGTGTATACCTTGACGACAAAGTATCAATCTAGTACTCATTTATATATATAGCTGAATAGAATTTAGATTGCTGATTATGTATAACTAGTATTACGTAACACGAAAAGTTGTTACCGCTATTCATGTCTGTCTAAATATACAGTCGGTAAAACCTATTGTCTAACAGTGGTGTGTTACATACATTAGACCATTAAGTTGATGCTTTCCTACCAATCTGCTGACGTTTATGTCCAATTAACCTATTCTACTTTCTAGTTAATGTAACGAGAGAAAAAACAGATTTCTTGCATTATATTTGCGACCGGTCTGATTGAGCCGATTTATATGTTGTATTATGTAGTCTGAGTATCGATTATTTCGCCTTGATTACCTCTATAGAATCAATGATATGCTAGCCAAGTAACATGATGAGATAAAAGCCGGAATCAGTACTTAATTAATATTAGTACGGAATCCAGTCCTCTCACGCTCTCGGTAGCTAGAATAGAATACAGCATGAAAGCTAAATTTGAAGCACTGTTTACGTTTCAAACGTCTCATGTTTATGCAATATAGCCTATGAATGGATGACGTTCCAAAAGAATCTCAGGATTCACTCACTGATTACAATGTATAGGCTGCTTTACTCTCTTATGTCTCTTCAATACGTACGTTAGTAACACTTCATTTTACCCTTGTTCATCGTTAGTTGAGCCTAGTATCTATAATTTAACCGATCATTCTTCAACTTTTGACTGACGGCTGAAAAATTCTTTTCATATATTTAAGTCCAGTGGTTTTAATCTTTGAATTTTCATGCAGTTACTTAATTTTATACTCATTTCATATATTTCATGATGAAATAAAGTAGAAAATTGTTCGTCACAAATTTATTTCAATATTTTCAAAAGCATTTCTTATATATTTCTCTGTGCGAAACCATCGTTACATTTTTTCACATTTCTATATTAAAAGATCAAACTATTCTCAAATTGGTTTATCTCCTGGAAAAATTTTCACCAGGATCATTAACTCAGTCCAGGTAAATTGTGGTGTATATTTTTTCATAAAAATTCCTTCTATTAATTCAATTATTCGTTTTCAAATAGTTTTACTTTTCCATACAGAACAAATGATAGGTAACATATAACATTCAGTAGGATATCATATTAAGTTACTTAGAGGATATTGATTCTCCAAATACAACGTATTAAGTAGAAATCAATATTAAAGTTCCACACTTTGATTTACTATGATTTTCGTTTAACTGACTTTCAGCACACTTTCATTGTATTAATTGATTCAATGTGGTTTCGTTTATATACTACTTGTCCAGTTTAACATTTACTTTTACTAATAATCACTGTGATGTAATTGGTGTATAGTTGAATAAATTAAAGAACGAAACTCTGCTCTGACAGTACAAAATTCTTTGCTGTCAATACTGGGGTTATAGGACGTAACATTTTATGAAATTCTACCCTTTCAAAAAACATAAATGGTTTGTTACAAAACAAGTGGGTCATAAAGGCAGATATTCCCAGACTGAGAACTTTAACAGCTCAAGCAGCAAATTTACACCTAACATGGTAGCCTCATATTTGAGTCAACTTAGTATTCATAAAAAAAATTTAAAGGACGTTTATAAACTTGCTAACTAATGTTTACTACTCACTACCATCGAAAAGCGACGGTAATTTTATACCATGATACAACAGTTCCTTTCTCTCTTAGCTGTGCTACTCCAAAAATCCAATATTGTCAAGAAGAATTATTTGGTAGTCTTAAGAAGATTAGTTCAGCTTCGTGTTCATTCAACTATATACCGATTACATTCGGTGCTTATTAGTGAAAAAAATTAATAAACTCAACCATTGAGACTGATTTAACCATCGCAATAAAAATGCATTTAAAATCAAATTAACAAATTCCCACTGCATTAATGAATGATAAAAGTCAATGAAGGACAGTTACCTTAATTTGATATGTGAACTTGAAGATTCGTTTGTTTCTGTTATGTTGTATTTAGAGAATTAATAGTAATTAATAGGTCAAATTGTATGATTGTGTTTTGAAAACTTTCTTCATGTTTGTTATGTAAATATAAACGTACTTTTAACGATAAAGTTGATTAGTAAACTTCAGTTAACACTAAAGACGAACCAAATAGCGCATAGAATTTTACTCATTGGGTAGTTCGCGCTTATAGTTTAGTCTTGTTATGTACTTGCATTCGTTTAAGTCAGTCATCTATTGAATCTGTTACTCTTGAAGCATTGAATAATATATCCCTAAGCCTCAAATGTGTCTGAATTGTATAGATGTACTATTATTTACTTTTTACTCTTAATTATGAACCTATTGTCATTCTATACTTATGTTCTGATTTCATTTTCTTCTCACGAACTATATATTTCTTTTGAATAATTTTTATATGCAGTGATTATTGTCATTTATCCTCTTCGAATTTTCATCTTGTGCATTGTAGCTGTATTAAGAAATTTTATTGAAACCTTACAATAAACGGTTTGTAAATATCTACACTGAGTAGTAGTAAAACTAGCCTATGTGTATAAGATAACTAACAGTTTCTCGTTATCAAGTTTAGTGGAATAATATTTTTTTCGTCAAGTTTCACATTTTTTCGCCAGTTGATTCTTATAATGATTTCACTTGTTATCTTTTCTGGAATGATATGATTTCGGAATTGTTTTAAAAAAATTATATTCATCATTAACTACATCATTCATTCGTATTCACGAAGTTATTATGTAATTCTTTGAGTTTCAATACAGTATTCAGGAATTAGGCTTAACAATCAGGTTTTCATTGGAGAGGGTTCGACTTACAAATCTAATCTCATTCATTCATTTATAACATCAAATCATGTTATTTTTTGTTAATTTTGTTGTACATAAGCATGTTATTTTATTAAATAAAAGAAAATTTATTCTATTTGTTTGTAGTTTTGTCTTTGAAAACAGTATCCCTCACTGGATCATCTTGTATCATTGGCTTCATCTATTTTATGTTAGCATCTTATTCATTCAATACTTACAAAATTTGCCTATTTTTAAGAATCAAATTCAACTCCATACCACTCCGACCGTTGATGCTAACCTTAACATGGTGGTTAAGTTTGCTTATCCTAATGAACCAATCGAGCTATACTGGCTGGAACAATCGTTCCTCAAGGTCACACTATGCCAGACAGGTCAGTTGTAGAGCGGTAAGACTAAAAGCAGCACTACGTATGAGGGCAGGACAAACGCTATTAGAATTGATCCCCGTTAACAGTTGCTTATATGCTGTTCAGCTAAACGGCTTCGTAAGAACCCAGAAGGATTGGAATATACGTCGTTTCTGCCTACACTCCCACTGACTGCAGCCCGGATGAAGTGAAAGATGAATTTTACAGAAAGGTTTCTGAACTTCTTCAAAAAGCTAAGCGCTCAGACATAGTACTAGTCGCAGGTGACTGTCATGCCTAAGTAGGTAGCTTAAACCAAATAGAAAGACATTTCGACGGATATTTTGGTATTCTGGCTCGGCGAACAGGCAATGGCGACCGTCTTTTGCAACTGTGCACATACAATCGTTTGTTTTTAGCAACTACCAATTTTATACATAAGGAGACATCGTTTAACATGATGACATCCTACACCAAACCAAATAGACCATATTGCCATTAGTCATCGTTGGAGAGGCTTGATAGAAGACTGTCGCTCGTTCTGGAGTACATGTTTCGACTCTGATCATGCCCTAATACGTGCACGCATTTGCTTGCGCCTCACTTGACGCAGAAAAATCTCATTACGAAGACTCATTCGAGTTTAAATCAGTGACGAGAAAGCCAGAAGTAGATCACTGTATTTACAATCAGTTTTCTTCAATTTCTATTATTATGTTGACTTATGTTTTAGCTAAAATCTGGTAGATGGACATAATCTTATTTGACTGGTCGCAATCACTGATCGTCCCAATATATATAAGAAGCGGTCAAAATCATCTTGTGATAACCATAGAGGGATTAGTTTGACTAATATAGCATCTAAAATACTAGCCTCACTAATTATCGGATGTGTAACAAAGACTCGTGAACTGCAAACACGAGAAAGTCAAGCTGGTTTCAGACCTGGTCGTGGCTGAATCGACCACATATTCACTATTCGTCAGATTTTGGTACATGGGCATGCTTATCGGCGTCCGTCAATGGTAGTCTTTGTTGACCTGAAAGCAGCATTTTACTTTGTAGACCGTGAGATTCTGTGTTAGTGTCTGCCATTGAAATGCGTGCCTCAGAGGTACGTAGACATTTTGAAAGCTCTTCTGAACAAATCCTATCGATCAGTTTGCTGTATGTTCGCTTGTTTGAATGATTAGACATCACATGGATTATTTTTTAATGTTAGCCAGTTAGTAATAGTCTTTTTATGACTTTAAGTAATTTCATTATGTTCAAAAATTAATTTCGTTTATATTATTGGGCTAGAATATGATTCAAAATTTAAATATCTCTTTGTTACATCAAGGTATATTGTTTGGGGTTCAAGTCTATGTAAACATTATCAATTCGATTTACAAACTAACATCTTAAATCATCCAACTTTATTACATCAACCGAATATAAATACGTTGTTCAATGTATTAGACGATAATCAATTGTTAGATTCAGCGTATAACTTCCCTTTATATCGAAGATGGTTTGTAAGTTAAATAACGGATTTTATTTTTTTGATTCTATGTATTAAAAACAGTTAATGTAACTATTGTTTCCCATTGCCAAACAAATTTATGTTAAATATCATTTACGTACATCAATATTTTAATCAGTGTTAATGAACTTGTCACAATGCATTTTTGAAAGAAAGAACTCATCGTAGAAGCTTTCTCATACTATATATGTTGTTAATTATTGTCGTTTGTTAGAGTTTATTTTCTTCATTCCTCGGTAACTGTATAAAGTAGTATTTCTTATGTATATAAGTGTTATAGTAATAGCCAATTATTTGATGCAGTTTTCCTATTTCCTTGTTTTTGTTGTTGTTGTAAATAACATTTCTGCACTTTGTTGATTTGATTGAGATGCGTATTGTTAGTGTTTAGCTTTTGCATACTCCTTTGTCTGAATTATAGAAGTAAAACAAACATGACCTGGGAATAATTATACTAAATATGTATAAATATTCATACATTGTTTTCACTGTGTTACCCGTTATTAACTATTTACCTTATTACTTTTCACTTTCTATCTATATCTGTCCGTTTCATTTACAATTTAACGTTTATTCCTCTATTTCTTATAATCATTGATAATTTTTTTGAAGTAAGACATTTGTCTTCGATTAGTCAATCACATTTCACAACATTTTCTGGCTTGATTGTATTCTATAATCTCCCCTTATTGTGTAGCAGCATTTGATCAGCCAAGTCAATGGAAGTGAAGCTTTTTAAAATCATGAAGTTCAAAAAAGGAAACTAGAATAAGTAATACATAAAAAATTAAATAAAAAGGATAATTTCACAGGTTGAAATCATGAGTCAGTTGAAGCTAGACCACCATTGAAAACCTGGAAGCACTGGACGGCCGTTTCGTCCTGGTATGGGACTCCTCAGCAGTTCGCGAAGCCAGTAGGCCCTGGGTTCGAGCCCCGCGTGGTGCGGGACCGTGGATGCGCAATGCTGAGGAGTCCCATACCAGGACGAAACGGCCGTCCAGTGCTTCCAGGTTTTCAATGGTGGTCTAGCTTCAACTGACTCATGATTTCAACCTGTGAAATTTCTAAAACTCTCCACAAAACCCATTCTGATAAAAAGGATAATTTATAATTTTTTGACTGTTAGAACTGTAAGATTTTGATTAAAATTAATCATATAACTACATATTACTAATTATTTGTATCAGTAATTCAATACTGCTTACGATAAATAGTCCCTTATTATTATTATTATAAATCAATTTTGTTTATAATAAATTTTTTTTTATTATAAAAATGTATGAATTACATTTGATAGTTATTCTGTCCTTAAAGAAAATCACTTTAATTTGGTTTTATAATTTAGACTATTTCGAATTCGCATGTCAATGATTCAAAGATTGTAGAAATTAATCGTATACATGATCCATGCTTCGTTCTACATGTGTTATATTACTATCTTCAGTGTTGTAAGTTCCAACTATATGCAAATTTATTGTTTTAACAATAATTTATTACAGCATTCATGTAACGTTACTATTACTAGTGAAGTTTTGTTGATAATTCTATTGAGAATTTGGATTTTGTTGTGTTTATTTTTTTATTGAGTAAACTTAATGACGATTTGTGGAGTTTTGGTACTTAGATTCCAAACTTCACGTACTTACTACAGTTCAGGCTACTGGATAGTTATATCACCAGTCTTCACAGAGTGCATAAAATATGTACTTTATAAATGAGTTTCAGTAAATATTAAAAACAATACTTCTCCAAATTTACCGATTATGTGGTTAAATTGTGTTTTTCATGTTGGACTGCTGTCCACCCTGATGTCTCATTTTAGGGAAGTACGCTAAACAAATGTTAAGCGCGTTCAAATCACAACTTAGGTTATATCGTTGAAAATGTAAAAGACTGGCATCGGTTCTTTCATTCTATATCACCCTTACATGTTGTTATATTTTCTGCCTTTTTTCCTATTCAGTTAAGTACAGTCATGTTCTCATTGATTTCTCTTTCTATATTTAATATGATAACGAAGATTTGTAGCTCAGGAGGTTGACTTCATTGGAGTTATGTTCACTGAGTTGCGTGGGTTAATTGTTCAATCGGTTAAATCACTCAACCTAGAGAATGCAACTCCGCCAAAATCTTTCTGCACTGTTACAAAATGCTATAATTCTTATAACATGATTTTCAGACATGAATTTTGTGTTACACTGTAATGAAGAAGAACACGGGCGAGGACAGCCAAATTGTATTTAGGGCAAATTACAGAATTACTTGGTAAAATAGAAAAACCATATAGTAAATCGTTAATTTGCAAAATGTCATTCTATCATATCCATTGTCTCGCATTTCATTGTTCATGCGATTTCTTACAAAGTCCATTGTTTTCTCGCTCTTCTTTTCTTGATCTTCTCCATCTTCTGCTGTCAGACATTGCGCTTCTGTTTGTCTTCTCTCCGGATCGTGTAGACCGAGCCGCGTCTCTCCGTGATAACATACGGTCCTTCCCATTTTGGGGTCAGCTTCCCCGACCCTGCTCCCCCTGCTATGTTACTTTTTCGTTCTCTACACTTTACTAGGTCCCCCACTGCAAAGGGTTTCCACGTTCTCCTCTGTTGTTCTGCCTTCTTTGTGTCTGATATTTGTTTCTTTTCCACGTTCCTTATTGCCTCTCTCCTCTCTTTTCTTAACCTTGTTGTCGTCCACTTCTGTTGTTGTGGCCAGGTCTTATTATGCAGTGGAAGTCGTGGTTGTCTGCCATACATGAGCAAGAAAGGTGACTTCTTGGTTGTTCCTTGTGTGGAGGAACGATGTGCCAGCAAAATCAATGGTAACTCTTTCTCCCAATTTCCTCCTTTTGATACTAACCATTCCTTTAACGTCCGATTGTTTCTCTCTGTAAGCCCGTTTGTCTGAGGATGATACGGTGTAGTTCGTATTCTCTTGATGCCAAACTGCTTTAAACGGGCTTTAAACCCGTCACTTTCAAAACAGGGACCCTGGTCAGTTAATATCATCTTCGGTATTCCGTGACACGCTACAATATGCCGAATTACCACCTCGGTCACTGTCCTTGCCCACTGGTCTGCAATGGGTACGGCATCTACCCAACGTGTAGCATGTTCCGTCATCACTAACAGGTACTGGTTACCGCTCGCCGTCTGTGGAAACGGTCCCATCACATCCACCGACCATAGATCACCGACTGCGGTTACTGGGATTGACTGTAATGGCGGTTGTGTGTATCGATCGCTTTTCATTAGCTGACACTGCTGGCAGGTTAACACGTATTCAGCCACATCGTCTCTCATGCTCGGCCAGTATGCACTTTGTCGTAGTAAGTCCGTCGTTCTTGCGATGCCTGTATGTGCTACCTGGTGACACTCGTGTATCACTTTGCGCCGCCAGTCTTTCGGGATCACCGCCACCCAATTCTCATCATCGTCCTGCCAGGTCAGCACTCCATATGAGTTCACTCTCAGTCGTCCTTTTCCCGAAGCAGCGTTATTACCTCCTTGTCCATTGTTCGTTTATCTACGTCTGCTCCCTCTTTTATCACTCTGATTACCTCTCGAAGGTTAGGGTCAGCTTTCTGCTGCCGGACGAGTTCTAATGAGTCTCCCTCTAAACTATTCACCGCGTATGCTGTTAATGGAAGGTCGGCTTCCATGTCTGGTCTTGACAAGTAATCCGCCATTACGTTTTCTTTTCCTGGAACATGGCCGATACTGAAATCGTATTCTTGCAGGCGTATCATCCATCGCGCCAACTTCCCTCGGGGGTCTCTTGCGGTTTTCAACCACTGCAGGGGTTTATGGTCGGTCTCAATGTGAAATCGTCTACCTAAAAGGTATGGTCCTCATTTTTCCACTGCCCACACGATCGCTAAACACTCCTTTTCGATGGTTGAATACTTCTGTTCAGCAGGTGTGAGGACGCGACTCGCGTATTCCACCACTCTATCAGCCTGACTCAACACAGCACCTATACCATGATCACTCGCGTCTGTGGCCACTGTAAACAGTCTTCCCAGTTCAGGCAGTCTGAGCGTCATCTGGCGATCGTCTAGCATGTTTTTGATTCGGTTGAACGTTTGTTCGGCAGTCTCAGTCCACGTAAACTTGGTGCTGCTCAATAACTTATATAAGGGTGCTGCTATTTCGTTGAAATTTTGATAAACCGACTGTAGAACGCCGCTCTTCCCAGGAACTGTCTCAACTTCCTTTTCGAATTAGGTACTGCAATATTTTTTATGGTAAGAATTTTCTCCGGCAATGGTTTTATTTCTCCATTTCCCACTTTATGTCCCAACAATGTGACGCTACTTCTCGCTATCTGCGACTTGTCCTTATTAATCCGAAGTCCAAATTCGTCAATTCGCTTTAAGACCGCTTCCACATGCTTGATGTGATCTGTTTCTGTTTGACTGTACACAACTACATCGTCGCCATATACCTCGACATTATCTAGATTCTTGAACAATAGTGTCATTAATCTTCTGAACGTGAACGGTGCACCCGCCAACCCGAACGGCATTCGTTTAAATTGATACTGTTTATCACGTACAGTAAACGCTGTCTTGCTTCGATCACTCTGTTTTATAGGTAGTTGCCAATAACCTGACCGTAAATCCAGCACTGTAAACACCGTGGCATTCTGTAGCCGATCTAATGTTTCCACCACTGTTGGCATTGCACAAGGCTTCAGGTCCGTTATATTATTCAATTCTCTGAAGTCGACACAAAATCTATACTTTCCATTTGGTTTCTTTACCAAGAGTACCGGCGAGCTATATGGACTGTCCGCTTCCTCAATTATACCTTCTTTTAACATTTCCTGGACCTGACGATTTACCTCGGCCTCTAAATGCACCGGGACACGACGTGTTGCAAATATATTTACTCGACTGTTGTTTATCGGTATTTCGTGCTTTACTCTGTCACAGAATCCATACGGCTCCCCATCTCCAGTGAATAGTTTCGCATACTTTTTGCATAACTCGTGAATGTTTGGTTTCTTTGACGAGACATCCGCTGCAACTCTTATTTCAGCCACTTCGCTACTTTCGTGTATTGTCAATGAACCATATTTCGTGACCACCTTACCGCTTCTTAAGTCAACTATCGCTTTTACTTCTCTTAGGAAATCTGCTCCTAATATCGGTCTCGATAAACTTGTGGTTACGACGAACGGAAAATTTATCTCAGCATCCCCCACTTTTACGATACTGTTAGATACGCCAAACACCTCTAACGTATGGCCCCCTATCGTGTGGACAGCTAATGTACACGGCTTGATTCTCTTACATTGCTCTTTGCCTATTAACGATACTGCTGCACCTGTATCGATCAGACAAACTAAATCTCGCTCATTTATGTTCACTCTCGTATATACTGCCCCTCTGTCTACTAACGCAACAATCCCCAGATTCATAGGATAGAAAGAACACTCGTTGTAACGTCTAACATATCTGCGTCTTCGTCTTGTTGGACAGTTTATCTTCCAATGTCCTGTCCCTCCACAAGCGTAACATTTATCGTTCCTTTTATTGTTCACTCGTATTGCTGCAATCTCACGCTCCAGCTCCTCAATCTTCTTCTCGACATTATTCATCTCCTGCTTTTCGCACCCGACCGGAGCTACTGTTCGCATCATCAGCTGTCGAGTCACCTTCGCCAGTTCACTGATATCCATCGGTTGCGCTGCGTTCACCAGTTTCAGTTGTTGGGAGACGGTGGCAGGCACACTCTCGATAAACTGTGACGCCAACAACTGTGCCTCCGACTCCTCATCCAGACTCGGCAGCGCACGGTGTAACAATCTGGTAAGCTCCACAGCCAGCACCAGTGGGTCACCATCGACCGGCAACCTCGCCAACCGGAACTTCTGCAGCGCGTCCTCTCTGTCCACTGGGCTGTCAAACTCCGCTGCCAACCGCTCCGTGACTGCCTCCCACGTCGTCTTCCCGCCAGCACCGTCCAAGCTGTCATACACAGCCTTCGCTCTGCCTCTCAGCAGCGTCCCCAGCACCACCAACTTCATCCTCGGCTCCTTCACCCCCGCCAGCTCCGCCACGGCCTCAAACTCCTTCAGGAAGCTCAACACATCCCCGTCCTCAAACTCCTTCGGCCATGGAATCCTCATCCTTAGTGGAGGCAGCGACACCAAATGTAGTGAAGAAGAACACGGGTGAGGACAGCCAAATTGTATTTAGGGCAAATTACAGAATTACTTGGTAAAATAGAAAAACCATATAGTAAATCGTTAATTTGCAAAATGTCATTCTATCATATCCATTGTCTCGCATTTCATTGTTCATGCGATTTCTTACAAAGTCCATTGTTTTCTCGCTCTTCTTTTCTTGATCTTCTCCATCTTCTGCTGCCAGACATTGCGTTCTTTTGACTAACGTTATATACTACTTATATCAATATAAGTAGCACGCACCACAATACTATGTTTTTTCCAGCAATTAAACATATAAGTAAACTCCTTCTGATATAAGTAAATGTAAATATCATTCGACCACATTGAAATTGATATTCACTTCTCGTCACACTAATTTCCTAGGTGAATGGTTATAAACAGTTTAATATTTTAAGGGTTAATATTTTATGAATGTAGTATTTTCGGGCAATCCGGTAACGCTTTGTTCATAACCTGTTATTATTGGATTACGCCATCAAAATGTTTTTTTTCTTCATTTCAGTATTAATTAATAGATCTAAATAAATTCAGTTCTCTTGTTATTACTTTTATGCCATATCAAAAAAGTCTTACTAAATGAAAAACTAATCATTGAGGAATTGGTAGTTGAGGCATTTGATTTCTAATTATAATTTGTCACTTTAGTATTTTGTTTGAATAGTGGTGTTGTATTACTAATTCATCAAAAAAGGCAGTCGAAATCTAAATATATAAACACGTACATAACTGTTTAGTTGGATTAAAATTCATTCTTTTTCAGTATGTTAACCAATCACTCTACGCCTCCTCACACTTCTTACATCAGTATTGAGCGACTTCTTCCAACGGTACCAAAAGTAAAGACAGTTATGTAAAAAACCTTAAAACTGTCTCAATCACGACAAATCCATATATTCAACTAAATTACCAATTTAACTACCCGCTAAATTATATTTAACCTTATAGTTTTTTATCTCGATTGACTTATCACATTCTATGCAGATAAATAGTTAATTTTGATCACCTTATAACTGAAGAAATCTTTCTGCTTTTCGTCATCAACATATTTTTAATTCATCAATATAACGAAGTATTGTTTTGTGTGAATTAAGTTTCAGAAGATTGTGAGCAAAATAATTCCAATGTTATCAAACCTGTTCAATTTCTGAAAATGTTCTATGTAAAAAATTGTTTGTGTTATGCTGTTGCCGGATTATCGAGTTATTCGAAACATATGCGAAATATGGCTAGAACAATTATCGGGATATATCGAAAGTTGCTGGGTTTATATATCTCTGGCAATTCAACAACCCCAAATAATTATGATCATTCAGAAAAACGAATTAATTTATCTTTTAAACATTTTCCTGAAGGCCAACAAGTATTCCAAAAATTTTCAGTATTCAATTTTACATACAAATTAGTTGCATTTTTTATTATGCAAATAACGTTTAGCTTATATCAGTCGACCGATAATAACGTTCAGGTATCGCTTATGCAATGCTCAAGATCTTGTATCTTATGCAAGAATGTTGCTATTCCTTATTTCAATATTTCAAATTTAGATTTTCAAAACAGTCCTGTGAAATACTGCCCTTACACTTAAGAATGGTGAAAAATAAGGGTTTTTCGAGGGGGGTGTAAGTACCTAACGCAATAATTACTGAATATACGAGTAGTCGGAATGACTATATGTTATAACTCTGTTTCTTCTTACGGTTATGACCCAGCTATTCCTATTGCTTAGTATTCTCGGACACCGATTCACTCGACAAGTCCCCAAATCAAAACACGGTTGAACAGGAAAAAGACTACATTCCAAATAGCAAGTCAGAAGCCAGTAGGAAGCACAATAGGGGAAAACGTCGGTATATTTATAGTTTTTTACATAATAAGATTCCAGAATATTCTCCGACTATCGACTAGTGCTGATTGGATAAGAATCAGCCAATCAGCGTGCACCAAAACAATCATGCATTGAGCATGCTTTAATCTAGTCTATGTCCCGCTAACACTAATTCAACTGAATCGATATAAAAGTTACCCAGTATACGCTTATGTATTCTGCTCTAAACCAGTCTGTACAGTGGTTAGTGATATTATTCGGTTGCCTGAACTGAAGTAGGTTGAGAAAATTCGAGCCTCTAACTTATTAGTTGAAACCTGACTATTTTGACTATTAATCTTTCGTTTCACAGGAGATTAAACATATTATAGATTATTATCTTCATTCAGCTGAAATTTGTGAAATTTTCACCGGGATGTGATGTAACTAGAGATTATAGCGCGATTTCCTATGTTATACTTATTGTTCACCAGAAACACATTTTCGGTGTCCATGGTTAAATTCAAAGCAACTTGTATAGTACTTGCGAAATTATTACTGCTCATAATTGCTAGAAAACATGATCTCATGAATTATTCTCTTGTTTACAACCAACTAACAACCAATGACTTTTTTAAAACTATTACTTTCACTCGTAAAAAGGGGATGAAGAAAGTTTTGGATTTAAAAAAGATAACCAGTCGGATAATATTACACGCAATTCTCTAACACTCACTTCACACTCCCATCGATGGTTAAATATTGCCTATCCTATTAGTAAGTTAACTGCGCCTGTAGCTCTTCTAGGGTTACTTCGGATCCCAAGCCCGTGTGAAGGAAGAGGTTTTGGCATGGGGTTAGCATCTCCATCCCGTAGAAAACAACCTTGCTAAAAAGTGCTAACCAGGATAAACAAATTAAATAATTTAAAATCTACCCCTGTAGTACAAGGATCTTCTTTCAAAAGAACTATAACACCCCATGGTGAAAACCGAGAAACTCCTGCAGTCACAAGGCCGATTCCCCTTATAACAACCAGAGCAATGATTAATATAGGCACACGGAATTTTCGGACAATATGGAAGACCAGGGGGATCTATCAAAGTTGTGGAAATGAGGAGATACAACTTGGCGTTTCTCTGTATCAGTGAGACCCATCGGACCCAAGCTAGACGGAAAAGCATAGATTAGGGAGAGATGCTTCTGTACTCTGGTTACAAAGAGGAGAATGCTCTGCACACACAAGCAGGGAATTGCTCCGATGCTGTCCAAAGAAGCGTGAAAAGCACTTATAGGACGGGAATCTTACGGAACCACTTCAACGTGTCAGGAGGTGCTGGGCCTCAAGAAGCAACATTATAAGAAATGGATCTCTATCGAAACCCTAGACAGGATTCATAAAAGAAGACAGCAACTAAAAACAGTCGAACAAGAGCAGAGAACGTCAAGACACATGTCGAATACACAGCAGACAAGTAATTAAAGTGGAGCATCAGAACCTATGAGCAGAAATAGGTTGAATATCAAACAATGCCAGCGGTAAAGCTGCAAGAGAAGGAAATATGAAACAACAATATGACGCGACGAAGAAACTGGTAGGGAAATGTAGTAAACCAAAGAGACCAGTCAAGGATAAAGAAGGCAATCATTGTTGAACAATCGATTGGATGGAATTTGTCACTATACATCAACTTCCTTAATTATGAGAAAGCATTTGACAGTGTGGATAAGAGAACATTATGGAACCTACTTCGACACTACCGTGTACCTGAGAAAATCGTCAACGTCATGCAGATTTCATACGACCGACTATTGTGCAAATTGGTGCATGGAGTACAGCTGACAAATACATCCCAATTGAAGACCAGTGTCAGACAAGACTGCCTACTCTCCCACTTTCTCTTTGTTCTGTTTTTTGAGTGACTGGCTTGTGAATTTCTCGACATCTGACAGGAAGCACAGAATAAAATGGACAGGTTGGATGCAACTAGACGATTTGTGCTTCTCAGAAGACCTGGCCCTTCTATCCCATACACATCAAGAAACGCAGGTGAAGACGACCAGAGTAGCAGCAGCCTCGGCATAAATAGGCCTCAACAAACACAGTGGAAAAAGCAAGATCGTCAAATACAACACGGAGAACATCAACCCAATCACTTTTGATGGGGAAACTCTGGAACAGGTGGAAACTTTCACGTACCTGGTCAACATCCTCGATAAATAAAGAGGATATAAAGGCGAGGATTTTCAAAACAAGGGCGGCATTCCTACAGTTGAAGACCATATGGAACTCAAAATAAATGTCAACCAATATCAAAGTGATAATCTTCAAGACATTAAATAGTGCAATAGTACTATTTGAAGTTGTGTTAATTCCGGTTATTTGTTGACTCTGAAGAATTGGCTTACTTTAAATTACGAAACGTCAAAAATATAATTTTTCTACTCAATAAGATATAACAAAAATTTATTTATTATTAAATCTGTACGTGGTGCTCAATTTATTTGAAACAATCAAGTCCAATTTTGGTATTGATGTAATGAATGTCAAAACAGTTCTACTTTACGGAGATTGAACTTCGAGAATTACCACAACTATAATCAAAAGGTACAGTTATCTACACAAAATACTCAATACCGTTTGATCGGACACCATTAACGACAGCCTACTGTATAAAAGAACAAACTAGCTTCCAGCTGAGGAGGAAATTAGGAAAAGACGATGGAAGTGGATAGGAAATACGTTGCGGAAATCACCAGTCACGAGTCAAACGCTAACTTGGAATCCTTAAGGGAAACGGAAAAGAGGACGGGTGAAGAACACACTACATGGAGTAACGGGAAGCAGACATAAAAAATGAGTAGGAACTGGAAAGGATTGTTCAGAACAGAGTTGAATGGAGAATGCTGGTTGGCGACCTATACTCTTCCACGAGATGTAACAGGTGTAATTTAGGTATATGAACCTCACATCAAATATGGATTCTCCGAATAATTAGGTGATAAAAAGTTCACCGATTTTGATAGGTCGACAGACTATATGATTTAAAAACCAATAGTTGTTTTTAGGAAACATGTTGGGAATGTTTTTTCTTTTCAGGTACATAATTGCAACTATATTCAGTACACCTTTTTTGAAGAAACATATTTACATATTGGTGATATCTACAAGCGATCAATTTTCAGAAAAGACTAACACTAGAATTTGTTTATTTTAATGTCTCAATTTTTAAATGAATAGAACCTTACGTATGATTGATATCACATTTTACTATGTTAAAGTTTACTAGTGCAGTGGTCAGTAAGTGGATAGGGTATTCGATTTTCAGCTGTTCAGTCGTAGTTTTGAACCACCTGTCCACCTACTTCGGTTCAGGTCACCTAAGTGTATCACTGGTTGTCACACCAAGTGCAACTCGAAGCCAACTACACGGATGTTTACTTGTTATAGGAGCTTTTGTATAAACTGTCTCCCCAAAAATATGCATTAAAATAATATTTTCTCTTATTGGTTTTATTTCAGTTGTAATTTACTAAAATTTCTGTCTAGTTAACAACTATTTTTTAGCTTTTCCTACCAATAATCTTAATAAGTATTACGTGTTAAACAAGAACTTTCGCAATGAATCTTGGTAATCTTTATTATTCTTATTATTTCTAGATTGCCTTTGTTCTTGATACATTACGCAATAGTTTATCACATGGCGGTGGGTCTATTCTCGGTGGTGGAAGTCGTAAAGCTAAATCATTCCATATATCCATCGATTCAGGTGGACGTTTAACAAAAATTCATGCAAATTTCTTTATCAGAGTTTTAAAAATACTCAGTCAACCAGGTAGGCTAACATTTTCCTATGTGTGTTATAATATTGCAAAGTGTTTTGTTTTTGATGTTTGATATTTATAAGACAGCTGAGTATTAAAAGATCAATCCCCTACGGTTGACGTATATCAAACAGTATGCGTCTAGTCCCAGAAAGCCTCTTACAATGAGATTCTGACTGTTACTGGTCGATGTCGTAATTTCGGATCCTTACGTTAATTAATCACGGTATTGGTTAGTTTTCCTGATTAATCTAGTGATGCTCAAGTGAGTGACACAAACTGAACGTTTCCTTGCACTACGTGAGCATAATGTGAGGACTGTATTTTATAAAATTACTTATACTACTACATAAGATTTTTTTCTTACAAATTCGATATGTTGAACTGGTTGCAGTATTTTTATTATTGATTTATTTAAACACATAAACATTGGTACAAGGAAGCACCAAATAGATATATGCCACATAAGTCATCCGATTTGTGTGAGGGCCGGGATTCTGCTCGGGTGCCCAGACCGAAGCAGGTGGTTTTATTAGGAGGCCACACCCGGAGCCTTTGACCTAAAGGTCTAATCCACAAGGCAGTGGAGCAACGTAATGAGATGCAGTCCCATGGTAGCCGGTGACAAATGGTTAGTTCATACGCCGTTTGTTCCCTCAGGATCTTGGAGCCCATGTGCACCATTACTTTGGAATCAGGGTTTTCCAACTCCCCTAGATGGATCCGCCTTATCCACCAACCTGCGTAATGCGCCGGACATTCGCTTTTCGTCTTCTCAATTTCGCAAACAACACCCCCGCCACGAGCAGGGAGTGAGTAGGGCTTCCATAGCAGTGGTTGTATGCACGTGGCCTTGTGAGAGCATTTCGAAAGGGAGAGCTGACTCTTCTCACCCTCCACCGTCCCAGGACATTTGGGGGTCGTGAGAAGCAACCAAATGAAAATATCTTGAAGGTCGTACCGTTCATTATCCTATTATAGAAATTTCGATTTCTAATGAGAGTCTGCTCTTAGAGATATCAGTCTACAATAGCTTTTTCCACTTTTTTCGACCAATTTTCAATATATGCTTTATAATTAACTTACGTCCATTTATGCCAGTAATGCCATTTTTAGTTAATGTAATATTCTTTAACTCCACTATGTACAAAACGTAACAGAATTCTATTTTTCATAGAACACTAAAAGTAAATAACATAATTAATAGCATTTTTCAAATGTCCTCATTGTAACATAACAAAATTTGTTCACGTAATTTAAAGTCATATTTACATAGAGTATTGAAAATTGTCACTTGAAAAAAAGTGTGATGCAACACATTTTTTATATAGAATGTTAATAATTCCACTATTCAAATTATTTCTGATTATGTATAAGTGTGATTTAATGTGTTCAAATTACAAAGATTAATGTAAGTATTTATGTGAATTTAGGTATCAATGCTCGTTCACACTTGACTTCTATCAGTTAATTTATCGATTCGTGTCCCGATTTCAGTTCCATGCAAAGCATTACAGATAAATGCTTGTTTACATAAATAAACCTTGTGATTGCTTACTGATTTAGCGTAATTTTTTCTTTCAAAACAAAAATTGTTTAACAAGCCGTTTTTCTATGAAGATAAGTCTGCACAAATTACAGTGATTCTTTCTCAATAAAAGAAAACTACTCATAAGTAGTAAGGAAAGTTATTTAGAAATTATCAAAGAAAAATTGTACTGAACATTTATTGTGTATAAATTTTTTTTAGGAAATTTTGATTTCACATATGCCATGTAAGCCCAGCAGCTGGCTATTATTAATCGAGTAAAGTATTGGATTCAGAGGTCTCTCTTTTAATCCAGTGATCAGTCACCTTCTTAGTTTATATTAAAGATATTTAAAACAAACATTTCTTATGGATGAGATTTATTTCATTTTCATATTGTTATTTCTGTATTCTTTTCCTTTACGTAGAAAATCATATGTTTCAGCCTATTTGGAATTGTTTATTGGCAAAACCCGCAATAGATTTAAGATATGTACCGGAATTTTTAAGATTATACTTTTCAACAAATAATAAGGTAAGTAATATACCGCTCTGGATTATATGTCTTTATTTGCGAAGGGAACAGGGGACCGGTATTAATAACAAATGCCATTGATTGTGTTATTGGCTTGTGAAGTTGTGAAATAGAGCTATTCATTGCTTTTAATTCAGGTACATAACTTTTCTGTAGTGATTGATTTCTCATTAATATATTTGTTTTGATTCTTACCTACTTGTTCAATTAGATAAAAACAACACAACATTGTTTGTCATTCCAATGATTTTTGACCGATCAGTAAAAAAATCATAGTACCGAAAAGTAGTGAAGATTCGACAAGAAAATGGGCGTCATGAAAAACAAAATATTCAGGATTAATACTCTTTTTATTCAATGTCTTACTGTTAAATTATTCAATCCGGTTTTATTTGATTGATCACAACCTCATGGTAATAAGTAAAGTTTAGTCATTGATGGAGAGTTTTTTATATATCTCGTGTAAGGGAAACTGTATCTAAACAAACACTACTGTTTAAACAATATTCTCATGACTTTGGAAAAAAATCAGAATTAAACATTTATCTAAGTGTAGGAGGCTGTAGAATATTCATAGTTTAAATCACGAGCTGGTCTTATCTAAATCACCATTGAGAACTCGGGAGCACTGATTAGATTGATAGTCGTATGCTCACTAGTTTTAACCTTAAGGTACAACTCCTGGAGTACTAGTGATAAGCCGTGACCAGTGTAGTCAAACCATGTTGAGTATCATACATTTATCCACTGCAGGCACTGGATGGGGTTAGACTTGCACGTCATTGGGTCCTGGGGCTAAAGGTCTAGAAGTCATGCGTCCACACGCGGGACCAAATATCTTAAGTTTGATTCGTGGATTTGCACTGCTGGAGTGTTCTCTACTAGTTCGAAAAGCTTATCCAATGCTTCCAGGTTTTCAGTGTTGGTCTTACTAAGATCAGTACGTGATTTAAACCATTTAATTAAATGTAAATTAAGTTTTTCCTAAAAAACTTCTTAGACATTAATCAATACAGTCTTTTTTATTGCCTGTAATGCTGTTGATGGATGATGATTGATGCTTGGAAAATTTTCACACTATTGTGGTGTATGCTACTTATATCGACATAAGTAGTGTGTAACATCTGTCAGAAGCGGAATGCCCGGTGGGAGGTTGGGAAAACTGAATCCAAATGAACGGAAACAATGAGTAATTGTTATGGGAATGAAGGAACGATTAAGTTTGAGGAAATTGATGAATGATTTGCTAATGAAGTATTAAACGTATGGTTTTCACATTCGACGAAAAAATTTTAGTTTTGTATTAATTGGTAAATTGGTTGTCCCCATCTGTGTTCTTCATAACACTGTATATTGTTAACTTCTCCGCCTAAAAGTTGTAAAATATCCACATTACTTTTGCACAAATAATTTCTCTTATTTTCTGTTTTTTCTATTATCTAAAAAAATTTCAACACAATCCTTTTTTAAATTTAGTATTTCATAAATATTTTTCTCGTTGCGTAAAAACGTAGTTGATTATCCTATGTGTTGTCTTCATTTTCCCCTATTTTTCTTTCAAAATTAATAGTTCACCATTGAACGTCAATGGATTGTTCGATTGTGTGTTGATAGTTTAGGTGATCCAGCAGACTATTTAGTGATGGAAAATTCTTTAGTATTCAAGCACATTTTGTGTGCTTATTCATTACCTTCAGCTGATATGAGTTTCAAGGTAATGTTATTAATTATTGGTTGTGATTTTTGTGTAGAGTTCTCAAGTAGGAGAATCACTTCTCCATTTTGTCATATATCTATTGTTTTAAACATTAAATCTAGATATTTGAAGGCGTTTTGTGATACCCTGAATGAGATAAACTTATGATGAATACTACCTACAAATCTAGTTATGTTAACTACTTTATAGGTAGGTCTTGAATGAAAATTATGTGAGTGTGTGAGGTCATCTTATAGGCTTTAATAATTTAAGCATACAAAACTCGATTTGATGGGAAAGACAGTTCTAATTAAACTCATATAATTCTTTTCAATATAGTTCTTTTTATTTTATGTGAGAGAATTATCGATGGATTCTTGTCTTTTCATCCTGTTAATAAATATAAACTATCTAATAACTAAGGGTATTGTGAAGACTAAATGTGCGCATGTGAGTGCTATGCAACCGGTTGATATCAAATTCTAGCTTTCGCTGACCAAGTTAGTATCATCACAGGAATTCAGTTAAAAAGAATCTGTTGTTATGTGTAAATAGTGAGTTTTTTTTTATGTGCAGAGTCTTATCCATTGATTCTGTATTTTGAAGCTGTGATAATGCCACTGATCATCATTTGCGAATTTCTTATGATATTGTTAAAATTAATTACGTACATTGCAGAAAGTCGCGTTTTCAATCAATCTCTTAGATTCATTTTGTATTTTAACCCTATTGACGTTTTTTTATAATTGTTTACAGTTCTCAGTTTTACGATTACTTGTAAACGCTACAAAACACAGTCGAATTGTACACGCACTTATAAGATTTCATTCAATCTTACTTTGGCTTTCACGTCATGCAACAGCTTCAGTCAGGTGAATCTTCTTGATTGAATTTTTAAACAATTTTTGTGTTATTTTTAGTTGACATGTTTTATGCTATTTAGTTTAGAAAAAAGATAATTAATCTGAAATAGTTATTTTTATTGAAATGTTTGAATATTACGTTTATTATTGAGTCTATGGCAACTTCTAATTACAAACAATTGAAATTCTCCTAATATAAATAGGAACTAATCCGAACTCGATAGAATGGCCGTTGGCACACAACCCCCCAAAAATTTCCGCCTTCATGAAATCCGGTTATGGAGGATATTTTGTGACATGCAGCGAAGTAGGAATTTTAATGGAACAACTCTGTTCATATACTGAGATGTGATGACCTTAGTACAAGTCGGAATTACCAAACTAAGGGTGACAATAACTTATCAGATGATAGCATAGTCATTTTGTCATTTGAAATCACGAATTGACCCTAGCTAGACCTCCACTGAATACCTGGAAGCCCCAAGCGGCTGATTCGTGCCAGTATGGAACTCAGGACTTCCCATCCACGTACGTGAGAATCGAACCCAGCACCTTTGGCATCGCGAGCGAACGCTTAACCTGTGAACCACGAAAACCTTGGTAACTTGAGCTCATCATAGGATCACGACATGTTTGGTCTGATTATAATTGGTGTGTTTCTTCATGGTTTTATTTTTCTAAATAGCATCACAGTTAAAAGTTCATTAGAATTTACAGCGTATTATCGATTGAAGGTCGTCATTTTTTTGTCTATTTTACTCCACATGCCTAAAACGTTTTCTCTAATGTCATAAGTAATCGTTCGATAAGGTCACTTGAAGGCCATCGTTTCAAAGTACTTTTATCAGTACAATATTGTAATTAATCAAGAGTTGAAATCCGTAATAACATAGATTTTATCTATCTCTCGTTTCTCATAGACAGATATAACATTCTATTCAGGTAGAAAATTTAGACGCTTAAAAGCGTTATAACGAACAAAGTTTATTGCATCACTCAATGATTGGGTGTCTACCATAGACATTCTCGAAGCGAATTATTGTACTGTAGACTACTACATGTAGAAATACCTATAGATACGATTGTACAGCTTCAGAAAATGATATCGTCCAAAATAAAAGTTTCTTTTCTGAAAGATCCTCATACTTTATAATGATTCATTATACTGTATGTGATGAACATCGAGGTACAACGCTTCCAGCACTCATATCTAATATATTGGTTGTCATCATATTGCGAAATTATGCGAGATAAATAAAAATGAGTCAGGAATCGTCTTGGATATCATTCAAATGTTTAATAGACTTATCATATCCTGACACTCTGGGTGCATGTTATAGATTCTTGATTTTACAACCATCTTCACTTCGTGAGGAAAAACTGTATTTTGAAGTTGTCTGACAGATAAGAGTAACTACTCAAAAATTTCACTAACATATTGAAATTTCTTCTCGAAACTTTAGAAAGCAAGTGTACATATGCTTACCTCTATCTGTGTTTGCAAACTAGCAATGAGATTAGATAGAATGTAGCGACTCCAGCGTTCTCCTCTTTACTTTTGTTACTGATATCAAATACCACATGGTGGTGGTGATTTAGTTCTGTTACGCACAGTACGGTATGTCGATTTTTGGACAAAGCTGAGTTACTTTTTGATAACATCGAGTTGCGCAAAACCATCTATCGGTATTTGAAGAGCGAGAACTATTTGTTTGCGTTAATCTAGACTACACTTGGCTCTGATATTCCAGTTATAAAACGTAACGTGTACAACTCAGTGTGAGGTTTGTGAATTCTGAGGATCTTTGGGCGGAAGATTTTTGAGGGGTCTATATGTGCAATCTATATTGTTTGTTTGACTTTCATTCAGTGACATCGTAAAATTAATGCTGTCTCAGTTATATATATATATATATATATATATATATATATATATATATATATATATATATATATATATATACTAGTGAATATCTTTCGGCCACATAATACAGTCACACAAATTAAACCGTCCGACTGATAATCCTATACCGATAACATCGAGATTACAGGTTAGATAGCAGTGAAATCAGCAGAAAGAGAAAAATGATTTTGCAGTATGAAATAGTTTTTTATGTATACTTACTGTTACTCCTCGTAAAGGAGCATAAGCCGCTCACCAGCATTCTCCATCCAGCCCTGTCCTGGGCAATCCTTGCCAGTTGTAATTCATCCTTTTTATATCTGATTCCATTTCCCGACGTGATGTGTTCTTTTCCACTTCCCTTCAGGATTCCAAGTTAAGGTTTGCCTCGTGATGCAACTTGTATGTATGTATAGTACAATTATATATCTCTTCAATCCTTGACCAGTCACATATCATTTTAACTGAACATGTCATATAGGTTTTCAGCTTAGCGTTTATGCAACATATTAACCCTTGCATATTCTTGTAAGGTTCTATTGTATTTTTTTGTTTTGTACGGTATGATATCTTTTTTCCCAAGAAATGAAGACTTGCTTTATTGACTTATGGCTTTTAGTATTATTATTATTATTATTATTATTATTATTATTATTATTATTAATGAGTGAACTTTTGTGTTTCTCTGTTATATGAGACAAAGTAATTTTTACTTTCCATTAGTAAAGTAATTCCTTAAAGTTGTTAGTAATCTAAGCATTCTAGAATATATGTCTATATATATAATTCTTATAATTTATTATCTCTATAAAATTCATATTTTACATTTACCCCTTTAATTAAATGGTATGCATTAGTTTGTTATGATGAAAATAATCAATAAATGTTATTTTCACCTTATAATTTAGAAAAATGAATATTCACTTGTGAACTACTTTTGTCGTCATTATTATTATTACTACTGTTTTTATGAATATCATGATGTCTGTAATCCATTCTAAAATAAATAAGATGTGACCAAATTGAAATCAATATCGTATATTTATGGAATTTGATGTACTGTTGACTAGTGTCAATTTACAAAAAAAACATCATTTATGATTTAAAAGAAATCTACTTGCAACCATATATTTTACAAATTGTAATTATTATTGCTTAAATCGATTTGCAACAGTTCTGTTTAATGGACAGGATCAGAAGACTGATGATTGGAACATTCTTTCAGTGTAACCACTAAGTTGTGCTGTTTCAAACCTCTTATTCTTCTACTTTAGTTACAGGATTCTGTTAGCATCAACAGATCCAAAATAAAAGTTGTGGCGTAAAATCGAATCCATGAATTTACTTCTATCTAGCTGCACAACATTGTATACGTTTCTCGTACAAGACAATTCTATTGTCTATCGTCATTATCGTTTCAGAATTACTGGAATCAAGTTTTAAAACAGTTAATTAACAAACAGAATTGACAATTTTTAATTAGTTTTTTACGCACCTGTTTAATGCAAAAGCAATTATAATCAGCCCATATGTGTACTAGTTTTGTAGCATAGCAGACGGTAAAATGTAAATCAAATCGAACTAAGTACAAGTTCATTTACATTATTTGTGTAAAAGCTAATTCAACTGTTGTTTGAATACTTAAACTATAGTACTTGAGACGGAGTTTGAACATTTAGTTCTTAAACTGAGTGCTTTAGTTATTAAGCAATCAGTTCACTGGTAATCGAATGACTGTTAACTCCAAGCCAATAGTTGTATACATTTTCTCTATTTTTTGTTTTCATGCATAGTATCTCATATGCATCGTTTCTTTCTTTAAATTGCTTACTTTTTGCAGTTGTGAAGAACAAAGAAAGTTGTTTTTATGTATACTGGAAAATATTCATAATGCTTTAGCTGAGAAATCATCCAATCAGCCTATCATGGATATAGTAAATCTGATAAAAGATGAATGTTCGTAAGTCTAGCCATTCGGCTTTTGAGATCATTAAATATCAAGTTTTTAATAAAGATACGTAGTCGAATTTATAAGCTTTTATCTGGAATAACTACATCAAGTTTATGAGCTTAAAAACAGTAGATTTATCAACATTATGCTCAATCATTGAAATGGTACTTGAGTCTGTTTTTGTCACTAAATGTTTTCACATCTCTTCTATATGAAGATTGTTCTTTTCTCACAACAAAGTAATTGCTTTTCTCCGGTGAGTGGTTCTGTACCGGGGTTCTTTTTTAGGAGTTGAGTTTTCTAACCCTACACCAAACTTTTCCTCTTTACCCGGGCGTGAGATCGACAGTAGCCCTTGAGGCATTCCAGACGGATTAACATATTAAGGTTATTTACAAGCCTTTGAGACACGTTATAATTTTATTCAAATGGAAAAACCTAAGTAAATCTCATATCAAAGTCAGATGTATGTCTATGTACTCTAGTTATTTAGTGGAAGTTAATCAGTACCATGCTCTTTTGGTCCATCATGTCGGTCGAGTACTTTGAATCGAGCTGGCGATATATTCAATAATCTAAATGTCTGGACATTGCGACAAGGCTATATCTTAGTGGTTAAATGAATCATCTTCAAACCGTTAGGTCTCAGGTTGGAAATCTTGTTCACTTGCTTTGGTCTAAACACCTCGTAGTATCGCTCGACTCCTCATCTAAAGTGCAACTCAATGGCGAGTTCATGAATCTGCACTTGATAAATGAGCTGCCCTACTATTGTTAATATTAGTAAACACTGTAACGCAATGTGTTATGAGATAGTTTAGATGGTAGTTGGAGGTAGTCAACAGGAAACCCTGGACCCGGGTTTCGTGCTACTTGGCACTCGTCAGCAAGGTGTACCTGTAATCTTGAGGGAACTGGTGCTCCCTGGCGGATTCGATCTCGTGTCACCCAGCTTCACAGTCGGAGACGTTACCACTGAGCTATCCGAGCCGTGACTAACCTCCTGTAGGACTGAGATGTAATCACAATTGATTGATCACTGGGTGGTGGTGATCAATGTCATGCTTGTCCAGCCCTTATTAATGCAGATCGAATGCTATCGATCATGTTGCAATGTGGCCACCAGTCTAGGTGACTCGACACTGTGGGCACTATGTATTGAGATTTCGATGGTGGTTGGAGGTAGTGAACAGGAAACCTTGGACCCGGGTTTCGTGCTACTTGGCACTCGTCAGCAAGGTGTACCTGTAATGTTGAGGGAACTGGTGCTCCCTGGCGGATTCGATCTCGTGTCACCCAGCTTCACAGTCGGAGACGTTACCACTGAGCTATCCGAGCCGTGACTAACCTCCTGTAGGACTGAGATGTAATCACAATTGATTGATCACTGGGTGGTGGTGATCAATGTCATGCTTGTCCAGCCCTTATTAATGCAGATCGAATGCTATCGATCATGTTGCAATGTGGCCACCAGTCTAGGTGACTCGACACTGTGGGCACTATGTATTGAGATTTCGATGGTGGTTGGAGGTAGTGAACAGGAAACCGTGGACCCGGGTTTCGTGCTACTTGGCACTCGTCAGCAAGGTGTACCTGTAATGTTGAGGGAACTGGTGCCAAGTAGCACGAAACCCGGGTCCAGGGTTTCCTGTTGACTACCTCCAACTACCATCTAAATCTCAATACATAGTGCCCGCAGTGTCGAGTCACCTAGACTGGTGGCCACATTGCAACATGATCGATAGCATTCGATCTGCACTAATAAGGACTAGACAAGCATGACATTGATCACCACCCAGTGATCAATCAATTGTGGTTATAAGATAGTTGAAGACGGTCGATAGAAATCTTCAGGTTTATATTTCATGCTCACTCAGCTACGACATAGGATCAGGCACATATGTGCATCGGTCCAATTTGCTATACCTCATTAGCACAACAAGAGGAACACCGGATTCATAAAAGTAGTTAATTCAATGATGGTAATATACAAAAGAAAGATTGCATATAAGAATATAGTACAGGAAGAAGGAGTTAGTTCGTAGAAAGATATATAGCAAAGTCTCGACCGTTGCTTTCTCCCTGTAATATATCCTTACACTTAATCCTTTTTATATATTACTACCATTAAAGTAACTACTATGGATTTTGTGTTCATCTTGTTGTGCTAATGTGGTGTAACAACTTGTATCGACTCATATATGTGCCTGGTCCTATGTTGTAGCTGACTGACTGATGGCAAAGTAACCAATGAAAGATAGAATCCAAGAAATTGGCTGTTATTTGCAATTACTAATGCAGATAAATATCGTGGTCACAAACTTTAATTCTAAGTGATGTCTGGTAACTTCTAAATTTAGTAAATTGTATGGACTTCGCATAACCAGTAAACGAGTGGTGACTAACCAGCATTTTTAGCTGAAGACTCATTCTATGATATATCATAAACTATGTAATCCCACTCTTTAACTCAATCCTATTAGCAAAAACCAGTCCTCAGTAGAACAGACACTGGGATATAATTTGTATGACTTATTCAACGTAACATTCTAATATTTGTGGATATCATCGCTAACTGAATAACCATAGAGATACTACTTAGATGTACAAACGGAAATCGGTGAAATGATATTCAAATCTTGAAGCTAATATTCGATATATGAGAGTTTAGGCTGTTGAGTTATTAATTTTATTATCGTCTTAGTAGCAGATAAATTGTTTGATTTTTGTTTTTAGTGTGAAAAAGGAAAGCGTGAACTTGTATGCAATCGCAACGATCCCTTCTGAAAGTTGAAACTACATTCATTTGTAATCATATTATTCAATGCTCCGAGTTATTTGTCATTTGGTTGCAAAATGATATGATTTCTAGTAAATCAGTTCATTGCATATGCGTAGCACTTATATAAATAATTCAAATATCGTCCTGTGGTATCTGAAATCGTGAATTTGATTAACTCGAACAATGTAGGATGTGAAAATGTAACGCAATATCTCATTTCTCCATGATTTCTGTGAATTTAATGTAAGTGTTAGGCCAGCTGTTGAGGTGGCATAAATGACAGTGCATTAATAAGGTATTCAAAGATTCGAGTAGTTTATAGATTGACAGTTTAGACAGATACTTTAAATAGGAAAATTGTACTATCTTTAGCTCCCAGGACATTAAATATAGTTATCTACACCACATAAACTATTGTTGACTTCTTATATTGGTGGTACGCTTTAGTGTTCTAATCATCTAGGCTTTTCCTGATTCCATAAGTCACTCATTATTCGTCTCTCACTGAACCAAGAATATTTTTCTACAGAAACAATAACCAAATAACTTAAATCTGATACTTAAACGAAATCATTCGATCGAATTGTCTACCTAAGGGAGCTGAAAAAGCCTAGTTCGAAATTTTAAATGAAAAGTATGGACAGCAGTCTACTGAGTTTCACTGTAGAACAGCACATTCCGTAACGTAGTCTGTCTGCTTGGAGAAATAAAAATTGGACATAGCATACACAAACAATAGCATGATAGATGTAGTTCGCTACACTCGATGAATCAGGTAATGGACTTATCAAAGACATCAACCATGTCGGGAATCCGTGTTATAGTATTTTCTGACTTACCATGCTAATGAAGATTTTTCTTAGTTCGGGAAAAACTAGGAATGCCATTCGACAAGCTACCACTTTGATAAAGTTAGTCTGTACAATTTGAAGTGATTGTAGTCGAAATGACAATATTTGAATTCACTTTGTGATACAGATGAGAAGACTTCATACTACCACATTTTGAAACACTAGTATCCTATCGTTCTCGCTGGTGTTATCCTGATGTAACAAAGTACACACACGTCTCGAAGCATCTTTAGTGTGAAAACTAGCGGTACCACTCCTGATAAGCGGAATTGTATGGTCATTTTATCCAGTTAGTATACAGTCGTTTGAATATTTATTAGCGATCCCTTCAACTTACATAAATTTAACGTCTTGGGAGTAGCTTTGGGCCTTACGAAAAGTTTATGTAATCTTGTTTACTTCAATTGGATGTCGTGTTCAGAGAGCGGTCCAACAGGACACTGAGAATATTCCGATTAATAACGAAATGAAGATAGATTAAACGACTCAGATAATTCTTTGCTACCGACTACCCAATCAAGCTACTGCAGGACGACGAACTAGTCAACGTACAAAAACGCCATCTTTCAGTGCCCATGTTTTCTTAAACACATCGATACCGAAGGGCTCCAAAACTTACCAGCGCTCTTAGCATGAGTAATCCCCGTTTATTATCCAAACACTTAGGAAAGTACCTGGATTGTTCGTGTATGTGCTCTAAAGCTCCGGATTACCATCTAACTGTTCCAAATACAGTTGCTTTTAAAGAACGAGGTCAGTGGTGACCTTAATCAACTCTGGTTTTTAAATCCCGGAAACCCCTTGGTAAGATTTCACAAGCTAATATCACTCAGAATCGAATAATTCCATAGATGGTTTGCCTCTCCCAGTCAACGCGCGGAGTTGAATTACGGCTGGTACCATAAATCGTCCACACTTAATATGCTGCTCGAGGTGTGCTATCTCATTTCGCTTATGCATTTAATAAAATATATTTTGTTTAGCAGTGACCTTAACACAGAGCTTTCAGCCTGAAGTACTATAGGATTCAAGAGAACATGATCAGATTAGTCATGTGGTGTTGGGGTGTAATGTGCTGCACTCCACGCTACTTGTCGATCAGCTAAGTAGGCCAAAACTTAGGGAGCACATATGCTTCATTAGATCTAGCACCATGCAGCTTACGGGGTGTAAAAGCCACCGGTCTGCTCCATCCAACTCGTTTCTGAGTGCTGCTAAACTGTTTTCATCAACACGTAGTGCCCACATAGCACGCAATGAACCCCTTACAGTCCCAAACAGTGTAGCTTTTTATTCGACCGCATTGTGAATTACAAAGGAAATTTACTAATCTCGAGAGCTCCAATAACACACACATCTGAGTACAAACGTGATATAGTAATATTGTACCACTGATACTCTTAAGATCTAGACGGTTATCCTCTGCTCGCTTGTTTACTAATCGGTTAAACGAGTGGTAGTTTATTTTTCGCAACATTCAATTAGTGAATACCACGTCTCAGCTGACTAACGTTCGCTAAAGGTGAATGGTTTTCTCTAAGCATTACCTTACTATAAGTACTTTATTATTCAAACACTGCACTTAGTTCATAATTCACGCGATGGCTCAAAACCCGATATCACGAGAGTAGAGCAGCACATTTAAGTTATATTCGAACCTACGCTGACAAAATCATGTAGAATATCAAATTCAGAAGTACATCTGAGTCATGGGAATTAATATATACAGAACAGGTAATTACATTTCGATCACTACGTATCTTAAGTCATTAAGTACATCCAATTCCATTTGCGACTTACCTAGATGCTACTTTGGAAATCCTTACTACTCACAGGGTGGCGAGAATATGTTCTTGAGCTTGAAATTACTTTAGAAACTGAGTGGTGTTATTAACCCTTATACAATGCGACTGATTCAAGTACATAGCCATGCAGCACACAAAGCAGAATCATCAAAATCGATTTGCCAACCACTACTTCTGTTTGTTCGTCACTTATCTATGCTACATACTGACGCAGATTAACTCAACCTAGTCACTACGATGAAGCTGGTATACAAATTGTAAGCAAGACTACTTAACTGGGCACTACTTAATAGACCAAAAAAGTTTTAAAGTATATTTACAATATGTACAAGGCAAGAGAAATATTTACTGTTTTTTGCTGCTGTTATTTAACACGGTAAACTTGGTCATTGGCTTGCCACCTATACCACACGTCCCAACACCCACACGACCGTCCAGCGCTTCAGGAGAGGCGAAGATACTTTTCTTTGTCTTCCCAGTTTTGATCATTATCTTGCTGAAATTAAGCCAACGGTTTTTCTCCTTTTCGCAAAACGACTCAATCTCTACTTCCCTTTGAAGAAGACGTTTTTTAATCTTCTTCTTTTCTATAGCACGAGATTTCGTGTCATGTCTGCAGATTCATTTGTAGAAATGTAGGAACTTACTTTTTCTTTTTCACAATAGGAGTAACTGTCGTGACCGGCTTTAAGTGACACAGCTGCAAAAGAAACATGCTTGCGATGAACGTGATGTATAGAGATCAAGTATTGTATATAAACAGACATCTCAGGTTTGTTTAAACCAAAATATTCACTCACGATTAATTTCCCCACGAACCGTTGATTGCTGTCATCCCAATTATCAAGCGGACGGCTTCAAAGTACCATACGTCTCGTGCTTGAATGTATACAAAAATTTAACGGCAGCCGCAAATGGTAAGACAGTTAGGACAAACCAATCTTTAAATAGGTATTTTCTAGCTAAAACGAAGACCTAATTACGTAGACAAGTTTTATTAAGATTCTTCATAAGGAATATGAAAAACTAAAGTCCCATAAAAGGCTTATAATTATACAGCTGCTACAGTTGCTGGGCAAAAGATCAGTTCCCTACTTCAGACAAACTTAAAAGCTATTTTAGTAAGCCTACCAAGTGGACAAATACAGCAAAGATATAAAAATGTAGCAAGAACACACCTGGATACGTCCGTTGTATCGTACATATCGAAATTAACGACGCAGCTTACATCCCCAAGAAATTCAAGTATTGTAGCGCGGTAGTAACTACTAAGTAACACGAGAATTCAGGAAAACCTACAGTTTGTCACGGGAGCACATGGCCATGCACTGATCGCCAACATTCCACGATACTTCTGGTGTATCAGATGTTCTGCCCAACAATTCAAGTGAGAGTTTGATGACTTCCTCGAGATCTCGTTTGAGCTGGAGAAGTTCCCCGTTTTCTGGATCTAGCTCGAGAGCTGCTTCGACCTAAACATAAAGAAACATAAGGCACTTGAAACGAACCTGCTGAAGTTGCAGCTTGTGGTTCAAAAGGTCTAATTGCGGATCATCAGACATCTTTAGAAATCAGACCTGTATATGGCGCTATATACGTAGTCAAACCATTAAAACTAAATATGTACTGATAACATAAACCTAGGTCGGTGTAAAGTTAATGACTGAGATTTGAACTTTATTACGTTAAATAATTGATTCTGGTAATTAAATTTGTGATAAATGGCTTTTATGTAGAAATTTGTTTAGAAAATATGAACTTTGTCAGGGACGTGTACGAATCATAAGGTGATTTGGTGGATATCTTCGCCATTCCTTGGGAGACCTACAGACTCGGGTCCTCTCATAGCTTATTCTAACCACCATGGGTTGTCACGCCAGCTGATGGATGGACACGCGTCACACATCCTAACCGTATCTGCTTCTTATCTTATAGCTTCTAATTCAAATGCCATATGACAAGCAAGCAATGCCCCTACCCGCATTAATGCAACACTAGTAACTCAAATGCACCCCGTATGGTGCCTTACACTGGTTTACGCACTCGCTTAGCTCTTTAGTGAAAATCCCATGAACCCCCCTTGTAACGGAAAGAGAACAGTGAAAATCCCTTTGCAGCTTCTTTGTTGAACAGTATTTTCATTTATTTGTTCCTTCTCCCTTTTGTGTATTCCAACCTTTGTTTCGATCTCGTTTAACCATGTCTTTGGTTCTTCAATCTTCCCCGTTTGAGCCTTTATTATGTGATTTTGATTAAAGACTTATTTTGTTACCTAATTTTCTATTGCATGTTGCCGGACCATTGACAGTAAGGTTGTGTTTGGCTAAGCTCAAGGTCACGGCGTGGTTCAGTTTGTGATTGTTAACCTTCTGACTGTCTGCTTGGGATAGTTGCTGCAATCCCAGCAGATAGATATTTGATCCCATCTTATTGGGAATATTTGTATTGATTCTCAGGTATCAAACCCTTTAGTATTAACTGTCTCTTTCATTGTTTAGCGCGCTACTTTGCGTTAGAGAAACTTCTGACTGTATAGCACAGGCTGTACCGTTTGAGGTATTTTGTATTTTGATCTAATTTGTTCTGTTTTCTTAATTAGAAACGTTTATATTGAGCACAGAGTTTGTGTTTTGATATAATATAATACGAGTATCTCAAAGACGCGTTGTGAGCTATACAGAGGAACTTGGTATGGTCTAATCGAATAAATTTTGGGTTCGTCAGTCCGTTGTTCCAACCGAATATTGGCTGTTCCGTCGTTACACCCCTACCTCCATCAAAACAAATAAGTCTGTATTTGCAGCATATAGCAATTTTATTATTCAAAAGTAAGATATAACAGTTAGAATTAGAATAAAATGGCAGTATACAGCAGATACACGTGGTACATGTCTTCATCAATTAACTGAAATAGAGAATACGGATATTAGCTTAAATGGCTTATTTAGAAAGACTAGTGTCTAATTTGAACTTACTGCGTGAGAAAGTTATACTGGAACTACGAATAATGTAGGAATCTAGTCTCCCAGGGCGTACGAAGCACTCAGACTGTAAGACAGTTGTCCAAAAATAATTCGAATATAAAGGTGAAAATTTGCAGGTACTTTTCATCATAAGGGTGAACATATTAGGTACCAGTTGACATCATACCGTAAGAAAACACAAATTTGCGAATGGTGAAATATAATCTATAAAAAAGTGAGCTTAATAACAGTTAATTACCTTTTTACTCCCTGATCATGACCCTTCGGCTTCCTTTTATGGCCAAAACAGCCAACATACACTACACACTGGTAGCAGATTTCCGTCTTTTCAATGTTAAGCTTGCTTTAACGCACTGAGTAATGGGTACAACCCCTCCGTTACTGTTATATGGCATATTTTTCATAACAAACCCTCTGCAATAGATTGGTAGCATCTGTGACTTCATCTATAATTGTCGGAAATCTGGGTCCTTTCGAAATCAGTACCGATATACCCTACTGCTGGGCACTCTGTATTAGTTTGACTCGTTGGTGGGACAGTGTTGTCCATAATAATGAAGAAAATTAAAAACCGCAGATTGTTTCCTTTCTTTTTGCCGATAACATCCTAAAGGACAGTTAGGAACGAACATGCGAACAGTTAGTCACAGGCGGCAGCAACAGTTATTTTAGCTAAATGAAAACGAACTTCGGCTTCGGATATCTAGAAAACAAGGTAAAACATAACCGATTGTCGTTTAAAAACGTAAGGTCTTATGTTAGTACTAGCCAGCTTAGCTGAATAAATACAATGACTTCAGTAGCAGCAGGTAAAACTCAGAAAACAAAGCAAAATCAGGAAAATTTTTTCTCCAACGTTCAGAGTATTACACTAACTTCTGGATTTTAGCACACTGAAACATCAAATTCTGTAGCTACACAAAAGAAAAAAACGGAAAAAACACAGAACGAAGAAAGCCGGCCGACATATTATAACACAAGACTAGCCAGATTGCCCGAAGAAATACATTGACTTGAGTAGAAGCAGCAAAAACCCAGAAAACATCGCTGATTCGAAATAAACTTCACACCAACATATAGAACATTACACTAAATGCGGCATTTTAGCACACTGAGACATTAAATTACATAGCTACACAAAAGAATTAGCTGAAAGAAGCACAGAACGAAGAAAGCCGACCGCCATTGCTTACAAAGATGGCGGATGTAACAATTCCGGCCCCATCCTGATTGGTTGCTAAACGGAAGGGCACATTTACGAAATTGAGTTGCGTTTAATTGCAGCCATGACTTTTTGTCTTCAACGTAAGATCCTATAGTTGAGGGAGTCACATTAGGTCTGTCATTTTAATGGATGTAAGTGCACTGTTATTAATAACAATTGTAAAACGTGGGAAAGCAATATTGTGAGATTGACATAATACATTCTGCAAAAGAAGGGAACAAAGATTACCCAAACCACGTACAAAGTCGCCACCATCTAGATAGAAAATACACTAGCGTTCTGTTATCATAACATCAGATAATTCAGAACAAGAGGCATATGTGTGCATCAAGGTATTTTTGAGTTATAATCAATGTGTCATGCTAGGAGGGATTTCAAGCTAGAACGGAAGATCCATGGTCATTTGTATTTTAAAAAAACTCTCTAACAGTCAGTCATAAAAAATATACCAACCACGAGAGCTAGTGAAAGAAATGTAAATAGTAGCAAAAACAAGTTACAAAATAAGTCTGTCCTAACGATCTCCATACCATTATTCATTGAAGTGAACCTAATATACATCGAAAAATCTTCTGAGCCATCACTGAAACGATGTTGACATGCGGTACAGAGAGATCAGGAGAGAAATTAACATTATGTGCTACACCATCTACAATCCCTTTAACACTAACGAATATCTTATTCACTTTAGTGACTAATTACACGTGTTAAAATAATTATTTAATACAGAAAATGAACAAGTCAGCGTAACAATACGTGCCAACTCTTTTGGTGATCATAACCACTCGAATGTGAAACTCATTACAGGTGGCAAAAATAACATCACTAATTTCGGTGGTTAATGAAAGTAGTTACTTTAAGTGTAACTCCACGGCCAGTTCCATCATTAATAAGTGTGAAGATGCTACAGGTATTTGGAATTGGACAACGCTTTAACCAGTAACGCCTTCTATTATGAATCGTACCCACCAAGTGAAATCAAAAGACAGAAACGAAGAGGTTCGAAGATATATTTGATAAGCTACCAATATATCGGGGACTGTCTGATCTAATCTGGCTAGCGATTGCAGTAGATGTTGAGCACGGCGTTCCCACTCGTGATCTGGTGCGGATGCATGACCAAGGGCCTTCAGCTAGGTGCGTCCTTTAAAACTAATGTAGTCAGGATGCAATGTCGAAAACTTACTGAGCTGTTTATTTTGGGGATTTAATTACCGCTACAGATCACTCCCCCCTCTTCATTTCTGTCTTTTGATTTCACTTGGTGAATACGATTCATAATATGTGTTACTGGTTAAAGCGTTGTCAAACCCCAAATACCTTTGGCATCTTCATTGGTGACCCGACGAGATCTGGTACGCCAAATTGCGAACTGTGAGTCTGTTCCTTTATGGAATTCTGTATATTATTACCTCATATTAATTTTTTATATATTGTGATATTTTTTCCGTGGTTTTGGTATATATATATTTCCCTCGTTCATTCTCGTACTTGATATTTCACCATGACTGAACAGACACTCAAGGTATTTAAGTTAAAGACTATGTTCCCACCTTCGTTCCAGCTAATGCCCTTTTGTCCAGACAACATCGAAGCCTGTTTCTGCTACGCAGAAGCCGACTTCTACGGGCACGGCGTGATCGACACACGTGCACAATTCCTCGCAGTAGTCAAGGCACTACCGCGCGAATTCAACAGGTGCGTAACACCTAGTATGTTTACTAGTGATGTTTCAGAACCCTCCGAAACACTGAAACGATCTATTAATAAACACGGAGACCTAACCGACAGACAAATGTTAGACCAACTCCCTAATAGCATCGACCTGCAACACGTTCTGCGACACACATGTTGCAAAGAATGAGAGAGGTTATCGGCCAAAGAACTTTCGATGATGGCCTATTCAAACAACTTTTCTTATCAAAACTTCCTCAACAGATGCAAGCTGTGCTGGTTTCGCTTCAAAACAACACCTTAGATGAGCTGGCTGCATCTGCCGACCGCATCTCAGGAATCACCAAATTTTCTAACGTCGAGGTATTTTCAGTCGAAGAAAAGCCTCAAGCGACACAGAATGACATCACCGAATTATGTCATACACTTACACGTTATCTTAAATTTCGTAATGACCGTAAACGGTTGCATAACCCGCGAAGAAGCACTTCACGTAGGCGGTCTGTCTTTAGACCACGAGAGACGGATAACCCCGACTGGTGCTGGTATTATAACCAGTATGGAAAGTCTTCCAGAAATTCCAGAAAAGCCTGCAATTTTCGAAACTCGATCGACACTAAAAACAAGCCGTAAACCTTCCCAGATGACACGCATTAACGGCAACTGCAGCCGGCAAACATAGTCGTCTGTTATAGGTCATAGATCCGGGCTTGGGACCGGCAGTAGCCTTCGAAGGGACTCCAGGCGGAGTTAAGCCGATCGCTACATATGATAAAAGGTACGTTTACACTAACATGTGTTTACGCAAACCCATTCACTGGATTTTTGTTATTGCAGATGTTTCTATGCCAATCATTGGTATAGACCTCCTACAACACCACAATCTAGTCATCCATACGCGCAGACGGAGGCTAGTAGACGGGAACACCAATTTATCTGTTTGCGTAACTTCTTTTTCCGGTTGCACATTATCTCTAGTCACAATTAGGCACACGACAAAACCCATTCTATCGACCGATACTCGACAATTATTCTGGAATATACCAATCGCAACCGAAGAGCTAAGGTTAACCAAAAACTGATTCGACCACATGATAGACTTATGAATCATACGACCGTCAAACAGCCCATAGGCATCTCTGTTGCTTATATGTACAACCATATGGTCCCTAAAAATGACAGGAACGATTGGCGTCCAACTGGTGACTATCAGTGATTGAATGCAAAAACCATTCCCGATCGTTACTCGTTGACTCACATTCACAATTTGACAGCTACCTTGCAAGGTAAAACTGTCTTTTCGAAAATCGACTTTGTTAAAGCATATGACCAAATCCCTATGGTTACTGACGATATACCGAAAACAGCTGTCATAGCGTTTTTCGGACTGTACGAATTTTTGCGAATGACTTTCGGTCTAAGAAACTCTGCACAAACTTTCCAAAGGTTCATAGACGACGTTTTTCGAGGTCTCAACTTCGTACAGGCGTTTGTTGTTGACTGCCTAATAGCAAATGCGAACGGAGAATCGCATCTCCAGCATCTGGATCTTGTTTTCGAACGATAACAAAAATATAGCATTACTGTAAACATTCAGAAATGCCAAATCGGAACTGACTCATTAAACTTCCTAGGACACACCATAGATGCGCAAGGCACTCAACCCCTCAGAACTAAAGTGGCGTCCGTTCTAGATTACCCAGAATTGAACACCGTCAAGCAATTATTCACGTTTAACGGCCTGATAAGTTTCTATAGACGCTTCGTACCGAAATGCGCGTCACTTATGAAGCCGCTAACCGAGTACTTTCTCTTTAAGCTCATCTTCAGTCAGGTCCTCACATCGTGAGTCTCGACATCTGAACTACATTTCGCAGTTTACTTCAGACATTCAACACATTTCTGGATCAAACAATGTAGTCGCAGACGCCTTATCTCGAATAACTTCCTTGAACAATTTCCAAGGAATCGACCTTCTGAAACTCGCCCAGCTTTAAAAAGAAAACACCCTTAAGCTGTGCACCAAGGACATGGGAACAGGTAAGGAAACCTTACTGTGTGACACATCTACAGGTAGGGATCGTCCAGTCCTGCCGAAACATTATCGATGCAACATATTCAATACGTTGCACAAACATTCTCATCCAGATGTTTGTGCAACCATCAAGCTTACAAACTCAAAGCGTCCAGTTAAACCTGGTTCCACTTGATCGCAATCAACTGATGTTTTCGTTCAACCTGACTTACGATATAGTATACACATCTTCATTCGTCGAGACTCACATCTTCGACCTCTCGAATCAGCATACGAAGGACCCTTGAAAAATGTTAAGTGTAGATGCCAAAGGTATTTGGGGTTTGACAACGCTTTAACCAGTAACACATATTATGAACCGTATTCACCAAGTGAAATCAAAAGACAGAAATGAAGAGGGGGGAGTGATCTGTAGCGGTAATTAAATCCCCAAAATAAACAGCTCTGTAAGTTTTCGACATTGGATCCTGACTACATTAGTTTTAAAGGACGCACCTAGCTGAAGGCCCTTGGTCATGCATCCGCACCAGATCACGAGTGGGAACGCCGTGCTCAACATCTACTGCAATCGCTAGCCAGATTAGATCAGACAGTCCCCGATATATTGTTAGCTTATCGAATATATCTTCGAACCTCTTCGTTTCTGTCTTTTGATTTCACTTGGTGGGTACGATTCATAATAGAAGGCGTTACTGGTTAAAGCGTTGTCCAATTCCAAATACCTGTGGCATTTTCAACTGAGTTGTTTTATCATTCAATATCAGAAAAGAACATAACAAAAACGAAACCTTCCTTCTATCAGTAAGTACTTTTAAATACTTGGTCGCAGATTCTAAATAACGAATAATTAATCAATCTATCAATTGAATTTCATAGTTTGAACTTGTTGAGGGTCTTGTTTTAACCTATAGCTTTTGCTTATCAACATTATTGTGCTGATTTAATTCTTGTCTTTAGGCGATTTTGGCACACTATGCGTGTTAGTTTACGGGTTTTCGCGCACATGTAACATTTTGTCGTGGATTTTATGTTTCGTTATTTATCAGCTATTAACAGCCTTTTTTCCATCATACGTGACTTCTCGTAATCTTTGTGATTGGAAGATAGTTTTGATTTCAATTTATAAGTAGTTTGACGTAATTCGTGCTCACCACCTAGGTAAATATGTAGTTGGCGTAATATGGTTATTTTTAACAATACAAAGTCAAACATGTCAAATCACCATTTTTCTAGTCAAAAATAGATTACAGATTGAGTTTTCATGAAAATAAGCCGTGAAAAGCATCATATATGGTTCACCTCCTTGATTATGCTGACGGCAAACATAGATGTATGTAGTCGTTTATAAAATGTAATCAGAAAGAAGCAAGCGTTAGACTAACTATGAATGTTATATAAATTTTTGTATTTAGCCATAAAAGGTTATTTGGACTATAGGTAGCATTGTTTTGTACTGAAGTGACATATTATTGTGTAACGTATCAGAGAAAAATTATGTGAGTAACAATTGACGTTGATAGTCTTTTTTACCGGCTTTCTGAACGTATACAGGAACAGTGTATAACACCACATTAAATAGGCACAAAATCTTCATAAGTAAAACGATGGGTGTCTCTTCTGAGCATGGTGACAAAACCATGTCGTACTTAATACTGAATTATGATGTGTATGTTATAGGGTTGACGAATAATTTTCTGTAAACGAAATGCACAATCGCAGACGAAAATGTGAACAAAGTTATGATGCATATTGTCGAGTAATATCTAAATGGTGCTTACCAATTTCTCTTGCTAATAGCAGATGTATAGACGAAATACTACAAGGGTTAGACACTGAATAAATTCCCAGTGCTTGTTACGACACAGATTTGAATAAAAAAACAACTATTAGTGAGTTAATTCATGAATTCCTACCGCATTACAGACTGACTCGTCCGAAGTAATTCATGCAGACAACGGGACGAAAAGTGAATGAGCAATGGAAGCAGAATCACAAGTTCCTTGTATTCATATCTCGTTTATGCCACATTAATGAATAACATTTTCTTCATAATTCAGACCACGCTTCTTTGTTGTGACGAAACTGACTTCAGCAATTTTTAAATAACATTGATTTGTGTGTTGTAAAGATTACCTATTAATTTTTATTAAAGGAAATAGAAATCTCTAATGATTAGCGCTGTCTGCAAATAAGAGACTTATAGGTACATTCTGTAACCTGCTATTTGATGTACTTATTGAATGTGATACTTATAACTAGGTCTAATTCTTTATTTCACAACTGATTTGTTTGTTTTTCAGAATTGTATGAATCCAATAAAGTCGTCAAAGGTTTGTGATGTTTACGCCGGTCTACAACTTACAGAATTTGTTAAAAAACGGTTTACATGTTCATGTTAACTGTGTTCCGTATTGCCTAGTAACATTTTTATTCAACTAATGAATTAGTGAAATATAAATATAGCAACTACACTTATTGTCTTACTTTATAAACCGTGTCCGTCTTTATTAATAGTCGATATGACGCTAGAACAAATATAGATATAGAATAATATGAACTCCTTATAATCCATGGAGTGAACAAGTAATAAGATGGATTATGTATTAATTCATTTCACTTTTAAAATTTAGTTGCCGATTTATTCCAGCACCCTGTCACTTACATCTGCTCACTTAATCCTCTGTAATTATGTGACCTCTTCAAATTGTAATAAGTTATTACGTGACCCAAGTTTTCAGTTCTTAAATCCACGGATCACTTATAGGCCATAAGATTTTCACACCACTTATCTGTCTGTGAACTCCAGTCCACTATTACACCACCCATTCTTAATGTTATTGACTGTAAAAACAAATGACCTTTGACCTTAAACTGCATATATATATATATATATATCTAGTCATTATTGATAACCCACGTCATTTCAATTATTCATATTAAGGTATGTCAACTGTTTCCCACATCACTGTTAAATCCTAATGCATATTTAGTTATAACGAATGCATACCACTGTTAATCAACATTTATCCTGGTTTCATTTTAATTCATAAGCGGAACTAATCACATGGAATTAAAATCTTAGCTACTGATACGATTTTAATTATAAACGTAATCCGACGAAGGTGAATATGATATGTGGGTGCCTAATCTGCAAGATTGTACGTGGATGTAGGGTTTCTGAATCATTCTTAATTATTACAAACAGTTACACATGAACGTCATTGCTATTTATTCCCATGAAACTAGGAATAAGATGAAAATTAAAATTATGACAGTTTATTGAATAATCATTGCTGCTAAAGCAGAAAATCAAGTTTACAAGTTGGTATTAAGAATTCTTAAGTAATAATTGTCCACCTTCTTCTCAACTTCCGTTGCGAAACGTTCACCATACTTCTCAATGATGCGTTGCTTATGGATTCTTTGACTTCGATGAATACTTATATACACTTCACTCCGTCGTGTTAATGCAGTTAATGTATAATTTTGGAAGTTCTGGGTATTATGTAACTTCCATCTGCTACAATACCTAAGAAGTTGATGAGCTATGCAGTTAGTATTTCATAATTGATATAGCTTACCTGTAAGATTTCGTCTTTTAACGTAGGCAAGTAGCATGTGACGGCAGGGATATCGGCACATCATAAACGTGCTACAATTGCATTGACAAATGCTTATATCAACTTCATAATGTTGTCCGCGATCAACCATAAACAACCAATCACCGCTTTCATATTCCACGTAGACAAAACGCATTTGTTTAAGTTCGTATAACAATTTAGATCTAGCGAATGGGGTCAAAATGTTTAGCAGGGGTGTAAGACGCTGTGGAGCATTATATTTATAAGATCTTGCGGCTATCACTTGATCTTCGATAACTTCATCTGCTGACTCACAGTGAGGTATTACGGGCTTCAAGTTCTCTTTTTCTTCTGACGATAATCTCCTTGTCAATGAATCACATACCATCCATGAACTACTACATGGATGATTGTGGAGCATGTTGTAGGATTTGATGACATATCCTTGCTCCTCTAGTCTTACACGAAATTTAGATCGACAATTACGGAATTTAGACCTTAAACATAAGATATTAGTTAAAGATCTTACGATTTTTGCCTCACTTTCAAACCTTCCGATTTCCTCTTATGAGCAAACGTACAATTAAACGATACAAACAGGTTTTTGAACCTGACATCCTTCAGCAATCTGCTTTCTGTGTGGATGTAACGAGTATAAGTAGTCTGAGAAGCGATAAAATTATAATTCCATACTTTTTGGAACTCTTTTAAGGCGCTTTCAAAATCATCCCACAAGACGAAACGCTTGTTCAGTATCATACTTCGAAAGGCATCAGTTAGGTCGACTGAAATGTCACTTGAGCATGAAGCACTAAAAACAGAAATGACTAATTATTAAAAGGTTATTCCTTGCGACAATAATAACCCAAGAAAATACTACAAATACTTAGGATTTACCTGTGACTTGACATTTCGTTGAGCTTTACTACAGTTGTTGGGATCAAAGATCAAATTACAAAGCAACAACAGAGCCAACGTGTACACTACAAAACAGAGAACGCTAAATTAATGGTTTTGGTATTTATTTCGTGCTTTTTTATGTAGCATAACATGACTTATATATGAAAAAACTTGGTACTCATGCAATCCAACCAACCCACGGCAATTGAAATACGGAATGACCGCCTCTAGTCAAGCCGTTCAAGGTCGTTGAAACGAAAGGGCGGGCACATTTCAAAAGGACCTAACGTTTAAACCTTGCCGGCGATTTTCGTGGGTGTAATGTCTATTTACATTTCTCGTGCATAAAACACCTCAAGTCTGAAGTAAACATGACTCATTTGTTTTAGAAATAATGTAATCATTTATTGACGAGAGTAATTAACTAAATTAAAGATAATCTCAAAATACATGTTTAGAACAAATTTGTTTGTTGATTTCAGACCTCTGACGGACCAGTCGTCCGATTCCTCGCTATAAGTCTTGCAGAGATATCACAATTGTTTGGCAATTAATAACATGTCACCATCAATTAAACATAACTCCAAGGTGGTAACAACCAAAAAACATTTTTCCTTGAATTCGTAATTTTGTTACAATATCACATAATTTGTCTTCTTTCGATAAGTCGCCCGGTAATTTAAGTGTCCGCATAAATTGTACGATTTAACGATCAATACCAAAGATTACCAGTACAGAATTATTTCATATATACTAACATTAACAGGTATAACATATTTGGGTATATATATCCATATTTATGTTTATGAACCAATGTATTGCAGAGTTTTAAAATGGTAATCTCAGTAGAATGTGTATTGTTTTTCAGGCTGTTGCACCTAATTACATTCAGCCAGGTATGAATTCGGAATTCGTTAAGTCGAGGACTAGGACGGATTTTGCGAAGGATCAAACTCAGTTAACATCTAAACGCTCCTCATTATGTCGGTCAAGAAAAGTGTTGCCCAGTAAAAAGTTATCGAGACAAACCCCACTTCTTTATTCGCGAGGAATATTCAGAATCAAGAGGTCTGACGAACACCAAAATTTAAAAGGAGAGCTGGATGGAGTCAATAAAAGTAATGAAGTTTACATTAGATCTAAAAAGAACTATTAGATGATAATATAAAGAACGTATTCCAGGTCTTGAAGTCAGACAAAAATAACTATTCACTTGAGTCTGGTGATCATAGCGTAAATGAAAAAGAGGATATTGATGAAGACAGAAATAAGAAATTTGTGGAGGAGGAATCAAGTTCTTGTTCAACAGATGAGCTCGAAAACACAAACGCAAAGAGCACGAGGAAAAATGCGTCAGAGGTAAGTTCGCCAATACAATGACATGTTGTCGATGGCCAGTGGACATACGAGTTTTGTTGTTCAAAGCAAGAGAAGGTTTATATATTTATCATTACAACCTACTGGATGTTCATGGTAAGAAGAGCTGGGTAGAAACTCCAAACTACAGCTCAGAGTATTGGTAGACTGTCTGGAGATCAATGATTTGTCGTCCAACATAGTAACGATTAAAGCGATTGTATGATCTATCTAGGTATTAGTGACATTTTACTGACCATGCGCTAATAATTACCCAATAAAGTGTCATACCAAAATTCTGTGAATTCTGAGATCAGCTAAATACATCACCATAGAAAATATGTCGCTGACAACTATTGAAAAGTGGTTCTAGATTACTTTGCATTTTCCATTTATCATAACAGTTTGTATATTTAAATGAAACAACCTACTTGACAATGTCAAATCTGAAGTTTTGAGGATTATGAATTAAATGATGAGAGATGTAATGGGTTTATCTTCATGAAAACTTGTTAGCTTGAACAAAGTGTCTGTCTGTTTTATCTCAGCTTTCATTGGTTTGTTCACTAACAATGATTTGTGACTCAATATCCAGTGATTTTAATTGGTAAAAGTTTAATATGTATGTTATGCTAGTTAATGTAATTTGCTTCGTTTTGTCGACTTGATTTTTGCATTAAGATTTCCCTACTTCTAATTTTAAGATTTTTATGAAATTCAGAAGATTGTAAACAACTTTTTGAAAGGTTGTTTTACTTTTTTACTGAGTAAAACAAGACTATCAAAATAAATGTAAGCTTTTAACGCGAAGAAATCAAGTAAAATCTCAGGCGATCGTTTGATAACTAGTAGCAAAACTTAACCTGTAACAAGTTTAAATAAAGGTTAACTTTAAATGAATTTTCCTGGTTTTCGAAGTAAGAGATATAGTTTGAGGAATGTTTGTAGTTTGGTTAGATGTTACTCTTTGAGGTTAGCAGTCAATCAGAAGGAATTTTGTCGTCTTGCTAGACGTTGTTGTCAAATATAAAACCAACTTCGAAACTGCTTAATGAAGTTATCTAAAATAATTCTTTAATTTCAAATATTTGACCGTAAAGCAGCAAGTCTTTAGATACAAGATCATCTCAAGTTGTCATACAACTAAGAAAATTAATTGGTGTATCTAACATTTGTTTTAGTCCCTAAGAAAGTGTCGCAACTAAGTTTGTGGCAGTCGTAATATATGAGTCAGATAAGTTCATTTATTTGTCAGTGAAGTACATTAACAATTTTTTTAACATACTTACCCTACTAGTCCACAGAATACCTGAGAAAAACAGAAAATTATGAACTACCAAACATACGGAAAACCATTGTTCGTCTTCAAGAGAAGGAGGTATGTTGAAAACCATGAATGAATTCTATTCCTCCAAATTAAAGCTACTTCCTTGACTGTTCTATGAAAAGATGCTGTCCTCTAAGGGATTGTAATAAATAAATGAAATTGTTCAACTAAAGATGTGGTCATAATAATGAACGTGTGAATCATTTTTTATTTAAAAGACCGTGAAGTGCTCTTAGGGAGCTTTTAAATGGATTTAGGTGGGCTTAAATCAATCGCAGTAATATGAATGCAGGAAGATATATAAAGAACAAGTCTTCACTTCTCTGGTTTCGAAAACGTTTATCTTACAATGGCAGGGTAAAATTCACTTTTTATTTAAAAAGTCTCTTTTCTATTTGTTATAAATTCGAGTTTAATTTAGATTGCAGGAGTAATTTATAAGTACGGGGTTCATAGTAGTAATTGCTCGTCAGATGTAAATAAAAACCTATGAATGTTGTACTATATTTGCTGCCATAGTATTTGTGAGTGCCAATATTTATTTTGTGTATAAAGCACCATTATATTGCAGTGAAATTGGAATTGAACTTATTGAAGACATTGGAAATTGACTACTTTCAACAATGCATGTAAAATCATTGAGTTAAACAACAGCAACTCGTTTAGATTCATCATCATTAAACATAATAAGACAACTAATCGCTGAATATTCGTTTATTTACTATTTCCAAGAATATTTTATTGATTTTGCGTAATTTTAAAGAGTATAGTCTTTAATCAGTCCGTTAATTGAACTTTTGTATTATCTTATGCGCTTGTCCCTCAGTTAAAAGACAGAATCTTTTGATAGAACACGTGAGTTCATCAAGGTTTGAAGTCAGCTTGCTAAAATTTTCGACATTTCCATGGACTCAAAGTAATACTGCAGACGTTTTATCTACTCATTTATAAAATCATGGTCAAAATTAGATTTGACGCATAATTGACTAAAAATTTACCAAATCAATTTATGTGTAGATTTCGAATGTCTTATAGCCATTGTCGGTGTTATAGATTCGCTTTTGTTCGCTCTCACCATCAGTCTGCTAACGGTTTATGTATAGGCCTGTGTAAACTCTAGATCAGAAGACTAAGAAAACCGGCTAAGTGCACTGCATGAGCCTGTATTATTACAACTAACAGGATTACATGGCTATCCATACGAAATACATGACTATGACGAACCACAAATAACAAATCTGAGTACACATGAAACGATGACAGTAATGGTTCAGAACTGAGTTACGAGTTTACGATTAATTAAAAATAATTTATGAAGAATGAAAGATATGATAACATTCAGTGTGTCATTGAAATCTTAAAATTAGAGTAATGATAAATAAGTTCAATAAATATGCATTGTAAATATTTATATTAGATTCCCGGAGAATGGTCTCCAAACTTCCATCATTCTTATCATCTTAATAAGTAGTGGATCATTTATGAATTTGTTTAGTAATACATGGCTTAAGGTGAATTATTCAAATGTTGGTCATCACTTTAGGTTGGTGTTAATTCTCAAAAGGTGAACTCAGTTAAGTAAATACCCACTAAATCTTTGTGATGCCTGTTTCTCAGCGGAATCTAGCTAGTATTTTAATTCTTCGTGATCAGCGTTTTTATGCTAAACTAGAGTAAATGCTATAATTATGTCGTTTGAAGCTGTTAAAATTTCTTGTCCAAAAGAGTTTGTCTTATCCCATTGTTTATATTCAGTGCCGAAGTCTGCTTAATCGTTATTGGCTTCCAGAGAATAAGCTCAGAATAGGGTGGAACGTGATCTGTTGGTTCTGTAGCTAATTGAAATTTATTACGGTTCGTGCTTTCATCAGAAATATTTGAAGTATAAGAAAAAAGCATTTGTGACGGGAAGTCCAAAAGTACTCCTTACTAATATATGTCCAAATAATAATAATAGATATCTTAGCCAGTTGAAAGCATGGTTAATTAATCGAACAGTGCAGATCACTAGAATTTAATGCCAATGAAAAAGCAAATATTCTATTTTCAGAAAGTTTTGTATTCTGGCTTTTTTTCTGTTTAAGCTCTTTATCACCTGACTTTAAACATATTTCTCACACACTTGACAGGTCAGTCTATTTTCGACACTTTCAAACTTTCAATTAGAACACTAAAAGCCCAAATAGATGGTCAAAAACACCTTTATTATTGAAATCTATAATTCACATAGTTTCATGCGAAAGATAAAAGATTGAAATTAGACTAGAATTTATAAATTTTGACAGATATGGGGCCATTATTTTTTCATAAATACAAGTAACTCCTTCATAGTTGAATGATCATAATTTATGAACAACAAAAGATATCATCGCTACAATCAACAATTCAAAAAGTGGCTTACAATAAACACTATGAAACATGTCATAAAACAGACTAATTCACCAAAAATAACTATTTCACCGTTATATATCTCTTTTCTGCCTCACTCTAACGATACTAAATTTGAAACCAAGCTTTATTAAATATTTTTTCGGTTTGGAAGATTTTACAAAGAACGCAAGCAATAGAAGCAGAATTTTATGAACGTTTGATTGAACTTAGAAAAGAAAATGAAACTGAAGTAGCAAAAATTATGAATCGTAAAAATGCTGAATTAATTGCTGTACAAAAAGCTGCTGAAATGAAACAATGTGAACTTCGTCAAGCAATAGATAAACTAGAAAATCAATTATCTGATACAGTCAACAATGCTGATCAAATTAAACGTAGCTCTGAAGAGAAAGTAAATCCATAAAAAGCCTTCAATATTAATTTTTATTTTGATTGTTTGTTGAAATTAATCAGTATGATTATTACGATCACTGAGGATCCTGTGTTCGATGGCCGTTGAAATCATCCTTTTGTACTACTGAGGAGTTCCAAGTTAGGATAGAGCGACTGTCCATTGCTTTCTGATTTCTAATGATTCATAATCTGAAGCCATTTCATGATGTTTATTATCTTAAAATCAAATCGAAACTTGAACATTTAGTTTCTAATTTTATTGTATTCAAAACATTAAATAATCAAATTATTCAAGCAACTTGTAATATGAGATTACATATAAATTGAGACTATGTGATGCGATTCAGTAGTATGGTGTCTTTTTTTAATCTATGGATGATTAAACATAGTTGATTGTTGATCTCACTTAAAACTACCATAGTTGTACAAGATTTTCTTTAACATCGTAAGTAGTAATACAATAATTGGTCTTTTATTTGATATTTCAATGACTAAAGCTCTAAAATATAAGAGTTCTCTTCATAATAAAGAAATTTGATATCAGAAAGGACTGATAGGTCCTGGGTTCAAATTTCACGAGGCGAGATTGTGGATACACACTGCTTAGGAGTTCCACAGTAGGATAAAACTGTCATCCAGTGCTTCCAGGTTTTCAGTGGTGGTCTAGCTTCAATTGACTCATAATCTCAACTACTAGAAAGAATTTCGATTTGATACTCAACAGTTGATTAGCATGCATTCGATTATTAAATATAGTAACTTGTTGTTTGACAAATGTTAGTTTTTTCGAAAAATACCTTTTTTTAAAACAGAACTGTGATTACTTATTAAATGTAATTGGTTCAGATTAATGAGCTTGTTAAATTACAATGAATGAAGTTAGTAAATTTATTATTTGCTACAAGGTTCAGATTAATGATAGCTGACTTTATTGTTAATATGAATACATTTTAAGAAACAATATCAACTATTGAAATATACGTAAATTATTTGTAAAATTATCCTTTATGTAATTAAAGGTGAAATAGTTGAACATGTTTTTGCTACAACTAATTAATGTCATTCACAGACCAAATTGCGGCACTACGGATAATCGTCGAACAATCAGTTCTGTGAAACTCGTCACCATACATCAATTTCATCGAATATGAAAAGGCATTTGACAGTGTAGATAGAAGAACATTATGGAAGCTTTTCCGACACTATTGAGTTCCCGCGAAGATTGTCAACATTATCCGGAACTCATATGACGGACTACAGTGCCAAGTCGTGCATGAGGACAGCTGACAGATGCACTTCAAGTAAGGACCGGAGCCAGACGAGAATGTCTACTCTCCCCCTTCCTCTTTCTTCTGGTGGACGACTGGGTTATGAAGACCTCGACATCTGAGGGTAAGCATAGAATACAATAGACAGCATGAATGCAGCTAGACGATTTGGAATTAGCAGGTGGCCTAGCCCTCCTATCGCATACACACGAACAAATGCAGATAAAGACAGCCAGTGTAGCAGCAGTCTCAGCAATAGTAGGCCTCAACATACACAAGGGGAAAACCAAGGTCCTCAAATACAACACGGAGAACACCAGACCAACCACACTTGATGACGAAAATTTGGAAGATGCAGAATCCTTCACATACCTGGGAAGCATCATCGATGAACAAGGAGGATCAGATGCAGACGTAAAGGTGAGGGTCGTCAAAGGAAGGGCCGCATTCCTACAATTGAAGAACATATGGAACTCAAAACAACTTTCAACCAATATCAAAGTGAGAATCTTCAATACGAACGTGAAGACAGTTCTAATGTACGGAGCTGAAACTTGGAGAACTACAGCAGCAATCATCAAGAAGGTACAAGTATTTACAAACAATTGTCTACACAATATACGCAATGTCCGTCGTCGGCAGGATACCATCAGCAACAGCCTTCTGTGGGAGAGAACAAACCAGCTTCCAGCTGAAGAAGAAATTAGGAAAAGACGATGGAAGTGGATAGGACATACATTACGCAAATCATCAAACTGCATCGCGAGGCAAGCCCTAACTTGGAATCCTGAAGGGAAGCGGAAAAGACGAAGGCCACAGAACATATTACGTCGGGAAATAGAAGCATATATGAAAAGGATGAATGATGACTGGAAGGATCTGGAAAGGATTGCCCAGGACAGGGTTGGATGAAGAATGCTGGTGAGTGGCCTATGGTCCTTCGCGAGAAGTAACAGGCGTCATTAATTAATTAATTAATTAATTAATTAATTAATTAATTAATTAATTAATTAATTAATTAATTAATGTAATTGTGAATATACCTTAACTTGACTGATGCAAGTTATAAATCCATGTAGAGAATAATCATCTATAGGTTAGTCGCATATACAATTTAAAAGAAAATCTATGTTATTCGTTCAAGAAATATGAATTTTTCTTGTTATATAGATGAATCAATTACAGTCAGTAATGAATAAACAATTTGAAAATCTATTGAAACAATCTAATGAACAACGTGAATTTCTTATACAAGAACATGAGAAAACATTGAAAGATTTGCAAAATAAAAATGAATCTACTTTTAAAGAACTGGAAATAAATAAATCCTTTGTTATAGAACTAGAATCAAAAATGGAATTACAGGTAAGTTAAGGTTATACAGTTTGTTATTTTAATAATTAATAAATTTGCAAATTACTGGAAAATTTCTATCAGATTAAAACATGGAGAATAGTCATTTCAATAAATTCTCTAAGTTCTACAATTGAATATTCAAGAGTGGTTAGATTTACGACAATTACAACACTTTACATTACAGCTAATCTGTGTCACGTAAAGACGGGTATCTACCTCAGACAATGGAAGATGATCGCGCTGTTTTGCGGATTGGTTGAAGATAAACATTAACACCGCTGAATGTCGGCTCAATGGTCTAGAGGTTAAGCGTTCGCGCGTGAGTCCGAATTCTGAGAGCGGGATCGTGGATGCGCACTGCTAAAGAGTCCCATAATAGAACGAGACGGCCTTGCAGTGCTTCCAAATTTTCAATGGTGGTCTAACATCGACCGATTCATGATCTCAATAAAAAATACTTAAGAATCTCCACAAACCCATAATGATAATTTCGAATTACTTGTAAAATAAAATAAAATAATTTATGTCCGGATGACTAATATGGATTATTAGATTAAATAAATTTATATGGTAAATGAAATTATGAGATTAATCATTGAACTCTAAAGAGAATTAATTGTAAATAATATTTTTCGTTTGTATATCTGACTTTTTAAAAGTATTTTATCGCATAGCTGAAGTGAGTTTTCATCATAAATTAGGTTCAAATAAATATTGAATATAATAATTTAAATCATAAGTCAGTTAAAGCTAGACCATCATGGGAAACCTGAAAGCACTGGACAACCGTTCCGTCCCAGTATGGAACTCTTCGGCACTGCGCATCCACCTATCAGTCTCGCTTACGAAAAATTGACCTCTAGACCACTGAGTCAGTATCCAACGGCTGTCCAGTGTTTTTAGGTTTCCCATAGTGGTTTAGCTTCAATTGACTCATGAAATCAACTACAAAATTACTAAAATCTCTATAAAACCCCTCAATATAATCTAGAAGTGACGAGTTCGCGCTTGAGACTGATATGTCCTGGGTTCGAATCTCGTTATCCAAATTTCCCATGGTGGTTCAGTTTTAACTGATACATGAATTCAACTATTAACTTACTTAAATCTCCACGAAACCCCGTTTTTGACAATATTGAATAATCATAATATTTGTGAATTTTTAATAATTTGAAAACAAAAACTTGTTTAATATAAATATGTCGAATGACTAGGAAAAAAATTGAATGAGAAAATGTACTTGGATATATAAAAGGTTTTAGTAATTTCTAATTTCAACAGTTGAAGCTCGACCACCATGGAAAACCTGGAATCACTGGATGATCGTCTCTATTGTGGGACTCCTCAGCAGTGCGCATCCACGACCCCACCCAGCGGGATTCGGACACAGGACCTATCAGTCCCATGCCAGGCGCTTAACCAGCTAGACCACTGAGCGGTCCAGTGCTTCCAGGTTTTCCATGGTGGTCTAGCTTCAATTGACTCATGATCTCAACTGTTGAAATTAATAAAATCTCCACAAAATCCCTTCTGATTCTAATTTCTAATTTCTTTAAAGATTTCATTCATAAATTTGAAGAAACATTTACTGAAAACAAATTTTATATATAGAAGTTAAATTTCATTTTCTATCTTGTTTTTATTAACTAATTTCAATAATAAAAGCACAATCAAATTAAAAGTTTAAAAGGACAATTAACAAATATCATGACAGAAAGAAATGAGCTAGAAGAATCATTAAAAGTTAAAACAGAAAAAGAGAAAGAAACATTGAAAAATCTAAAACAACTTCAATGTGATTTGAATGAATTAACCGATAGGTAGGTGAATAAATAAAGTAGTAAGTCATATACTTACCTTCCTTTAAATTACTATATATATATATATATATATATATATATATAGAGAGAGAGAGAGAGAGAGATTACACCTGTTACTCCTAATGGAGCATAGGCCACATTCCATGTACCTAAATAAATGGTTGCTGTGGTCATCAGGAGGAGCATCGGCCTCGTGACTTCCGAAGGAACTCGGCTTTCACCTTGAGGCGTCATAACTCTTCTAAGTGAAGATCTTCTGACTTCCAGGGCAGAGTTTAAGAAGTTTGAATAATTTTTCTGGTTAGCGTTGTTTTAGCGAGTTATTTTTCTACGGGATGTGGTCGCCAACACCATGCCCAACCCTCCCCCTTCATACGAGCTCGTGACCGGCAGTAGCCCACGGAGGGACTCCAGGAGGAGTTATATATATATATATATATATATATATAACCAGGTTACTCAGTAAGTACCCAATAAGTTTATATGTAATAATAGTTCATAAATAATTCCTAGTAGTTACCATTTATTTATTCTTCTTTCAAATATAACACCTATCGAAACTGCATATCACTTGAAGGACTAGATACGTAGTGTAATTTTAAGTATACTACCCAATTGCCGAAAAAGATCTTTTTACAATATAATCTTAAGCTTTTGCGTTTGTTAGTCGAGAATTGAAAACTAGATTGAAACATCCTTCTAGTTCTTTTGAATGTCTTTTCTGTGAAGTTATGATTCAAAGATGGAAATTATCATTCATTAATTGACCGATAATTTATTTCGTACCTATTTTTTTAATTTTCATTTTTATTTAGATATAAAACATTAGAATCAAAGTATAACATGTGTCTTGAAGATTATAACCAAGAATTAAAACAAATTCGTTCAGATCACGCTAAGCGTATATGTGCAATGGAATTAGAACGAACAAATAATGAAAAGCAATATGAAACTAACCTGGGAAAAATTAAAGATGAGGTATTTTTGACAGAATATTTTAAATGATTTACTCTGTAATTTTAGGTTTATGTACATGATTTGTCTGGTAGATGCACAAAATGAGCTACTACTATACTTATCGGTAAAGCATAAGAAAAACTTCAAGGAAATCTATTCAGTGGTGAGTGAAGTTTACGGAGATAATGCGTTAAAGAGGAATGATATTTTCAAGAGAATCGTGGGTTTCAATGACGACAATAAAAGCTATAAGAATAATGAAAGGCCAGAACAACCACCGACCTCCTGGGTTTACAATGTTGTTTAGTGTATGGGAGTATCTTGTGATTTCCAGTTGCCGATCTGCTTCCCAGATAGTAACTGATGAACTATTTCTGGTTGTCTGTGAAAACAATTTAGGTAAAATATAAAACAATGGGAGATGATGACCGAGGTTGCAAGGACTTACAGCGATATTTTTAAAAATAGAAATGGAGATTCGACAGGTGTACCGTCACAACCTGGGAATATTTTGTAGGGTATGATACTGATATGCTCTAAAGTTTGTAAAATAAAGATTTGTTTAAGTTAAACCATGTATTTGTCCGACAGTAGTACTGTGGTGTATGCTACTTATATTGATATAAGTAGTATATTATGCGAGTCACGAATGTAATGTCTGGCAGCAGAAGATGAGGGAAGATCAAGAAAGCAAGAGCGGAAATAGAATGCAATTTGTGTGAAAATGTAAGAACAAAGAAGTCTGAGGCATTTGAGACAATTGGTGAACATTTTGCAAATTAACAATTTAATATATCGTTGAAAGATCCCCGTCATATTAAAAGACTAGTATTTGAACGAAGAATATTCTTTTCGATAAATTCTCATCAGGTTCTACAGTTATATATATCCTATACATGATTCATTCACTTCGCATTCATCCCTCCGTATTACTTATTTGATCGAAATGAAATTGGACTATTATTTCTGTCTCACCCTATTTGACCCATATTTATTCTGATCATGGATCTTAAAATTTTACTTAACATATAAGCTGATTCAAGTTTACATTCTATATGAGTCATATTAACATTAACAATTTTATTGTATTTTAATTCACTTGATATTGTTTTATTTGAATCTTCTAATTGATGTTTTTGGACTGAAATTGATCAGTCTCTTATTGGCATGTGTGCATACTGTGCGTATGCCTCGATATTGCCTTAATTTACAAGCATTATAAGCAAACGGTACTGAGTTCGAGTCCCAGAGTGAACATCAACTCTGAGATGCAGGTACATCCAGCTGACGAGTCCCAAACAGGACGAAACGCGCGTCCTGGATTCCACTGCTAGCCACTATCCAATTTTATTGTATTTTGTTTATCACAATCCTAAATTCACATGCTCTAAACGATGTATTTTGCCCTTAACCTAGTCATTTTTTCGGATTATTAATTTGGATATATAATTGTAGAACCTGAAGAGAATTTATCGAAAAGAATATTCTTCGTTCAAATACTAGTCTTTTAATTTAATATATGGTTCTCACATTTTATTGAGATCGCCCGTGTTCTCTTCACTGCAGTCTAATTGATTAGCAGAGTTATTATTTCAGAGATGTGGTCAAAGTTTAATGACACTTATTAACTGACAACCATCTTATAATATATTTCAGTCATCTGCAATATTTGATTCTATGAATTATGTACTTTAAGATGTATCCTTAAATAAAATACACGGTAATTCGGAAGCAATGACTCTGTGAAGTCTTTATTGATCTTCTTGAATAGAACTTGCAAAATATTCATTTAAATGAAGCAAGAACAAATATTGGTGCAGAATAGTATGAATTCATATTATTTCGAGGTTTCTCGTCAGCTGCTTTCAAACCAAAAATGTGATAGAATTTTTACATTGAGATATAGTGAAAACAATTGACATAGATGAGTGTAAATAACTGGGTTACAATAATAACTATATATATATATATATATATATGCTAGAACAGGTCAGAGGTCAAAAGGAATTAAGTCGGGTTGGGTGGTGTAATAATGCAATTGAATAATCATAAGATAGGTTACGTAATAATAATTAAATAGAATTTGAAAAGTTAAGATAATTTAGGAGGATCAGGTGGTGGAAATGTGTGAATAATAATGTGGTTTAAGAATTATGTAATAGGGGAGGAGTATAAATATTTTAAAATAAATAAATGAATAAAATAACCCAAATAACCAAAACACACACAAGACAGGGTTACCAGGGTAGTGATAAGTTTATTAAAGTCTCTTTTTGAATGCATAAGTTCGGTTTAAGTTTTTTGATCATAATGGCTTCAGCAAAACGGAGGGTGGTCGTAATTCTTTGTCTATTGATAATTTTGAAAGCATGCGGAATGTCCACGGTGTGTCCGGTGTCAAGTAGATGTCGAGCTATTGCGCTGTTGAAAGCCTTAGTCCCTCGCAGCCTCAAGTTTTTTGGAACATGGTCAGAAATGCGGACATGCACTCTTCTCTCAGTTCTTTCAATGTATGTGCTTTGGCACGTACATCTAAATTGGTAGATACAGTTGGAGCTACTAAGAAAAGAGGGCTTGTCGATTTTGGTTTGTTGAAGTGAGCAGTTCGTTTGCCATACTGTCATAAGTTTTGCTGCTGGGTGGGTCACTTTCAACGCAGAGTTTATTCTGTGATTAATTATTCCGGCAATTTCATCACCTTTGAAGCGTAAGTGTAAGAAGCAGGTTTTCTTTTCTGCTCCATCGTATTTTGTACGAGGATTGGTTTTTGCATATTTCTGGATAAATTTCAATGGGTATTCATCATCACGTAGAACATTAGTAATCAGATTAATTTCATCATCCAGGTATTCTTTTGAACAAATTTTTTGAGCGCGGTCAAAAAGGGTTCGTACAATACCCTTTTTGTAACTCATTGGACAGAAACTGTGGTAATTGAGATATAGACCACTCCATGCATTTTTATGGTGAATATGTATATGTAATTTACCATCAGATATTCGTCGGATCCCAACATCAAGGAAATGGAATTTGTCTTCAGCTTCTTGTTCCATAGTAAACTCTATGTCCTCGTGTGCTTTATTAAATAGATCGAGTAGCTTAATGGCGTGTTCGTGATTGTTGCAGATGAGGAATGTGTCATCAATATATCTACAATATAGCATAGTACCATCGATTGCGTGTTTAAGCTTTTTTTGTTCTAGGTTTCCCATAAATATATCGGCAAGAATTGGGCCCAATGGGCTACCCATGGCAACTCCATCGATTTGGCAGTAAAGGACATCATTGGATTGAAGTTGTATGTTTTTGTACACAAAAAGAGTTGTTTAAACTCATGGATTGGTAGGGGTAGAAGTTCAGGATATTCACATATGGTCTCTATCGTTTCTTCCAAGGGGATGTTTGTGAAATCCGATGAGACGTCAAATGAAACCATAAATTTATCGGAAACATTTAGGTTGTCGAGTTTTTGTACAAATTCAAAACTATCTTTTAGACTGTAAGGTGTTAGTTTCTTTCGGATTGGTTCTAGGCACTTTGTCAGCCAGCGGGCGAGTTTATGGAAAGGCGAAATAGTCATGGATAATATTGGTCTAATCGAGATGTCGTGCTTGTGGGTTTTGGGTAGGCCGTATAAGTACGGTAATTGTGATCCTTTAGGTTTAAGTTCATTGTATGTATGATTATCTATTAGGTTATCGATGATAAATCTAGTGGAATCATTTGAAGTAGACATTATTTTGCTAATGTATTCATCTCTGTTAAGAACGACTACACCGGAACCCTTATCTGGACGAAGTAGCATTATTGTTTCATCTTCCACAAGTTTTTTCAGAGCTAGTTGGTGATCTTTAGTCAACACTTTCGATTGTAGGGTTGGTATCGTTATGTACTGGTTTGTAATGTCAACTAATTTCGATTTCAACCAACTATGTTTTTCATCGTTCATGGGTTTAAGTTCTGACAACTGTTGATATAAATACTCAAACTGGGTTTCAGTGTCTATTCTGTTGCATTTTTTCGGAATGTGAAATTTAAAGTCAAGGGAGAGTGCTTCAGTTTCAATTCGAGTTATTTTTTTACTGGATACATTCTGTATGTATTTTTCTGGGTTCGTAGTAAAGGCGTTATGTTTTTGTTCTTTCACAAGTGTTTTGGGTAATGTATTTAGCAATTTATGACTGTTTTTGGACTGAACATCATGAATGAAATTCACGAGTTTGATTCTACATACAATGTTTAAATCCATAATAATTTTGTCATAACCGAGTCATTCTGTTTTTAGTTTGGAGATTAGATAAATGCAACAGAATAGTTATTATTGTAACCCAGTTATTTACACTCATCTATGTCAATTGTTTTCACTATATCTCAATGTAAAAATTCTATCACATTTTTGGTTTGAAAGCAGCTGACGAGAAACCTCGAAATAATATGAATTCATACTATTCTGCACCAATATTTGTTCTTGCTTTATTTAAATTCATTTGGGAACCAATTTCATAAAATATTCATTAACAATTATCATCACAAAGTCATTGATATCCATAAGCACCTCATCTGAAATGAAGTTGATTTGTATCTAGAAAAAAATGACGATATTTTCTAAATATCTCTTTGATCTTAAAAAGTATTCGTGTCTCATTGATGATGCAATTAAATAACACTTCTATGAACAATGACATTCAAGATTTATCAGCAAGGTTTCTTTACAGCTACCTTTGACGTTTTCAAGCTAGTTAACTTTTTCATTGACTGACTTAATTCAAAATCACTTATCTTTATTGAGATGATGATGCAAGATCATTTTCACATTACAATCTTCATCAATATTATAACTATTAATTTAAATAACTACTACATAGAATAAATTATGGAATTTATTAATCAAAAACTTAACGATGTACTAAACTTTAACTTATTTGACCACTGAAGAACGTTCTTCAGAAGAACGATGAAAGCTCCACGACCAAACCATCCAGCTCAGAGAACAAAACTCTATCAAAATCATCTACCTGAGCTACAAATCTTCTCCATGCCATGTTAACCAGGTCTAAATAAGCAATTATTTCTGTTAAACGGTATCAAGTATTCAGAAGAAAATGTTGAACTTAGGTTTTCTGTTAGTTTATACTCATCGGTAAGGCATAGCTGCGATTTTAGGAGCGTTGGTGTTTCATGGTGGATTTGAGCCTGTGTCACTTAGTTTTACTGTTCGAGATGTTACCATATAGCTAATAGGATGAAAACTGAACTCCCACAGGACTGAGATACATAAAATCGACTTTTCACTAGGTAGTGACAAATCTTGTTTTCTTTATCATTTGATGCTAAGTAAATTCTATCGATCAAGTTGCAATATGGCCATTAGTTTGAATAACTCAATTAGGGTTCCACTTGTAACTCAACAATTCAAAATCAAGTTCCAAGGTTACGTAGGTATATATTGGGTAATTTTAAGTTTTAAAAGCGCCTTAATACGCATAATATACTCTTATTTTACTTCGTTGATAAAATGAGACTATTACAATAGTATTCAATATAGTGGTGTATTTCATAATTACTGATTTTTTAAATTATTATGGGTCCTTAATTATAAGTGCGGGTATACTGGCCATTTCTTTCCATTATTACTTTTAAATATAATAAAGAAATGTCAGTTCTTGATAAAATTAACCGTATTTGGTCAGAAAAGCGTGATAAAACAATTACTGAAAGTTTGGATTGACTGAATAACTTGAATTCATAAGTTAATTTAGACTGTTTAATAGTTAATTTTTATTATGGGTAGAAAAAAGCATAAGAACGATTGAAATGGATAAATAATCAATGTTTTGTTGACACAGATATAGAGGATTTGCACTGTTAAGGAATTCTACGCTAGGACAAAATGGATGCCCAATACCTTTTGATTTTCAATATTTAGCTAATTAAATCAGTTTGTAGAGTAAAATTGCAGAATATATTCAGAAAATAATCTTTTGAATATTCATTAGTAATATGAAAGTGGATCATACATGTTTTACTTCTGAATACAATCAAGTCACCGGGATATTTTTTGGAGAAGAATGATCTAAGATTTTCCAACAAAAAAATTATTCAATATAATATGACTTGATTTGAAAAAAATGAATTAATCCCATTTTAGATATGAATAACATCTAAAATGATTTCGAAACATTCAACAGAATATAAATTTTGGTCCAGTTGACTATTTTTTTAGAGGAATAATCGGCAGTGTTTATCATGTAGTATAATGAAATAAATAGTTGCATCTTCAATCCTGAATAGATTATCAAAGATAGAACTGTCTTTGGACTTCAGTATCACTTCACTTCAGTTGGTCTAAACTCTAGATTAGGATATGTAATGATGACTTTGAGGTATTTTTTCTTAATATTAGAACTATTCGTTGAAGGTTTTAATGGAAATGTTAGTTTATATGTGTAAGGTGAATGGGTGATTAATCAAACATTTAGATTTATTAATTTGGTCATTCTAGTCTTAGATAGGACTTTGTATTTAATATCACCTGACGTCCTGTTATAGTTGTACAAAGTTGAATATTTTCATATACAACTACGAGCGCTTGATATTAGGAAATCTATGTGGAATGAAAGGTTCGTTGCAGTTAGCTTATTGACCCTTTGAATTAACCTATCACGTCAGTAAGGTATGAAGTAATTAACATTTTTCCAACAGTGATAATTATTAATCGAGATACTTTTAGGTTACAGTTAATGCCAAACGTAGTAAAGATAAGCAAAGATAGATGGTGATTAGCAGTGGAACACAGAACGCGCGTTTCGTTCTATTTGTAGCTCGTTAGCTGGATGCAACTGCATCCCAACTTTGATGTTCACTCCGGGACTCAAATCCAGTATCGTTTGTTCCAAACGCCATCGTGTTGTCTACTCAGCTACTGAGTCCTGATAGTTGTTAGCTTGTGCAATGTGGTGAAGTTTAAATTCATTTTGTATTGTTTGCTTGAATTTTCCCATTGCAAAAGCAATTGGCTATCAGAACTCAGTAGCTAAATAGATAACGTGATGGCGTTTGAAGCTAACGATATTGGGTTTAAATCCAGGAGTAAACATCAACTCTGGGGTTCAGATACATCCAACTCACGAGTCCCAAATAGGACGAAACGTGCTTCCAAAATTCTACTGCTAGCCACCATTCATCTTTGCTGATAATGCTTGTGACTTAAGGCAATATCGAGGCAATCCGCACAGGATGCACGTATGCCGGCAAGAGACTGATCAACTGCAGTCTTAAACACCAATGTGAAGATTCAAGTAAAAAATACATTGTAAAGATAGCCAAAATTTCTAATGAAATATTCCTTGCTTAAAGTGTTAAAAGTTCACTCATGGAAATCGAAAGAGCAACATCAAGTTATTTTACTATCCATGATTCTTCTTTCTGTCACAATAAAAAAAACATGAATAAGGCGACTTTTGTTGTGGAAGAGGCTACCGAGGCACATTAGAAGATATTAGTCGTCGTTACATTAGACTTTCGTAAATATTTTGTTTAGTATCAACAATAAACTTTTATGTCACATAACATTCAGAGAAAATAAATCCTAATAAAAGTCTTTTTATTTATTCTCTTTTCAAGTTTAATACAAAACTGGAAGAGAGTCGTTTGTCGTATGAACGTCAGCTAGTTACAGAAGTTAAGGAAGCTGAAACACGCGGTTATGAAAAATGTTTATTAATTAAAAGTGATGAGATTACAGCTTTACAAAAAACTATTAAAGAAACCAAGGAATTAAATTCAAGTGATGAAGTAAACTGGTTTTTACATGATAAATTTTAAATAAAATATAGAAACCTGTGTTTAGTACATTTAAATAGTTAACACAAGTTTATTCATGTTTTCTAGGACTTCATCAAATTCACATTCATAATAAATATTTATTAAATGTCATGATGAGATTATAATTTGTGGACGATCTTTGAGCGACACTGAAAAGATCTTGAGAATATTCACCTTTACGCTACGACTAAATGAAGGTTATAAACTAGTGTGAAGAATTTGAATTATGATTTACGGTTGATAATTAGGATTAAGAATTAGATTTAAGATTTTTATCACGAACTAACATCAACTATGATGCTAAAACTCTATTTATTTAGCCAAATGAATGAATTAATTTTGCTCCAAAATTCAAGACCTGTTATCGTAAATCTGATTGGTTTGTTCATATATTATAGTGTCGCCGATTTCAATCACTACTGACTTGTTTAACAAATCATTTTGTTGACTAAACTATAGTGCTTTTAAACTTGTTGATTAAAGTTTTCAATTCAGTTACTTCTAATTGGAAAGTCGTAGGGCTGTACGAGTAATAAGTGTTAGTCTTTCATAGTGTATGATATATATAAGGAGTTATCAAAGGACTACTTGTATTTTGGTATCGAACTATTGTGTTATATAACTGTTGACTAATGAATATCTGGAAATTATTAGTTCATATTTTTTTTAAAGAATTTCGCAAATGAAGTCATTTAGTTTAGTCTAGGTTTTGGAACATTGGTTAAGATTGGAACAAAAAATTATAAAGCTAATTACACCATGAAATAAATAAACGGAGGTTAACGATATATATGGATAAGTTAAGCTTTGTAGGTTAATTAATGAAACTATAATCTGGAAAAGATTTAAAAAAATGATTTGATCAAATGAAAGCAATGGATTAAAAAGGACTCATTCAAATAAAGGTAATGTAGGCAGGGTAACAGAGGACTGATTACCAAAAATATTTTAAACTACAGAGATTGGGTTTCAAGCGCTTAACAGTTACAACTTCAGGAGACTTGAGAATACTAGCGATGGGTTGTTTATAAGTCAACTTTTAGGATTTTAAGGTATCTTTCTAATGATTTATGTTAATCAATCATCAACAAATTGCAGTAATGGGGGTCTTAGCATTCCCTAAGCACAAGCTTTCTGGAAAGTATTTAAGCACTATAAATTGGCCCCCGTTTTTCTGTTACATCAATGTAATTGCCTTGACAAAAATGAGTAAATTTGTACTACCTGTTAGTCGTGAAAGTGAATATTATTCTTGTGTTGGTACTTACCAATCGCACATATCGTGGGATGATATCTCTTCTAGATGAATATTGAAAAGAAGTCGTGCTAGTAGTGGTCTTGTTGACTTGAGAGTGTTCACAGAACTCAAACGATGACATCTATCTCTCTCGGTGTTTCGTGAATAGCTATGTCTGCATCAACTATGCAATTCTCAGACCTTATCACTTACAATGGAATTCTACAGCTTAGGTTGAGATTTACTATCTTTCGAATTAAATGTTTCGAACCCTTTCTGGATATAGAATAACAGGACTGCAATAGATTCTAATTATCTATGGGAAACATTCCAACTACAGTAAATAATTTGACGTCGGCTGTGAATGTTTAGTTTTCCGTTTTAAAACTAACCAGCGTGGGGTGGTTTGGGTTAAAAAACAATCTGGTTTAGTTAATAAATCCTTATTGGATAAACAGGAAAAACAACCCTGGGCACTGTATCAAGTCAGTTATTATGGTTACTTGGCAAGCAATAATAATCTTAATAAACATGTTGTTCAACACAAGATGACCAATTTGATTGCATAATAGTTTCTGGTTGATGAAGTTTATAGCTTTTTGTTGATTTTACCTGCAACATTGTTATTTTTTCAAAAAAAACAATGATTGTTTTGTTTACTTAAATGTAGAGTTTCTTGTAAAAAAAGAGTTTGATTGACTATTTCTTAATAACTAAAGAAATTATTTATAAACCATAAACATACTTTCAATAATATACTAATATAAAGGTGTTGTAACTTTAAGCCCGCCTAGTTCACACGTGATTTATTCGCTAATCGAAATACGACTTATTCAATCTCAGTACTATATGAGCAGTCTAGTATCCTTACTCTTCCTTTGTTTGTCCAATCCGTGTAGTTGGGTCCAGAACTCCAATAACAGCTTCCACTATGTGAATCATTTATTTCAAACATACTTGGTTTATATACCAGACAAACAAACAGCATCACACCATAAACCAGAAAATAACATTTATACAAGATCAAACCTAAATGTGGCTGTGAACGTAGGAGACGGTAATCAATAAACTGAAAATAACTTAAAAACAGTAAATCGTATAATAATCTATAGGTCAAAATGAAGCTTATAATAAGAGGGATATAGATATACACCATATAGTTACTGAATAGTTTTACAATAAGAATATATATACATATAATATTAGTCTATTAATAGTTCTCAGAAGTTACCCGTAATTTAATCATCATTAGGATACAGAAAGATAATTTCAATAATTGAGATCATGAGTCGATTGAAGCTAGACCATCATAGAAAACCTGGAATCATTGGATGACCGTTTCGTTCTATTTTGGGATACTTCAACAGTGCGCATCTATGATCCCGTCTCGCGAGATTCGAACCCAGGTTTTATTGATCTCGTACACAAACACTTAATCTCTAGACCACTGAGCTAGCCAGCATCCAACGGTGTTAATGTCTAACTTCAACTAATTCACAAAATTGAGTGACACATCCACCACTGTCTTTAGTGAGCTACTATCACATAACAGATTCGAACTAGTGCTTCTAAGTCTGGCTTCAATTATTGAAATTAACTATAATATTCAATAAATAATTTAATTTCTTATTTTAATTTATTTAGATTAAATATCAAGAAATAATTAGTCAATTAAAATGTGAAATAACTAAATTAAATAAAATTATTGAAAAATTAAAAAATATCTATGAATTAAAGGAGAATAATTTTTTAACAATCATAACAAAATTACAAAAAAAACAATTAGATGATACATTGAATAAAACAAATTCTATTCAAACATATTTTACAAATGAATTCAATGAGAAATTATTAAATTCTATTATACAATGGAAAAAACAACAATTAAATGAAATTATATTATTAATTAAACAAAAAGAATTTAATCAGTTAGAAATAATATTTAAAGAAAAAGAAAATATTATACGTAATGAATTATTATTAAAAATTGAAAATGTAAGTTATATATTATTCATTTCATAAATTAGTAGTATTTTAATAAAACAAAACAAAAGAATTTCCCTATATACATACGATTGTACAGCTTGATAGTAAATTCATTAAAAAGAGATTCCTTTGTATTCAAATCTTTAAAAAAAAAGCCGAAGCTCTTACCATCCATGAGCTCAAGCTAGAACTATGCAAACAAAAGAAGTACGTCCTATCGTTATTGTTACCATTGTCCTAATTAATAATGTTGTTATTATTATTACAGCATTCCCCCCTTTTACTTATGCTTCATATTCTCATTGTTTTACTCATAAGTAGTTATTATATCAGAAAGGGTTTTGCGGAGATTGTAGTCATTTCAATAGTAGACATCATGCGTCAAATGGCCGTCTAGTGCTTCCAGGTTTTCTATGATGGTCTAGCTTCAATGGATTCATGATCTTAACTATTGAAATTACTATAATATCCACAGAACCCCTTCTGATATTGATCGGCATATGCTCACTAGTAACTGGCTTCAAGGTGTATATCCTGGAGTTCTGGTGAGAAGCAGTGACCAGTAAAGTTCAACCAAGTTTGTTGTGAGATAGTAACTCACTGAAGATAATGGTGGATGTGACGCTCAAATTCCTGGATTAGTCGAAGTTGGACAATAACACCGTTGGATACTGGCTCAGTGGTCTAGTGGTGAGGCACGCTTTCGAGAAACTGATAGGTCCTGGTTACGAATCCCGCGGGGCGGGGTTGTGGATGCGCACTGCTGAGGAGCCCCAAAATAGGACGAAACGGTCATCCAGTGATTCCAGGTTTTCTATGATGGTCTAGCTTCAATTGACTCATGATCTCAACTATTGAACTTATCATATCACTTTATTTATTTATTTATACTTCTATGACCTTTAATTAATGTAACAAAAACATTTTAGTCATCTTAGTACATTCACGTTATTACTCGTTATTGATTTATCAAGTCTAGTGTTATTATTCGTATTACATAACCTGGTTTTATAATCTTTCTATTACATCATCTTGGTTATTCGTGTTCATACTTCCTCATGGAACTAGTACCTTAACAAAAAAGTTTTCAGATATATACGATTGTACAGATTGATAATAAATTTGTTGAAAAGAGATCCATTCGTATCCAACTCCTATTAATTTAATAGTTATTATATAAGTGGAAAGTATATTTGATATAATCTCAGCAACTGAAAGTTAAGTTCAATGTTTCGTCTAGCAAACTTGTTTGAACTTCTTCAGGATAATATTCAAATTATTCTTTGTAATAATGACGAACATTCGTATATATCAGTTCAATATATATATATATATATATATATATATATATATATATATATATATATATATATATATCGGTGAGACCATAATTCATGGACGACCTTTGAGCAACGATAAAGTGACCTAATAACTATGACTATATCAGCCAAAAGTTTGCAAAATATGATACTGTTTATCAATCAGATATTTTATGTTTATGATCTATTGTTTGGCTTAGTGGAAAAAGTATATTTGTAATAATGCTAATACATAGTTTCTTTCAATCAGTTATGCTAAGTAGAATGCATTTCTACAAATACAGGCTATTGAAATATATGGATTCTTATGTGTAATATGCGTACATTTATGTAGTGAACATAAATGAAGACAATCAGATGTATTTGAACACAAAATTACAGAATATCTTGGTAAAATCTGAAAACCATACAGTAAATACTTCATTTGCAAATTATCAATCAATTGTTTCAACTTGACTGTTACTTTTTTTTTCCACACCAAGCACTCTGTCTTCTCGTTCTCTTCGATCTTTTTAAACTTCTGCCGCCAGGTATTTCATTTTCGATTGATGACACATTACTTATATCTGTCGACATAAGTAGCACATACCACATTAGAACTGACATTTATTTACCAAACATTTTTCTAATCTACATGTTGATTGATTTATTAGATGTACACCTTAACTAATAATTACTTAAATCATAAAAAACATATTTATTGTTGATTCGTAAATTGTTATTTACGGTTTGGTAGATGTGATTATTGAGACTGAATAAAGGTTAATTTCCTTTAAACTCAAATCCTATCACAACCAGTGCTTTCTTTCCTTTCAACGGATCATCCGTTTTTATATAAAAATAATAAGAAAACAACTAAACAAATTAAAAATTTCAATAGTTGGGATCATGAATCAATTGAAACTAGACCACTATAGAAAACCTGGAAGCACTGAACGACCGTTTCCATGATGATCTAGTTTCAACTAACTCATGATGTCAACTATTATAATTACTATAATATCCACAAAAACCATTTTTGATAGATTGTATAATTATAGTTGAATTTTTCATTGTTCAATAAAATTGTATACTTTTTAAAATGAAATTTTCAGATTCAAAACGAAAAAAATCAAATTATTGAAACATTGACCAATGCATTAAATTTATCAAAATTAGATATTGTAAAACTTGAAACTGAACTTAAAGAAGCTAGACGTATAGCAATGACAGAAGTGGAATTAAGACGTGAACAATTATCAGAAATAAGTTTGGCACGTGAATTAGAACGTAAAGAATTAATTAGTAAACATGAAAATCATTTAAATGAAGAACAGTGTAAGAATCAAGAAACGATTTTGCGATTACAAGAACAACATGCTGAAGAATTAAAAACAATATCTTCTCAGGTATGTAATGTAATGGTGTGGATTAAGTAGTTATATATGTATTAATATATATTTTATACTTTCATTGGAAACAGGGATAAAATGATATAGAACATTATAATGTGAAATATTCACGAATGATATGATAGTTTAACATTCAGGATGAGAAATGAAAATATCACTGTCATTTTATGAAGTTATGAGTGTAAGAATAATTTTAATGGAGTTACATCTATCAATCTGGATAGGTTTACGCTTAGGTTTCAATTGTTGTGATCTCCATTATGGAAATAGAAATGCTAAATATGTTATGTTATCCTTAAGAATTTTCTTTAAAATCGTTCACCTCTTGAAATGATCTAAAAATATATCAAAAAAGAAAGGAAAGTGTATATTTTTTATTTTTATGTATTTTATTTGTGAAACCTGGCCTTTGCGAGTTGAGGATGTTAGACGACTCTCTGTGTTCGATCGTCGCTGTCTCCGAAGGATTGCAGACATCCAATGGTAAAACCATGTTAGTTATGCAGAGGTTCGGCCTCGTGTGTTCGAGCGCAGAGACGATAATTCAATTGGTGTCACTATCTTCGGTGGCTTGAACATGTTTTGTGAATGTCGTCCCAGAGAATTCCTCGTCATGCAATATTTGCCGACACTGGGACTGGTTGGAAAAGGCGGAGAGGTGGTTAGTGTATAACATGGTGTTGTGGTATAAAATAAAGCTGCACAGGGCTTGTTCCTGTTGGTCCTTCTCGACTCCCTGGCTGGGGTCCTAGAGATGATTCAACACAGTGGTTAGAGATGCTATCAGATATGGCTCAGAATAGAAGCCAGCGGCAATCCTGCTGTAACCTTCTTTTAATTTCTTCATAAAAAGTGACCGTAACTTCTTTAACTGAAATGATTCTTTCCGGTTGTACCTTCCTGTTTCCTTCATAATAATTATTATTTCATTACCATACACCAAGTTGTGGTCATTATTGTTCTTTTTTTCTTTTTACACGCACCTTATATTTTTTATCTCTTTCCATTCTCATTATTTACGTGTGGTGCATATATATCTGGTGTCCTCTTGTACCAATATTTATGTGTTCAAATAAAATAATAAAATAAATTTTTTACTCCATATGAAGCTTTCATTTTACAAATTTTTTATCAGAAAGTTTTGATTAAGCATTAGTCTAACTATTATAAATTGGTTAAACTCTGTTACTGTTTATGAAAGTCTTTTTTCTCCCTTTTAATGAAGGCTAATGAAAAATTGTTAGGAATAGAAAAAGAATATAAAACTCGCTTAACGGAAGCAAATAAAGTATGTACATATGTTAGTTTTCTTACATATATTGTTCTTCTCATTGTACATCTATAAATATTAGGTTTTGGAGTCTTTATGTTCTGCAGCAATTTGGAAGACTCTCCCAGTCTCCCACATTGTACGAACATTCCACGTACCTAAATAAATGGTTTCCCTGGTTATCAGAAAGGGGTGTCGGCCTCGTGACTTTTGAAGGAATTCGGCTTCCACCATGAGGCGTCGTAACTCTTCCAAATGTAGACCTCCTGACTCCCAGGGCAGAGTTTAAATGGTTTGAATCATTCTTTCTGGTTAGAGTTGTTTTTCTACGGGATGGGGTCACTAACACCATGCCCAACCCTCCTTCTTTATCCGAGCTTGGGGCCGGCAGTAGCCCGAAAAAGGCTCCAGGTGGAGTTGGGTCTTTATGTAGGTTTTTGTAAAACATGTGTACGACATTATTACGAATTGTTGTACTTGTAATTTAGGGAAATAAACTGATGGTCAAAAGGTATTTGTGAAGAATGAACAGAAATCAAATATCTAGGAATATTTCCTACGTTAAAAGCAACTATATTCGTAATTTTCGTAGTGTCTTATAGGAATCATTTACCAGAGGCAACCTGGATCCCTTAACTAATGGATATTTAAGTTTAGCAGTCCGAAGTCGACCATTGAAATGCCCAAATTAACTATAGTGTATAAATGCTCAAGATCTTTTCTATTCTAGATATGTCATGACATCAATTTTTGTTGCAGCCGAATTACTAATCACTTCGTTATACTGATCCTTATTCTTAACCCCCCCGAGAGAGGGGAGAGTCCGCTCCCCCTCTCGAAATGCTCTCACACGGCCGCGCGTACACAGCCTCTGCCAGGGAAGTCCTACTCATTGCCTTCTCGTGGCGGGGGTGTTGTTTACGAAGATGAGGGGACGAAAAGCGAATGTCCGGCGCTTTAACCGGATTCCAAACCAATGGTGCACATGGGCTCCAGTATCCTGCGGGAACAAATGGCGTATGAACCAATCGTTGGTCACCGGCTACCATGGGATTGCATCTCCTTACGATGCTCCACTGCCTTGTGGATTAGACCTTTAGGTCAAAGGCTCGGGGAGTGGCCCGCCTAAGATAACCACCTGTTCCGTTTTGGCCCCCGGGCAGTATCACAGCCCACACACAAATGATGAACTCTTTATGTCTATGGAAATTATTTTTCTCGCTTCGAAAAACAAACAAGTGATTCAAATTATTATCATTACAGTTATTGTCATTATTAATACTATTATTATTATTACTATTATTATTATTATTATTATTATTATTATTATTATTATTATTATTATTATTATTATCCACATTATTCACCCTCTTTTATACTTATACAGCGGCTCGTCTATGGTGGAAATTCGACTCTATCTAAACGTTCTCGAGTCACTGTCCGGTTGAAAATTGTATGTTACCACAGAATATGAGTACTGAAGCAGTTTTTCTGAAACCACGTGCACCATTCAAACTGGCTGGCTTCAACATTCGCACACTTATGAAGGTCGGACAACAGATAGGGCTGGCCATGTCTTTGGAAAGTCTTCATATCGATGTCTGCTGTCTATCCGAGACCCGTATTCAAGACTCTGGCGAAGTACTACAAATTCGATCTCCATCTGTCGCTTCGAAAAGCTTGTTTTACGTGCGTTTATCCGGGGACCCTGTGGCATCTTCGTCTGGTCTTGCTGGCGTTGGTGTCGCACTAAGCACTCGAGCTGAGACAGCACTAATCAATTGGATCCCCATTAACAGTCGGTTATGTGCTGTTAGATTAGAAAGTTCCATCAAAGTGAGAAGAAATCGGCGTGAGAAACAATGTCTTTTCGTCATCTTCGCCTATGCCCCGACAGATTGCAGCCCGAATGAAATCAAGGATGAGTTTTACCGCCAGTTATCTGTTCTTCTCCAGAAAGTGCGTTCGACAGATATTGTGGTACTAGCCGGAGACTTGAATGCTCAGGTCGGGCGTCTAGGCACAGAAGAGAGTCGTTTAGGTGGCCGATGGGGACTCGTTGGTCGCAGGTCAGATAACGGGGACCGTCTACTGCAACTGTGCACAGACCACAACCTGTTTCTGGCTAGCACTAACTTTCGGCACAGTCATCGCCGATGTGCCACCTGGCGTCCTCCCTCTGCATCTCAAGCCTGGACTCAGATTGATCACATCGCGATCAGCTACCGCTGGCGTGGTTGTGTACAAGACTGCCGCTCCTTTTGGAGTACCTATCTGGACTCTGACCATGCTTTGGTCTGCGCCAATCTTGCCTTAGTTTTCAGTGGGCAACGAAGTGACTGCCATCAACGGATTGATATTAGCAAGATGGTTGCAACTTCTGTTGCAAGCAAGTATCGAACCGAGCTAGCTTCTAGGCTAGCTACCATTCCACTGAAAAGTATAGATGAGCATTGGTTGCAATTGCATGACGCCATGAAAATGGCAGGAACAGTCAGTTGTGGGTTCGCGAAACGTCCCGCTTTTAAGCACTGGGTTTCTTCTGGTTCCTTACAACTCATTGAAGCCCGTCGGTCTACTCCGGGTGACCGTGAGTTTGACCATAAACGAAGGATGTTACATAAGGAAATTGGGCAAAGCTTGCGTAAGGACCGAGAAGCCTGGTGGTCGATGCGTGCTAATGAGCTGGAAGCAGCAGCTGCATCTGGTAATTACCGGAAGTTCTTCCAACTCATCCGAGCCACTGGCAGCAAGAAGTCTGGTGTGAGCGAAACAATCTACGAGGATGATGGGACGCCAATTACTAACATCCATCGACGTCTTGGACGATGGTTAGAATTTTTCGAAGGGCAGTTCAACTGGCCTGCTGCTCCGGCAACATCGGTCAGACTGTCCTGCCCTCCATGGCCAGTGACGACTGATTCACCAAATGAGGCGGAAGTCCGCAAGGAACTCCAACTCTTGAAGCCCTACAAATCACCTGGTCCAGATGACTTACCTCCGGCTCTTTTTAAAGATGGTGGTGACTTTTCGACTAAGGAATTGACGACGTTGTTCACAAAGGTTTGGGAACTAGAGAGTGTGCCAACGTCATGGAATGAGTCGATAGTTGTCCCTATCTTTAAAAAGGGTTCACGTCGTTCTTGTAACAACTATCGGGGGATAAGTCTACTTGCGATTGCGTCCAAGCTATTGGCTTCCGTCATTCTTCGTAGGTTGTTCAAAACCCGAGAAAGATTGACTCGCGAGGAGCAGGCTGGGTTTCGTTCTGGTCGAGGATGTATTGATCATATCTTCACCCTCCGCCAAATGTTAGAACACCGCCATACTTATCAAAGGCCAACAATCGTAGTGTTTCTTGACATCAGGGCTGCCTTCGATTCGTTGGACAGGGCTGTTCTCTGGGATTGTCTATTGAAGAAGGGTGTGCCTGAGAAGTTTATTAACATCCTAAAAGCCCTATATACAAACACCTCAGGCAGAGTGAGGGCATACAACCACCTCTCTCCATTGTTCCATTCGAGCAGTGGGGTTAGGCAGGGTTGCCCAATCTCACCATTCCTCTTCAACTTTGCCATCGATGACATTCTGGAAACAGCTCTGATGAATGTAAGTAATGGTGGTGTGGATCTGTTGCCTGGAGAAAGACTTCTCGACCTTGAGTAAGCGGACGATATTGTCTTACTGTGTGATAATGCCCAAGGCATGCAATCCGCACTTAATCAGTTGGCAATGAGTGTCCGTAGGTATGGTATGTGCTTTGCACCTTCGAAGTGCAAAGTACTTCTACAAGACTGGCAGGATTCCAATCCTGTACTCACCCTGGATGGTGAGCAGATAGACGTAGTCGAGAAGTTCGTGTATCTGGGTAGCTGTATGAGTGCTGGTGGGGGTGTGAGTGATGAGATCAATGCACGAATAGTGAAAGCCAGAGCGGCTTATGCCAATCTGGGCCATCTTTGGCGCCTTCGTGATGTTAGTCTGGCTGTAAAAGGTCGGATCTACAACTCGTCGGTGAGAGCAGTTTTGCTCTATGCTTGTGAAACCTGGTCTCTCCGAGTTGAGGACGTTAGACGACTCTGTGTTCGATCATCGCTGTCTCCGAAGGATTGCTGACATTCAGTGGCAACACCATGTCAGTAATGCAGAGGTTCGGCATCGTGTGTTCGGGCACAGAGATGATAATTCAATTGGTGTCACCATCTTGAAACACCGACTTTGGTAGCTTGGACATGTTCTCCGAATGTCGTCCCAGAGAATTCCACGTCGTGCATTATTTGCCGACTCTGGGACTGGTTGGAAGAAGCGGAGAGGTGGTCAGTATATGACATGGTGTCGTGGTATGAAAGAAAGCTGCAAAGGACTGGCTTCTGTCGGTCCTTCACGACTCCCTGGTTGGGGTCTGAGAGATGGTGCTACACAGTGGCTAGAGACGTTATTATATATGTCTCAGAATAGAAGCCAGTGGCGATCCTGCTGTAATCTTCTTTTACTTTCTTCATAAAAAGTGGTTGTGTCTCCCTTACCTGAAAGATTTCTTCTGATTGTACCTTTTCGTTCTCTCGTTACTACGACACTACCTTACACCAATATCTTCGTTATTGTTCTCTTTTTCTTTTGCGCTCCTTAGTTTTTTTTCCACTTCTCTTCGAATTCTCATTGTTTTGTGTGGCGCATATATATTGGCGCTCTCTTGTACCAATATTCATGTGTTCGAATAAATAAATAAATTTCTTAAATCTATTCGGTTGGGATCCAAGAAATATTTCGCTTATTACTAATGATACTTTTAGTTTCACATTAACTCAGAGTATTTCATAAAAACAATCCTCAAACTAACCCCACTCAACCTAGTTCGGTTTAGGTTGAGTGAATAGTTTTATTAGCCTTTAAATTTAGTGTACCTCATAATCAAATACCTGGTGAATGAGTCAATTATAACTATATATTTGACAATTGACTGATGATAATTTTTTAATGATATCTCTTTTGTAAAGCGACTGAATGAAAGTCAAGAGAAAATAATTAATTTAGACATGATATTACAGAAAGCTTTACAAGAAAAAAGAAACACACAAGAAACATTATCTGAATCATTTCAAAGTGAAATTGAACAAATGAAGATTAAGCAAAAGCAAGAAGTATTGGTAGGTATTTATTATTAATATATAAACAGTATTATGCATATTGTTAATTGTTATGTAATGAATTCTATAAGTTTATCTTTTTAAAATAGAATAGGTAAAACGTTAGTACTAACATTCCTTTATGATTCAAGAGTAATAAATGTTTTCTCAGTCGATGAAAGACTTTGAAACAAAATATTACAGCATGATTTACATAAAATTCAGCTGAAAAGTAATAATTTCCAACGACTTTCCTGTTCTTTATATATATACAGTTATGTTTATAATTACGCTTAATGAAGACGTTTATTATTGACTAATATTATCAGTATAATCTTTGGAAATATGAATAAAATGTTACTTTATGAAGCAGGAAATAACGAGTATTTTTTAGATTCGACAAGGTGGGAACTGCTCCAAAATGTGAAATTCTCAGAATTAAATGCATAGTTGATGACATACAAATAAAATGGTATATATATCTAAGCTTACATTTCAAACTATAGAATAATGTATTAGTTATACTTTTAGTTTTTACCGAGTTTTTTTAATAAAGGTAGGGGAGATTTAAAGCTTAGCAGAAAAATTCTCATGATGTTGCGTTTTCTGGGCTGGACAGTTTAACCATGAAGTTCTCTTCATTTTTAAAAATAAGTTCCCGGAGTAAATTCAAAGAGAAATTGGCTTTTGAAATTACCCCTGACGCCAATAAACAGCTTGTTATGACAACATCGAAATTTCAGTGGTCGCTGGCAATACTTGTACAGTCATTGTTTATAAATTCTTTTTTATGGCATTTTCCACTATCTGACTGATGAATATGTAGTCATTAATCTATTTTCTCATTAGTCAATAAACTGGATATATTTCGATATACTTATTGACTACTGAGTGATCAAACTGTCAAGCTTTTGGAAATTTTTTGGTCAATTTAAGTGTTGCTCCTGATGAAGATTTCATAATTTCTCAGTCTAATTAACGTTTGTATCGCTTGATGTAGGTGAGGATATTTCGTGATATTTAGGCAAAACAGAACGTTGACATTTTGGGAGGATGCAACATATAGATAATTTTTCTTTGGGGTTCTAGTTGGTGATTTTGCCTAGGAATACGAAGAAATCTTGGTGATTAGACCACTCGGCTTTATGATCGAAAACTTACAACGAAATTCCTTAACAGCAGATACCGATTTAATAACAGAAAAACGTGAAGCATTACCGGGACCATGGAGTTGTTTTAGATACAAACTCGAACGTGGAACTTGTGCTGTAACCAAAATGTTTGTTTATTAAATACCTTTGATCAGACCTATGGTATGAAGTGCGGTCAATCGACTGGCGTAACTCAATCTGAACATTACACATAGTATTTCATACTTTACATCGCGAACTGATCCTAGATAATAAGTGAAAACCAGGAAGTAGCGGATATCTGTTTCTTCCTCCCATGGAAGCACATCAGGGATCGGACCTAAGACTTTCAAATTATTACTTGGTTGAAACCCGACGTGTAGGCCAATGGATGACAGACAGTAGTCTAACGGTTGAATTCTTTCATCGAGACCTGAAATTCATGGGTCCAATCCCCGCTATAGTTGTGGGTGAGCGCTCCAGAGGAATCGCATACTATGGCGAAATAGCTGCCCAGTGCTTCCTGGTTTTCGATACTCATCTAATAAGGCAATTCAATGATGTAAACCATGGAAGCTAACAATCTTCACAACACCTTGTTATAAGAACTACACAGTATCCCAGTCTCATTTAACTCGCTGTTGGTTTAGCCAATCAGAAAGTGAATGAGTAATGGATATGAGAATGCAGCGAAAACAGGAATGTTTCTACCCCCGTAAAAGGAGTGCGGTGATTTCTAAACACTATACCATTCTCCATATGATTCCGGATTTAATTAATGATTTTAAACGATACCCTTATCATAGTTGTGTTAAGTTTATGTGCAAGACCTTGTATATAACAACCGGATATATTAATTACCTACTCCTCTTCTGTAGATCTTGAAGGAGGCTATATCAAAAGAGCGCAATAGAGCACGTTTAGCAGAGATTTCTCTTCGTCAGCAAGAAAAGGCGTGGAACGATATGAAGACTCGCTGGCACGAAGAACGTATAGCACAATTAGGAAATTCATTACCAATTGAATCCCGTACTCATATGGAGGCAACTATTGAGGCATTACGTCTTCAGGTTAGTTATATGTAGTTTAATTTAGACTCTTTGACCCATTAGTTATTATCAGAAGACTTCGAAGACCGTCCATGCCAAATGTAGATATTGATGTAGGCTTTTTAACGAAAATAAAATCTTCAGTGAAACAGAAGGTACTAGTCTGTTCGAACTGTTATTTGTGAAACAATGACAAATAACATACCTTGGGACTAATTTTTTTTGGAATGGATTTTAAGGGTGTTTGTTTGTCCCATCATGTAACATAATGCTGATTAGTATATTTCCTAACTATTATTTCTTATAACGTAATCGGATTTAACAAATCACAAAGACACATAGTTGGTTATAATATAGGTAAATGCATTTACATTTTTGCTAAATTAAAAATAATTATAGAGAACGGGAATGAAGGTGATAATACCTTTGGTAGATGTGGTCAAATAAAGTCTCATACTGCTTGATGGCGATGTCAGCCGGTTCAGAATCAATAATTACAATTAATTCTTTTTAGATAACCATTTATTTATGGCGAACACCTTTCTACAGGTAGATTTCTCCTGGTATTTACGGTTTCGGATACTTACGCACAGATCCTGAGACAGATTCAAAGAGTACAAATAATGTTATAGTAGGTAGGCAAGCTAATGAAAAGGAATGTTTTGAAGGCTTGTACGAGAACCCTAAGGATAATCGTTTTCTCCGTCAAAAACGAAACAAATGAACGCATTAACTACTTCACTTCTTGCTGCGTCGGAATCGATAAACTGGTGGTTCAACCAGTTGCTGACTACTTGAAGGATATTTGTCTTTAAGCGTCTTCCTGTCAACTTTATATAATAGTGTTCGAAAAGATACACTGGGACTAATCAGTTATTTCTGCTTTTCAATAAACAAGGTTAATCTACTGAAAAAGCGAATAACCGTAATGGAAGAAGATCGGGAGACAAACATCACTTACCCACTAAAGTTACAATTCAGTGACCAAGACGTATCATTACTCAGTGAAGACTCAGTACAAAATGAATCTCCGGTAAAAGATCAACCTGAAGCAAACCAAGACAATTTAGAAAAATGTAAAGTGAACAACAATTCAGTTCCTTTAGGAGATAACTCACGACGGAGAATTGCGGCTGAGTATACAAATTTACAGACTAATCTAGACGCATATCCTTATGAAGCTACTTGTTCAGAAGATTGGTTATTGAGCGGACACTGACAGACTATCATGCTCTAGGTTTTACAAGTTATTATTTATGCTTTTAAAACAACAATTGTGTAGCAGATTTGTCTGAGAAATATTTTGAAATCAACTTGGCTATACATCTTGTATATTAAAAAAACTTGTACTAAATGGTATAATATAAAGTGTATTGCAATTTTATACTATTTGTTTCATTGTAAAAATAAGTGCGAAAGAGTAATGGACATCACAATCGGAACTAGGTAAATAAAAATACACCACAAAGTATTTCTTTACGAATTTGACGACTTTTTTCGTTTCCTGTCCAATTTTTTGTGCTTTAATACTTTATTTACATTTGAAATAGCCGCAGCCAGACGGGGTGTTTGAAAAGGGACATTATGGAAATCACCCATCTCTGAAGAACCATTATTAGCAAACTTGGCCTCGTTTTTATTGGAATCACGAACAATATCACGTTTTTTCCGAATAGTACGGGATAAGCGACGACGACTAGGTGGATGATCTAAATTTGATTTAGATGTATCCCCTTTGTTTATAAAGTCTGAAAAACTGTTACCCCCAAAATCAACAGGCAGTTGACAATCTTCTCCTGAGAATTGAGATTTAGAAAATAGGATAGCAATCCCCGGTTCTTCCTAGATAGAAATACATAAACGACAAGTTAGTAATGAATATAACTTCAAATAACCAAATTATTGGATATAACACTTATAGACGAGAAAAAGCATGAAACCATATTTTTTGATGTATTAAGATATAATCACTGAGTTCACCATACCCGCATATAATTGTGATGGAAAATATAAGTTATATTTTCATAATATATCCTAACAGAAAGACTAGTTGGGCTATAGCACAATGTTTTACATAATAGTTTCGCGAAAGATTTTAGATGGCTTTTATATGTAGGCTCACTGTAACTGGGGACACATAAAGTTAAGATAACTTTAGACGGTATGTTTATCTAGTTATTGAAATAAGTAGTAGACTTGCTAATGAAAGTTGATATCTTAAAAAATCTTGTCCACCGACTTACAAAGCTTCAAATATATACGTCCCAACGATGGCTACGACAAAAATTTCTGAAGGGATTGGTGATATCTCCTCCTAATTCCATTGAGGATATGATGGAGGTGAATTATTTTGTCTCATACTTTTACGTTTGGCAAAAGGAACGAGGATTTACCAACTAACCTATATATGTGGCGACCATGAAAAACGGAAACATAGATTAGGAAAGCACATGGGAACAATGAAGTCAATCAGTCAGCTACAACGTAGCACCAGGCACATATATGCATCGGTCAAAGTTGCCACACCTCATTAGCACAACAAAGTGAATACCAAATTCATAGAAGCAGTTACTTCAATGGCAGTAATATATAAAAGAAAGATAAGGACATAATATAATATAGAGAAAGATATAAAGTAACTTCAAGGACTGATGCCACGTTCGGGTTTGACCTCCCCTTTATTTTATTTATTTGAACACAAATATTGGTACAAAGGGGCACCGAATACATATGCGCCACAAAAATAACTTGATTTGTGTGTGAGCCCAAAGCAAAATAAAATTGAATACTTTTTAAAACATTGGGATGGAACCAGATAAAAAGTTGTGAGGTAATAGGCTTTCGTGTTAAGCTATATCCAAAGTAGCTGCTAACTTATCTTGGGTATAACAATGACCCAACCGAGCTACATAGACCGGAATACTCGATACTTTAGATCCTACTATACCAGGTAGGTCAGTTGGGGAACGATAAGACTAAGAGGACCAGTAAAGATGGACTGAACAAAAACAAGGTGATATCTAGTGCTGTTAAAGTATGAGGGTGTTTGTTATTTCTTGGTTGCTCATACGTGGAAGGATACTTCGTCTTGAGGTACCTGGAAAGGAGACCGGGATGAGCTAGGTCTTGATGACTTAGGGACGTGACCACAGAGCCCAAGCAGTTACTACTTGAGGTTGGTCACACACAGCCTTTATGTGAGAAGTTTGAGACGTGCCAGCTATGTACCGTTCTCCAACTAACCTGTCTGGTATGTTAGAGCCTAAAGGATCATGTGTTCCAGTGCATATAACAGCTATTTTTGAGTACAATAGGTCTATTTATTCCAAAAGGTTTACTAGCAATATATGGACTGTAGTGTACACATTTGGTGTCATACTTTTTGAACGCGCAGTCTTTATTCGAAAAACAAGGTAAGTTACTTCCTAATTTCCTATGCAGTTAGACCTTCATACACATAGATAATTTGTCAAGATTTGGATATTATGGAAGAGAAATTGTGTTAAAATCGCCAAAAGTAAAGTAAACAATTAGGGTCATTTGACGACAAGTGTCAGAAAGACAAATTGAAGTATTTGCGTGATACCTAATGCTTATGATATAGATTACAATTAAGTTACTTTTTACAGATGTTGATAAAGGTTTATAAAGATAAAACTAAGTTGTAGATAACCGATCTTACCAGGGTGCAACTTATTGTTGTATCAGGAACCGAGCAATTACATGATTGAATATGCAAGCGACTACATTGGTACATTTTTGGTGGGCTGGAACCATCTAATTGTGACGTCTGTGAGATTGTATTGAGTACAATGCTTTTGAACATCTCAGCACACGCAACAGTCTTCGCGACAGCGCCATGCTTGCTCCACCATATAATCTGTGCAAAATGTAGCATAGTAAATTAATCACTAGGGCATCTTACTGAAACTGTAAATGCGACCTAGATTCTTAAATGCTATTATAACGATCAAGCTCTTAAAAGTAAAATGGCAGAAAATGGAATCAGAATAGTAGTTTCAGATCTCTTGAAACCTAATCCAAGATTATAAAAAGTCAGATATATCTGAGACCATTAATAACAGTAAAGAAAAGTTATAAATATCAGTTTTCATGAAACAATCGTATGGGATGGTGAATTTGTTTTTGCCAATTGTAAAACAGAACCAATTTAGTATTTTTGAAGCTTAAAAGACTTTTTACCAAGTAGACAGTACGGAGCTCAAGGTTATATTCGAATAGTACCCACACATAAAATCTTGGTTATATACGATTGGGAAATTGATAAGCTGTAGTTTACTAATTCATTTCCACTTTAATACCGATCATGATAGGCTTTCGCCAAGCGCAATACATTCATGATTGACACAAAAATAGTAGGTGAAATCGTAGTGAAGCACTTTTTGCAATGACACTTGTTTGTTACTAGAATTTATCAGGACAAGTATACATTTAACTGAAATATGTAACCAATGACCTCTTACATATGATGGGTAAACAAGAAATTAATTTACCCAGGTGGCGACCACACGTACCTAGAAAATATGAACTCATTATAAAACAATAAATCCAGGGGAGTAATCACTGTACAGTCATGTTCAATGTTTCTTATAATTAATATAACTCACTGGCTGAACCTAGCGCAGATAGAGTACTTCTTATGCTTCTAGATGGTATGAAAAACTGCCATACAGTAGATTATAATCCAAGTTGGTAGTCGGATACACCTTTTGTAAAGCTTTAATTGAACCATTTCTTCCCGAAACTTTGTTTTTGGGTCATACAGACGCATAAAATGAAAGCAACTATTTTAAACACCTAGAGCTACTTATTGTGCTTTAATGAATACAGGTGTAATTGTTTACCAGGCAATACTGAAATATATAGGATGCTTACATGCAGTGGTCAAAACTACTAGCATAAGTCTTTCCATTTAACACAAATCTTAAAAACTATGAACGATTCTCGTTGAGTACTCATATAAAGACGGCAGTGATTAATAGAATGTAGATGTAACTTAAGCTAGGATAGGTAACTCTAGTCTAGTTCTGGTAGGTACACTGATGAACAGACTTTCAGTACGTGAAGGAATTTATCAAGATTATAGTTCGTATATTCTCTTTAAAACATGATAGCAACAGAAAGATGTACATGTAAATACTTCTTTAAAATTCTTACCGTATCTGTCTCTCCACTTTGGAACTTTTCAACGGCGTATGGGACTAGGTTTGCTGATTTGCTGCCAGGCATTACATTCATGTTAATACATCCAGATACATCTGAACCAAATATGGACTTAATGTCGGGAATATTTGCATCGCCATGTAGCAGTTTCATTATTAGCGTAGCAAAGCTTATACTGAAGTAAATGAGACTACCAAATTATGAAAGTAACTGAAACAGTCATTGACTTATTTCAAGATAATCAACTTTTTATGAAATTGTAACGTCCAGCCTTTGGATGTTTTGCGTCTAGCCTGAAAGTATGTTATGTCATAAGTGAGTGTAAAAATCTAAGAATAGAACGAGAGAAAAGCTGAGCCAAGTCAGTAAGAATACAGAATGCACTTGCGTTTAACAATGAAGGCGATTGGTAACAAACAGGAATAAAACAAGAGTAAGAGTAAGACAATCTGATAGTCGATACTAAAATAACGTGTTTCCCGCTGCGTTAAAACGCTGTAGCGGTTCGCGTTTAGTCAGAAGGTACTTTGTGTACTAATGGAGCATACAGAGAGCTGAACAAAATAACAAAAGAAAAAGTGAGCCGATGACCCACTAGACACACTATTAAGGAAAGCAATTGACGACAATAAACAGTAACAAGCCTCAGATTAAGATAATCCTGAAATCGAAACGAGAGCAGATAGTTTAGTCCACTAAATAGCTGCCCGTTATGGCAAAACACTGCCACAGTGGTTGTAATACCTTAATTGGGGAAAGAAACAAGTTCACATTACTTCATGGAGTTATGCATCCTAGCAGGTTCAGCTTGTATGTAGCGATTTTCCTGTAAGGCATACAGACAAGTAAAAACAGCAAGTTCAAGTAAAGGATCCTTCATGTACACAGTAATTAAAACCTACAATTAAGCAAATCAAATCCGATCAGTACAGCACGAGTCCGGTTTAACGACCAGCTAACACTCAACAGGGCACTTAGTGGCCTCCATGCAGCAACTCCAACCCTTCTCACCAAAAGCCATCATATAATCTCTTCATTGAACTAGGTTTG